GCCGTAATGCTGCGGGAAGGAGAGCAAGTAGGTGCAACTAACATGGGTGATCATGAACTTAATCTAAATATTCAAGTTCACGGTGTACTGGAAGGTAGCGCAAGAACTGTACTCAGCAACGCCTCGTAGGCAGCCCCGGTTCTGGCTTGAGAGATTTGAACAGAAGGACGAGACACAGCCAAAGGACTTAGAGTGTGGCCGACGTGCTTCATGTGTGCAAGCCGCTAGTTGAGCCTGAGACGCTTGTCGTCGTCTCTTGTCTTCTAGTGTTGAACACCGAGGCAAACGTCTGCATCGAGTCCTATGTAGCCGAATCGCGTTCTATCATGTACTACTCGAGACAGGCGTGCCATGTAATGATGAACGGTACCCTTGACAAACGGTGGTACATCCTGACTGACGGCTGAGACTAGGGAGGCCGATCAGATATGAGCGCTTGAGCAGAGCCCCACCGCTCGTAGACGCTTCGACCGGACAAACGAGTCGACAACATCGGGTTCGGGACTTGCGTAGTCTGGTGACCGACTACAATACAAGATGAGTGACGGAGACAAGCTCGAGTACTCTTCGTAGAGTCTTGCCAAGGAGTATGAGCGCTCAGGCCTCAGGCCCGCGTGCGAGCCACGCGAAGCGTGTTACGCGCCAAGTTGTCGGATGGGATCACCGAAGTTCGGATAGACGCGCGGCGCGGTGAGCGGTCGTGTTGGTCATTTCCACCACTACCACTACCAAACCCTCGAATAAGCTCAGTTAACCAGCCGATATATCCTCGCATAGAGGATGGGTGTGGGTGGGAGAGCTGGTACCTCGGAGGTGGTCGGGATGCAGGGCGGGTGAATGAGTGTACGAGTATATTCGTCCTATACCACCAATAAAGACGTTCTCGGTCCGCTACACCGCGTGAGATCGCACTACCTTATGTGCTTTATATTTGTGCAAGGCGCTGCAAGTCTCAGAGAGCGTGCGAGCTCATTGCGGGCGCTTGCGGGCCACGAGGGTTCAGCGCGGTCCTTGGGCTATGCTCCCTAGGACGTCTCTCCTTCTCTCCATCCACCACGTTCTTGTCCTCGACGCGCCTCACTTCCTCTCGTCCTCGCTGCTCAGAACTACGGCCCTAACTACGTCGGGGATAATGGCGTCCAGCTCGGCGTATGTCTTTTGATTATCCGAAGCCGAATAGTGGTCTAACCTAAGCGTTTGATAGTACCGTCTCTGGTCCTCGTGTGCAAGCAGGCCGTCCGCTTGGGAAGGAGATTCTGCTCCGTGTTGATGGTAAGAGGAAATAGTGCTCTCTGCGTTGCCGTTCTGACATCTGGTTGCAGTTGACGGGGTAAATGGCCTACCTCTCAAGAAGGCGGGACGCTCCCTGTCCTATCGAGTTTACTTTGAGGCTCTCTCGGATGGAGGCTCGCGTGATATACGTACCTCAAGAGCGCATGAAGGTCATGGATCGCTTCAGGGGACGGTGCAATGGAACGAAACTATCCACATGTTCGTGAGGATGAATTGTCATCTGCACTCACTTATCATCAGCTTAGCCGCTGTTTGAAATTGTCTTATATCCGCGTCTCTCTGTATTACTTCAAGGCCGATACAGATGGTGGCTTTCCTGTCACCTACGACGCGAGCATGTCCGTCGTTGACTTCATCTCCGCCATTAAGAGTAAGACCTCCATTGGCATCGAGGCAGCTGTACACGACAGTAACTTGATTCTGCAGTACCAATGATGACTTACACTGAGCCGAAGTCGGGTGATCACCCATGCAACTTGTTTCTTTCCGTCACCGAAACTATGTCCAAGGGCGAGGAAGAGACTTGCGATCTGAGTACTTCATGTCTACAGGCCCAGCATGACCGGTGTCACATTGATCCGAGGGTGCCGATTGGCGTATGGAGTACTGCATTCAGTCAGACGTCACTATTACTTGACACTGTTTGTCGGTGGAACTGGGGTAGGGAGGTAATGTATGCATCAACATCACATGGGGTATTAGCAACTAGTGAACTATCCAGCCTAGCCCGACACCTTTCTGGGTGGGCCTTCGGGCTCAAGGCTGGCTCTACATGGCATACCGAGATCGTTACGTATGCCATGATTCTGCAACTCCTGTACGCCTTTCTCACAATATTCCGTCTATGCAGAGTGGCATGGAAGGAAATGATCAGCTCGACAAAGATCTAGGGAGAGTCTTTGCGTGCATGCAAGAGTCTATGAATGTGATTCAACAACCTGTCGCACGTACGCGCGAGCCAAGTAAGCGCTATTATATAAAGTGGACTATTCTTGCGGTGTATAGCGGGATGCAACACATACGCGAGGATTTCATCGGAGATTGGCAGAAGGGTAAGCAGCAGTGTCGTCTCCATGCCATTGACTCACGGCCTGGAAATGCTACCTCCTCCAGAGCATAAAACATACGTGGCAGAAATGGTGAGGCTTGCCTGGATCATCGTCACACCAAATCCACCTGCAACAGCCACCGACACTTCAACGACGATAGCTAAAGACACGCTCCTCCTCGTTCTGGATGCCATCGTACAATCTTCGGACGCATTTCCTCCGCTGAAGAGCGCAGCCAGCGGCCTGCTCTTCTTCGCTACCTGTGCGGACGTAAGCCACATGCCCCTTTCACCAGCTTGAAAGACTGACTGGCACTTTCTAACAGACGACGTGCGGCAACAAGAAGCAGATGCGTGACATATACAAGCGGATTCACGGCTTGGCTGCCTCGCTCAAACGCGGTACTAAGGAGGGGAGCCGGATCACCCCCGAACATCAGGATGCCATCGAAGTTCTTGCAGCGTACGTTCTCTAAGAAAGTATACTGCCCGGACTGACTTTGTCTCAGAGATATCGAAGCCTTGAAGGGCGATCTGGAGGGCATCATCTCCGAACGCAAGAGCCGCTTCAAACGGTTCTTCTCGGCCAGACGACACCGCGAAGAGCTCAAGGACGTCGTGGAACAGCTCGAGACCTCCAAGTCAAACTATACTGTGAGACTCTTAGATTGCACGCGCGGCTCACGTTTCTCACACGCGCACGTTTGATAGACTGCATTGGCCACGTTGAACGCCATGACGATCGCCGAGGTCAACAGCGAGGTGAGGGCGATCGCGCTCGTCCTGGACGCGCGCCCGATGTACATGCCCGGTACGCGTCGTGCACAAGATGTCACATTTCCTAGTGGCCCGAGCCGGTTTGGGGAGGTTTGAGTGTTGGTTGCGAGAGAAGGGAAGTGCAAAGTGGTCGGTGCGAGGGGACGTGTGGAGCTGCGTGAATTGTCCAAACAATTGTGGGCCATCGGTCATAGTCGATATTCGTTGTTATGTAGCCTTTCGAAAGCATGTAGTCTTGCAAGGTCGGAAGTGATCATGAAAGCTAGTTGCGGCATGCGCGCAGCCCGAGTGGAAACCTGGCGATGGTCGTGGTACAGTGACAGGATGCGGCGAAATGATTGAGATCAAGGAGGCGCGCCGCGTCAACCCTAACCCTGCCATCAATGTGATGCGATCACATCTCTCTTGATATACGCTGGAGTAGGGTTCGGAGGGGAGACGGCGGGGAGAGGGAGAGAGCGGGCTCGGCGTATCTACATTAGGGTCAGGGTTAGCGTAGCAGCGCCGCGACACACGCGAGCGCAATGCGCATTTCGTCTCGAATCATCATTACTGCTTAGCGCGGCTGTTTCCGCTTCACTCTCCCGAGGCCGTGCCCAACGCCTTCGCACTCTTCTCCTGACCGGCACCGATTTGAGGCAAAGTAATGAAGGGTGATGCATGGTGAACCAAGTATGTGAGAAAGCGACATGCAGAGCCCAGCATAAACAAGAAGCCGAATCGGTATAATGAACGTACAGAGACAGAACAAGCACGATAGCAATTACAACGCCACAAGAGCAAACCCGTACAGACAGACAGCACCCTTCTCCCCTACCTCACCTCCAGCGACGGCTCCTTCACCATCGCTTCCCCAGTTTGGAACAGCATCTTTCCCTCCTTGTCCCACACGAACGCGCCAGAGTCCTTCGCCGTGTACAGCACGTCTCCCTGTGCGAGCGGCTTCTCCGGGAGAGCGTACCACGATGCGTACTTCTCGCCTTGATAGTGGTTGTACATCAACTCGCGGATCCACGGGCGGTTGCCTTGGCTGTACACCCATCCTTCGTGTGGGATCGTTGCGGGGATAAGTGTATAGTCGACCGGCTCGAAGCGCTCGACGACAGGTCCACCACGCGTACGACGCATCGCGTACCTGATAACCCCTGTTAGTGGAAGAAAAGAGGCGTGAAGAACCGGAGCGCGCACCTGTTGGCTTGCTGCCCGTTGTTATCCCACCGGTGCCCGAGCGGACTCTCGTACAACACCGCGTACTTCTCATCGAACCATACGATGAAATCACTCAAGATCTCCGGATCGCTCCTCAGCTGCACTTCCATCTCCTGGCCTTTATCACTGAACGTCTTCCTCTCACCCACTCCATTCCCTCTTCTCGGAGCGTTCTCCTCGCGGTCGCGCAGAACAGAGTTGACTACGGCGCGACCGGCTGGATGCGTGAATGCGCCGTCGGTCGTGAGAAGGTCATCGGATTCAGGAGGGCCGGAAAGGAGAGAATGAGGCATCCAGTGCGCAAGCTCGATGCCGTAGACGCCATTGAGGGTGGAGAGGTGGTGCCATGCGTTGACCATGGCGTCGAAGCGAAGGAATGTGAGGTCCGTGAGCATGAACAGCGTGTACGAGTACTCGGCTTCCTCTGTGCGCTGTCAGTACGTGTACTGGGCGAGACAGAGGAGAGACGTACCGCATCCGGCCCAGTTCGGACGAATGATCCAGGGCATAGTCTCGAAGTTATGGACGTTCTGGATCTCGGGTAGCGCGAAGAAGGCGCGTGCGACTTCGGGGCTCTTGCGGAAGACGACCATATGTCCGGGCATGAACATATGCACCTAGTTGGAGCAAGTCAGAAGGGAGTCGCTGAGCAGGAGGTACCCTGGCGGCGCACCTTTGACCGCTCAGATGGAGCCGCACCGACGTAGACATCAAAGTCGGATGCAAGATCCCACGGGAACGTGCGCTCGACGTTGCCCATCATCATGTCAAGATCACACCAGCCCTTCAAGTGCTCATGTCAGTTGATTTCAACCACCCTGCGAGAAGCTTGAAGCCCACCCATAAGTGCACGTCAGGCCGCATCCACTTCTTGAACACCTCGGCGCGGAATGGCCTGTACGCCGAGTTGTACTGATCCCCCTCCGCGCGCTCATCCACCAGCCTCTTGACCGTCTCCCTCTCACGATCATCGCAACCCCACACATCGCACAGGTACGCCACATGGAACGCGAGATACTCCTCCATTCCCAGACATACCTCCCTTACATTGGGTATCCCAGCCGCATGCTGAATCTCGCATCCGCCGTCTTTGAGGCCGTACTTGTCGATCTTGATAAGTAGGAGTTCGATGGATGGGTTCGCGCCGATGGACGCGAAGAAGTTGGGAAGGTAGGCGTCGGTCGTGTCTAGCCGCGGGGACCAGATGACGATAAAGGTTATGCGTGGTGCAGGAGTAGAGAGGTTGGGTGCGCCTTCGAAGGATGGAAGGGGGTCGTCGTTTTCGAAGGGAGGGATGGAGTCGAGCGGATGGGATGAGGGAGGTGTCGCGGGTAGATTGGGGGACTCGAGGGTATCGTCTGCTACGCCTGGTAGGCTTTCGTGGGGTTGTGCGGAGTCAGGTGGTGGCGGTTGTACGACGACGCGGTCTGAGTCCATGCCCCATTTTGTCTTCGACGCTAGTGGGGGTAGCATGTCCGGGGGAAGTGGGGGATTGAGGTCGAACTCGTCCCATGTGCCGTCGTGGTAGTTGACTTGCTCATAGCGCGCTGGCCCGGCCTTGAGCCCGACTGGCGGTCGTTCGTGCTGGTGCTCGATGAGGGTTTCATCCGGATAGAACGATGGTGGTCCGTCGAGCCCCGACCATAACAACGTCGCGCCTCCCACAAGGACGAGTGCCGCAATGAGCGCACCACGTCGAGAGCGCCGGTTCATCCGCTCGAAGGGGATCCGTGATAGATATGTGGTGGGAATGCGAGATCAGACAGACACAGTGGGTGAGCCAGCCCACAAGAGATATGCACAAGGAGCGAGTGGTACAAGCACGACGGCTCGGAAAGGAGAGACAGAGGACCCGGTGGCGGTTAGAAGCAAGAGCGCACTACTGCGAGAAAGCCAAGCGGAAGAGAATATGAAGGGCATCAGGGCGCACGACAAGGCTTTAGGTGCCGGAACAGATATTGGTACCGATCCCGTTGCTGGCTCATTTTTCGCAATAAATTAGCGTGCATTCGTTGGCGATCTGAAAAGCTCGACTTACTTCGAGACACATAGAGGTATATAGGCTATCCGGGAACGGCATTCATCTCCCATAAGAGGTATGGTATGAGTAGGAACATGGCTGGCGATGGGAGACGACAAGGCACACATGGACGTCGTGCGCGGTCAAGTTCCCGGCGGCAAATTCGGCCAGGATCAATAGGGAGGTTGAAATCGCCAAATTTACGCGTGGGCGCCGAAATCTACGTGCTACATTCCCGTACGCCAGACCGCTCCTTCGAGGAAAATGGCCCATAGATATCACCTATGGGTCCCTGCGACAGCACACCACCACTTTTCCGTACGGTACTGGCTGCTGTGGCGCGGGAACGCAACACGTGGATTTGGTCATCAGCACGTGGATTCGGCCATTTCAACCTCTCTAATCAACTGACAAGGTCGGTGATTGGACGGCGATGCCGATACGTCGGCTCACGCGCCACAGCAAGTCTGCACCTGCTTACAAGTAACAACCCGTTTGTCTGATACGGTACTAATATAGTATACAAAGAGGACCAGGGAGATGTTCAGAGTTCATGTTGGGCCGTGTCGCGACAGAGATAGAATCGTCGATTGAGTACATCGCGCCTGATTGAACGAACACTGCAGTCTGGCTCACTGAGCGCCGCGCTCGCGCTTGCAAGCATCTTCATTCTTCTCCGCCACATCGCGTGGGCTGGCGCTACGGCTACTCACACGAGCTTCAGCAAGCGCAAGGATTGCCTCGTACGCCTCCGCAGGTGCAGCAGAATCATTATCCGGCACGTCCGCCTCATTCACGTCCTCGTCATCGGAAAGCTCGTCGCGCTCAGACCCGGCGTCGGAGCTACCGCTAGAGATCGCATCCATTGTACGCTTGTCTGCGGGGACGTCCTCCGCGCGAACTTTGGAGAGGTTGTGGTTGAGGTGAGCTGTGGATGGAAGCGTCAGTGAAGTATTGGCCGGTGGGATATGGAAGGACTCACAGCTGTGTACGTCTTGCTTGGATGGCTCACTCGCCCCGACCACACCAGCTTCATCATCCTCTTCGTCATCGTCAAGAGCAGGCATATCATCGTCCTCGTTGCTCTCCCCGTCTCGAGTCTCTTCGTTCGTAGATAGAGCGCGGCGAGTACGCGTTGCATCTGACAGCGCACCCTTGCCATCGCTCACGGTTTCGCTGGACAGCGTAGGCGACGACATGTCGGGAAGAAAGGCGCGCATGAAGTCGTCGTAGCGCATCGGAGAGGTGAGTCCTGGTTTGCGGGAGCTGACGACAGTATTGCGGGGCGGAGTGCGCGGCATTGGCAGACGGTGGTGGAGGGAGTTGTTAGTCGGCACGAGAGAGGCGTCAGTTGGTGTTGGCAAAGGCGACACGGTTGAAGGAGAAGAGCCTGATGTGGCAGGAGGACCCTGAAGCAAGGACGTATTCGACATGGCGCGCTATATGGGGCGAGCCACAATGGGCGACGGGTGAAAGGGATGCGGACGTGAAAGGGCACTGGCAGAGAAGGAGCCAGGGTAGGGGCAACCTATATAGGATCTGGCGAATCGGTGGGTGATGGTGGTTGGCGGGAGGTTGCCGTTGGATGAGGCATGTTCAGAGTGGTTTGTAGGCGTCGCGGAGGGGCTGATGGATCATCCACGCGTTGAGGTGGTTAGGCCGGGTGCTTCTTTCGCGAGAGCAAGAGTGAGCGTGGGGTGCACACACGGCCTGAGGTATCCAGACGCGATGGAGGATCCAATGCACAGGATTCAGAAGTCTGGCGACTACGCCATCTCCAGACGTAGGACTCGACGAAAAACCACTGCCTTGGGCGTGAGGCCTGAAGTATCGCTGGTTCAACGGCATGATCTCGAGATGGGTGAGACTGGAGCGGGTTTGGCAGCGTATCGTTGTATGCAACTGCTGGTTCTCGAGAGGACTAGGAGAACCTGTGGCTCATCCTTGATATCCAAATCACCGGTCCGTTGAAGCTTATACAAGAACTCGCATCGCTTGTATTCCGCACCAGTGATGGGTGTACCTCATGGCCTCATGACGCTGGATGGCTCAGATTTGCCAGCTCGTAAAAGACGAGAGTTCAGAGTATCAACCCGTATGGACGTGCATGTCGGCGAAGGTAAGAGAGGGTGAGAACGCCATGACTGGTGTCACAATGGGCCACATCGGCGAAGTTGCCCATAGTGCGAATTTGATCGCCGGCGCCGATCCTGTAAGGGGTTGTGCGCAGGCGCGTGCGCGGTTATTATTGGCGTATTATGGAGACTGCCACCAGCCTGAAGCGCCGAGCTTCTAGCGTCTGTCACCGTGATATACAGCTTCATATCGCACGTAGCGTCGAAGTCAAGGTGTCGCATACTATAGCCACCAGAGTCCATGCAAGTACGAGGGCAAGTTACGGCCCGGCCAAGAAGCGAGCCAGTTGAACAAAGCTCCATCTGACATTGTTGGGACCCACGCTTCGTCACCGGCCGGCTACAACGCACAGCGAGCTCGCAGCGCTTGTCAAAATCGCAAGTCGACCCATCTCATCCAGCCACCGTGTCCTTAATCGACGTAGCGCGAGAGCTAAGAGGATTTCGCTCGTCATCAAACGCGTGTGCGCGTTGAGTTGGAAAATGCCGGCAACGGCCGATCTGGGTCGCGCGGGGCGATCAACCGGAGCTCGTCGTGCTCCTCGACGTCCAACACCCTCTGCTCGCTGTGTCCCTCATCGTCTACTGCCTTCTTCTCGACTGTCCCCTGACTCTATACTGCGCGCCGTGACATCAAGCCTCGGCATATACCCTCGCGGTTATATTCTGGATAAATAAAGAAACGCCCGTGACGCATCCGTACTTGTTCCAATAAGCACGCGCGCCATGTCCCGCCGCTCAACCCGAGGCGCGCCCGCGCCCCTTCCTGCCCGTGGCTCAGCCTCGCTCGCAGCGACACCGACGCCCGGCCCGTCATTCCCGGCGTCGTCTCTCCCACAGCCTCTGTCCCTCCCGCCCGACGCGCCGTTCGCGGACCAGTACCGCACCTTGCGCACGCACTGGAAATGGGCCAACTTTTCCCAGTTCTTCTTTACTTTTGCACCTCTGTTCAACATGCCGGATGTTTCTATCGTGGTACGTATCTACTTTCACGTGTAGTTCCAGGTGGGGGAGAATGTGGAATGTATTCGTTAACGTGTGGTTCTCTCCCGTCTAGGATATCGAGGACGACCTGGCGCGCGGAACGAATATCGTACTGCCCAGAGTCATGTGCCGGCTGATGACCGTACTCATGCAAGACCGCAAGCTAACGTGAGTGCTATCTTCAACAACGCTGTTACGTGTCGCCACCGACTGGGTATTGCTACCGTACCCGTACCCCTCCCCGTCCACCGGCATATGCCGACGGCGGTACAGCACATCTCGACGCGTTTTCACGCGTTTTTGTCGTTTATCTGGACTCCAAGGATCCTCAAACACTCATATGCGCCATCCCACCTTGACCGAACCACCATCTCCCAAAATCCACCATGTTCTCCTCCTGCGTGCTCTAGACTTATCCCCTAGTCTATATGCGTCTTTATCTCGATATCGTCCCACGTGAACCATCCGAAACTGACCGTTTCCCTCATGCAGTGTCGACACCTGGCAAGCCTCCATGCGCCGCCAATACCTCCGCCGCGACCCGGACAAGAACCCGTTGGGCCCGCCGCCCGCTCTCTATGCCCGTACGGCATCGCCCGAGCTCGAGGCTGGACCATCGAATACCGCAAAAAAGGAGGACGATGACAAGAACGACGGAGAGACAGCGGATACCGACCATGGTGACGAAGCACCGCCAAACCCTCAACCTGACGGCGAAGACGTCGAGATGAAGGACGCCGACGACGCTAACGAACCCAAGCCCGACGTCGACAACAATGCCACGGCCGGCGAACCTGTCGATGAACCCAAGGAAGAAGAGGCCGCCGACGACGGTCAGCTGAAGTCCGACGAACCCGCCGAAGAGCCTCGCGACTGGAATACGCTCCCCATGCTCGAGAAGCTCGACTCTATGGTCCTCCTTACCGAATGGCAATTCCAGAACCAGGCCCGCTTCCGTCAGACTATGAAGAGCGACGATGACTTCGCGACGTGGCGTATTGAGCCTATTGGATATGATGCGAAGAGTAACGCTTATTGGTTGATTGGTGGTATGTATAGTCTCTCCAGCTTCATGTACGAAGTCAATACTGATCATGCTCCTGCTCAGCCGACCGTTTATGGATCCAGCGCAACCCGCCTCGTCCACCCCGTCCACTCAAGCGTAAACGAGCCCCGCCCAAGAAGAAGGCCCCGTCACCTTCACCCTCCGTCCCATCTGAGCTCTCCGAGCCCGAAGAAGACCTTGCACCAAAACGCCCTCGTCGCGCCGCTTCCAATGCGAATGCCAAGAAGTCCAACGGTCGCGCGAAGGGCAAGGGCAGGGCCGCTGAGGTCGAGCCTGAGCCCGATGAAGAGGTGCACGGACGAGGCTCGCGGAAGGCTAAGACGCAAGCGAATGCCAAACTCGATGCTCAAGCGAAAGAGCTCGCTGCTCTTCAACGTCAGGCAGCGCTCGAGAAACGCCGTGGGCCGGCTCCTGCTGCCACTATATCCGCCGCCGCTCAGAGTCCACGGGCGACGCGGGGCACGAGAGTCAGTGCACGGTTGAGGGGCGCGGAGACTGAGTGGCAGGATGTTCCAGCCGAGTGGCTTGCGGATGGAGAGAAGGACGATGCGGAGGATGAGGCCGCTAAGACTGGGTTGGAAGACGACGACGCTGTCTCGGAACTCAGCTCGCTCAGCGACCTATCCGAACTTGAACCTGAGCCCGAACCTGAACCTGAGGAGGAAGTTGTCGAGGAGGAGAAGCCTGCGCCCCGTACGAGGAGAGCTCCCGCAAAAAGTAAAGGGAAGGGCAAGAAGAAGGCTCCGGCTCGGGCGCGCAGGGCGAAAGCTGTCGTTGAGGCGGAAGACGTGGTCGAGGAAGTGGAGGAGAAGCAGGAGCCTGAAGAAGAGTGGAAGCCGCCTGCGGACTGGATTGAGTGGGAAGCCGTAAGTATATACTCATCAGACCGGCGCCATTGACTAATGACACCGTTGTAGATTGCTATCACCCTACGCGAATGGGAAGTCGTGGCCGAGCCATTCGCGAAAGCTACGCATTACACTGAGAAAGCTCTCTACAAGCGGCTCACGAACGAGATCGTACCTATCGTCGTCGGTGCTATGCGGGTCAGTCTTGCCTGCTCTCTTGCTCTCATATAGCGGTCACTGATTAATATTATATTTGTCCTCGCGTGCAGGAGGCTGAGAAGAAACGACTTCTCGAAGAGTCCGTCCAGTCACGCAAGCGCTCGTCAAGGCTTGTCGCGAAGGAGCATGAGGCCGCTGAGATCAAGGCTGCGGCTGAGAAGGCAAGAGAGGAGGAAGAGCGGATGGCTCGCTCACGGCGCGCTGAAGCGAGGGAGAAGAAGGAAGCGGAAGGTACGTCCCACCATCAGCCTGGCCAAGACTCTGTCCTCACTGTACTCCCTACTGCAGAGCGTGAACGCCGTGAAAACGCCCGTGAAGCCCGCCGTCGGGAGCGTGAAGAGCGCGAGGAGCGTCGACGCAAGATGACGGAGGCCGAACACGAGGGCAATGCTACGACTGGCGACGAAGATGGTGACGTGGACGTCGATGGCGAGCAGGAGGAGGAGGAAGAGAGCGAGCCTGAGTCCGAGCCTGCGAAGAAGACTCGCAAGCGCAAGCGTGCACCAGCCAAGTCCGCACCTGCTGCCGATGCGATCACCACTTCCGCGTCAAAGCCTCGCGCTAAACGTACGCCGAAAGAGCCCAAGGACGGTGAACACCAACACCAGCCCCGCGCGAGGAAGAGCTCTGGGAAGGACAAGAACGACTGGGTTCTCGCTTGCGAGCTCTGCAATAAGACCGCCAAAGATACCTCCGTTCAGCTCGTCCAATGCGTCACTTGTCAACGGTGGCAGCATATCGCGTGCCACGATGCAGCCGATGCGCGCGCAGGCCGTCCAAAGCGCGATTGGCGAAGGGTGCAGTTCCGCTGCGCGCGGTGTGCACCGCTGCCCGGTCAGCCTGTCCCGCTCTCGGTCCCAGGGCAAGGGCATGGTCAACATGGGAGATACGCGACGGGTCCGGTTGGTGTACAGGCGTATGGCGTGAGGGGCTATGCGGAACAGCCTGGCGCCGGCCCGGCCTATCCTGGTCAACAGGCTGAGGGAGCGAGATATGCGAACGGGGCACGCGGATTCGTTGGACCGGGTACGAATGGAATGGGACCGTATACCCCCGGGCTCGCTACTCCGGTGTACGGCCCTGTCAGACCTGGGAGTGGCCATTTCGGCTCAGGCCTGTATACTGCGTTCGGGAACGGCAACACAGGCTCACCATTCGGTGGCCCGACCTCGGGCGCTACGATTTACAGCGCTCGCGCTCATGCTCACGAGCAGAACCAGGCGCATAGTCAGAGTCAGGTTCAGGGTCAGAGTCAAGGCCATTTCGCGGCGCAGACTCGCTATCCGGGATACCCGCAGGCACAACACCACCAGGCGCAAGCGCACCCGCAACAGCCCCATCCTCACGCGTCACAGCAGGCGCAACATGCTGGGATGTCGATCCAGGATCAGCAGGCGTATATCCAGCAGCGCGAACAGTTCGCGTACCGCCAGCAACAGGCGTATATCCAGTCGCAGCAGCTGGCGCAACAGCAACAAGCGCTCCGGCAGCAGCAACAGCAACAGCAGCAACAGCCTGCTGTCGCCTCGGAGGGCGCACTCGCGTATCTGGCCCATCTCGCGCAGACTCAGGCGCAGGGACAAGCGCAGGGCTCGGCTACGCATGCTGCTGGTCAGAGCATGAGTCCGCATTCGTCGATGCCGGGTACGCCGCATACGCCGCAGCAGGCGTCGAATGGATTCTTCCAAGGTGGCCCCGCGTAAGGGGTGTTAAGGCGCGCAGGCGAGGGCTTGCCCGGAGGAAGCTGGCGGATGTTCAGCTTGTAGTTGTGATGATTGTAGATGTTCTGTCGAACTATTTCCGGTTCTTCTCCTTTGTTATCTCGTTTGTAGATTGGTTATAGTAGGTTGTATAATGTGCACGCACAGTAAGCAGGAGTGACAAGACTGCGCGGTCGTTGAGTGTCGCTACGTTCAATGTGCTTATCTTCTCGTACACAGGCCGACAGTCACAGAAAGTAGTGTCAAAAATCAGGAATAACCTACGTCGACGCGCGTTCTCCTGCCTGGCTCTGCGTTGAACGTCGTGCGTGACTTTACCCACGTGGTCGCGTCATGATCGGAATCTGAAGCCGAATTGCCGACGGCTCTCCTCTTGCCACAACCTCCGCAGCTTGCACTCGCACCTCGCGTTGACTGCGAATCACTGCGTTGCTCACAATTGCATCCATAGCATGCTGCTATACTCATATCTGTACCTTCTCCAGGACGCGGGAGCCTGCGCACTGCTCTAAGAAACACCTGGTCGCGCCGGCGCTGACGCCATGACCATATAAGTGGGACTTCCGCGTACTCTTATCGTGGATTGTGCGGTCGAGGTCCAGCATGACCGTCCTTTGCCTCTTGCTGCCACTTCTGTCTCTTGTGACAACTGTCGCGGGCGCCCAATGGCCACTGACGGGGAACTCGCACGAGCCGACAGCGTATGATGGGTTCATCCCCGTCGGCGCGCTTCGAACCGCTGTGCGCGGGGACAAGTTCACGACATTCGGGCATCCTCTCTTCCCGGGATATAGTGCGCGCATCAAACGACTCAACAACTGGTGTGATGAGCAAGTGGGGTATGTCGTCAGCTGCTCCGCTAACGTAGTCCCGATGAACTCACCCGAATTTGCATCAGGGCATATACTGGCTACATCGACGTTCAAGCTCGCCATCTCTTTTTCTACTTCTTTGAGAGCAGAAATGACACCGACAAGGACCCGATTGTGCTTTGGACAAACGGAGGTGGGTAGCTCGCCTGTCTGCTCATGCTGATTTAGAGCTCATTACATCTAGGACCTGGCGGCTCGTCCTCCATGGGTTTATTCCAGGAGCTCGGTGAGGTCTTCGATCTGTCTTGCTGCCTCAATTCAACTTATGCACATATATGATAAGGTCCTTGTCGTATCACCAATGCGACTGCAGGGCCGGTCCCATTCAAAGAGTCTTGGAACGAAAACGCGGGAGTCTTCTTCATAGATCAGCCGATGGGAGTGGGGTTTAGCTACGCAGACTTCGGAGAGTCTGTGTCGACCACGGAAGAGGCTTCCATTGACATCGCGCGCTTCATGTTCCTCTTCTTTGAGAACTTCCCTCAGTTCAAGGGGCGTGAATTGCACCTCAGCGGAGAATCTTATGGCGTAAGACGGTCTTGAAGAATCGCCGCGTCGAACACGGCTCAAAGCAACGTAGGGGCGATACCTCCCGCTGTTTGGCGCGGCGATCTACGACCAGAATGAGGAACTTGCTGAAGCGGGTCTTGAGCCAATCAACCTGGTCTCCGTCGTGATCGGTCAGTAACGACAAGTAGTGTATGATCCCCTGGTCTAACTCAAACGCAGGCAACGGCATGACAGATAGCCACCTCATGCTCCCCGCATGGTACGAGTATGCTTGCACGCGTCATAGCTCGGATATCACGCCCATTTTGGACGTCAGGTAGCTTGATTCATGCATTAGTTTGCCTGGATACATTCTGACGTGTAACAAGTACCTGCGTTCGAATGAAGAGAGCGGTAAACAAAACCGTATACGCGCATTACCTCCTTACTGAAACGTGAGCCCTTAGGTTCCGCGCTGCGCCAGACTCCTGAAGGAGCATTGCGAAGACGTGCTAGACACCATGAATTGCCAGCACGCCTTCTCATTCTGCGCTAGTGAGATCTCTGCCCCTGTAGAAGCACTAGGTACGTATTGTTGGCAAGCCTATCTTCCGTCTCCCATTCAGAAGTTGCATTGATCAATGCTCCACTGCAGACATCAACCCGTACAACGTCCTGCAACCCTGTTCAAGCCCTCCAGATTGCTACGTTGAATTTTGGGTCGGGTCTTTGCCCCATGGTGTAAGCTGATGATGTGGTTTGTCGACAGCGCCATCGCCGACTACCTCACGCGTCCCGATGTCCGTCAGATGCTTGGAGTGGATCCTGCAGTGCCCACCCCGTACCAAGGCCATAGTGACAAAGTAGGGTACGCGTTCATCGTAGACGGAACAGATCTACAACGCACTGCGACCGCCCACGTAGCAGCACTACTTGAACGCGGTGTCCGCGTGCTCATCTATATTGGCAAGAATGGTGCGTGGCGCTCTACCTCCGCCATTGCATACAGAATATACTGAGCTGCGCACGTAGATTACGTATGCAACTGGATTGGGAACTGGAAATGGCTGACTGTACTTGACTGGACGGGAGCAGAGGCATTCAAGGAGTCCGAAACACGGAACTGGGAGGTCGATGGGAAGGTTGTGGGCGAAACGAGGAGCTCAGGGCATTTGACGTGGGCTACAATCGAAGGGGCAGGGCATTTGGTGGGTCTTCGCCGGTTCATTGATCTGTGGCGTGTGATATTGAGCGCCGTCGGTACAGGTGCCGTACGACCAGCCAGAGGTGGCGTTGACGATGGTCAACAGGTGGTTCGGAGGTCAACCGTTGTAGGATGTATTGACTAGCCCAAATTGGGCATTCCGTAAGCTATGATGGCTGGGTCGAAAGATCTGTCCGATAGAGCAATGCGGCGTGGCTACTGATAGACCTCCTTTTGTTCACGCTGTGTGGATAACTTCGACTTCTGCTGCGTGCGCGAGACGGAGCTCTGGTAGAGCTAGAGCTGACGTCGATACTCTATGTTTAGCCGAACTTCAGCGTCTCGGACCACTATATGCACTATCTCTTTGGCCTCTATGCTGTCGTTGGCGCAATCAATAACCCTGACCAGATCACCATAAGAAAGCCGTCGACCGTCAAGTGATCAACGTGGCTTGGCGACGAATGCTTCGGACATATCAAGGACGACGGCACCCCGAGTACGCTTCAGCACCTTGACGGCACACCCTTCGAGCGCTTGAGCCGGGGTGTGAAGCACCGGTCTGTGACAACATGGGCCAAAGCACGTACCAACCAACCTATCATTTTCACTTTCCTACACGGAGGGTCAACCGTTAAACCTGAAGGATACGTTCTGTCAAGGAGACTAGAGAGTATGCCGCCATGAGTTGGATGCCGAACCCAAACACCAGCCGTACAAGGGTCGTATCAGAGCAGATACCATTGTTTTGTCGCAACGAAAAGCATATACCTCCAATCGCGTTCTCAACCTCATGATCATCAACATGGTACTCTGCCTATGTACGATACCACAATGCAAACATGATCTTGCTTTGACAGCGCCATGTGGCACCTGTCAAGGTTTGAAATTGCAGGCCATGCCGTGGCATTGGCTACTAGCACTGTAAGGCCAGCATGCGCGTTTCAAGTAACAACGGATGTGAGCGAAGGTACCCTCGACATCGATCCACTCCTTTCTCTCCATCCGTCACCATACATCCTAGCGATACCTCCGAACTTCGCAGCATATGCCTCATGACAAGCGTGCACGTTTCCTCGGGCGACGGGCCCGCGCCGTACTCGAGAATGGCGAAGAGAATACCGAGTGGGAGCTCAACAGTGTAAGATCGCACTCGACGCGGAGTTCCGCTGGTTCGACGGATTCCGCTGGTTCGTGTTCGGACTCGAGTTCCGACGAGGAGACTGTGAATGACGACGAAACGGAAGTGGGCGACACGGACGAAGAGGCAACACGCTCAAGGACTGGGGATGTCAGTTTGGGTGACGCGATGGAGATCGACACTGTCGGATGGAACGAAGATGCTGAGACTCCTGCTACCCAAGTTGGCGGGCGGGTGAGGACGTCGATCGCAAGTCCTTCCACTTTCGCATCGGCCACGGCCGTTGTGGCGTTACAAGATGGGCGTTTAGATCCAACACAGGTCAGCTTATGCTTGGGCCGAATGAGCTCTGGACTGAACTGAACACTGAACATAGGATGCCGAGTACCTCGGCCCTCCCACTAGGTCAAACTTCGAGATAACCATCACACCCAGCCCCACTCCTGGTCCTCCTATCGTGCTCGTTCTCGCCAAACCGACCGCGTCCGAACCAGTTGCGTCAATCAGTCCTCTTGTCTCGCCCAGTGCCTCTGTAGCGCTCGATCCTTCCATATCGCCGGTCTCTTCTGTCCGTTCCGGTCTTGTGGAGCGACCACGCCCCCTTCGGATGGCGGGAAGTATCGAGATTCTCAAACGGTCGCTTTCCGCCATCAGTATTGGGCAATCTCAGCCCAAGGCCGCCGAGATTGGGACGGAGAAGCCTGTCCTTAATGAAGAGGGAACGGATACACGCCTCGGCGCCCGCGGTAGCTCGAGCCAGAATCAACTAGGAGGGGATGAAGACGCGAAGAGTCAGTGTTCCGAGAAGAGTGCCGAACGCGTCACTCCCACTCCGACGCAGACGGGCTTTTTGCCGCCAGAGCCTTCGCAAACTTGGCAGTCAGCCACGATCCCCCTCGCACGCCTTGCAGCATCATCATCGGCGGAGCGCACACTGGAGGAAGTTTCATTAACGGAGACCTCGGGCTGTAAGCCTGACGCCGCGGCCAACGAGACCTGCGCGACACCCACGCCTCTACCGTCGGTCGAAGACCGCGAGTTTCATATCGCCATGCATGCGTCCACAATCGTGGAGTCGACGAGCGTTGACCAAACTGGAGACATGAGTAGCGCCTTCACGGGCTTATGGGACGATCTGGCAATCTTGGTGCGCGAGATGCAGGAGCTATCCATCGCCATCGAGAAGGGCGCCGAGGCAGGGAGAATGCAGAAGACAGCGACATCTGGAGCGCAGGTCAGCAAGAAGCCCTCGATCCACAAGGTCCGAGAAGTTCCAGTGGTCGCGGACGCCTTCAACGCCCAGCCGGTCATGAACGAAGGGCGCGGGGCCCCAATTACACTAGCCACTCTTGAGGCGGCGTCTCGTTCGGTGCGGGAGAAACCTGAGATCACACTGCGCGGCTCTTCGAAGGCTTCCGGGCTGACAAAGGGTATAGTGAAAATGGCTAGATCTCAGGAGATACAAAGCGAACAGCCGAGCGACAGGTTCTGGAAGGACGATCATATTGGGCAGTGGGTGGCGACGAGCGCTATCCCGTCGGAGAAGACTCGATCGAATCTTCTAACCAGAGTTTAGAGTATATGTTCTTGTAGCTTGTGTAGACAGTACTACTGAGATGCCGGATAGGCTCGTGATAAGACTCTCAAAGTGGAAGACACGATCATTGAATGTGTGAACATGGTGGTGAGAAGCAAAGTCGCTCCTTGCTTCGAACGGCCACCACCACTCCTCCGGTGACTTCCTGTCTCGGCCCGCCACCTTTCTCTAGAATATCGATACCGCGTGTAACAAAATGGTGGCCTCATCCAGTCGTACGCAAGTCGGCTAGTCTGTTTGCGCATATCACCGACGGCTATCTCAGAGCTTCCAATGCTGCGAGAGATCACGATGGAATCCCTTCCTGCTGAGCCGACCTCCGAAAATGGAGATATTCCCACAAACAAGATCCGGTTCGACGACGATATCGCAACGTGGAAGAACACGCGAGGCTTTCAGGACTACACCTTGTTTCTGCGGAGATTGGACCAGTCTGTGACCGGTGTTCTGCTTCCTTGGGATGGCGGTGAACCGAGCGAGGTCTATCCGGACTTGCTTAAGCCGAGATTGAGCGCTAACTCTCTCACGTAGGCAATCAGCGCTCTGGTTCGATTGCTTGATGAACTGAATGGCTGGATCGATGATATTCCACCGCAGCCAACACCACAGCGTTTTGGCAACTTAGCGTTCAGAGCGTGGGGCAAGCGACTAGAAGAGGTATGCTCTTCGAAGACCATTGAACAAGAATGGCAATATTCAACTCGGTGTATTCTAGCGTGCACCGGCATTGTTGGAAACTCTGCTTCCTACATCTCATCGCCGTCTCATTCCCTTGCTAAAGCCATATCTGATCACGGCCTTTGGTTCATTCGTCCGCATGGACTATGGCACAGGCCACGAAACGTCATTCGCCTTGCTACTTTTGTGTCTCACACTCGTACGCTTCCTGCGCCCCGAACGCGATGAAGAACGTCACATCGTGTTCACTGTCTTCGCGCGCTATCTGACCCTGTGCTGGCGTCTACAAGACGTCTACAAGCTTGAGCCGGCCGGCAGTCACGGCGTCTGGGGGCTAGATGACTCCCATTTCTTACCTTTCATATTTGGCAGCGCTCAGCTCAAAGGTCCGGGCTCCTACTGTTCATTCCAATCGGACTTCATAATGACGAAGCAACTTCTTGCAGGTGGGGATATCCCCGTGAATGCGGTCCTCCGGCCGCCATTGCCCGCGTCCAATCTTTACTTCATGTCGATCATGCGCATCCACCAAGTCAAGACGGGCCCCTTTCATGAGCATAGCTCGCAGCTTCACGCGATTGCGACAAGTGTTCCTCACTGGGGCAAGGTCAATCAGGGCCTGTTGAAGATGTACGACGCAGAGGTGCTCGGAAAGCGGGTTGTTGTGCAGCACATTCCGCTCGGCGGTTTGCTTGAGTGGGGCGAACCCGGTTCGGAGCAAGACTCGAAGGTGCAACCACATGGCCAAAGGGACGTACAGCCAAACGTTACTGCGCCTTCATGGAACCAAGCTGGTGCAACCGCAGCTCCTTGGGCAGCCAAGTCTATACCGCCTATATCGCGAGCAGCCTATGCGCCATCTGCCGCTTGGTCACAGACGAGCACTACTACATTTCGGCCCATCCCTGTCACTACGGCGGCACCAAGGAAGACCGCTACGTCTGATACAGCATCGTCTGTTCGTGGGCTCGACAGCGGATAGATTCCTTGAGAAATGGTACTATGTCGTTGACAGACGGTCTACGCTTCATTCACCATGTATCAGCACATGATATCAAAGTCATATTGTAAATCGTCGATCACCTGCAGTGGCCCGACCGACATACTGGCAGAGTTTGCGCCACAGCAGTTCACGGAGCTCGAAGCTGAGGTTAACGTTTGAAGATCCGTTCTACTGCGTGCGCACCGCGTCGGGGCTTCTACGATATGCTCGCCTTTGATTCGGTCAATTGCCGGAACCATTCGTGCTCTCGCCTCGACGAAGATAAACAAAGGAAGTGGCAACGAGGCTCGTTATAATAGTCCAACAATAGTTAATACGGCCTTGTCGAACTGAGCAGACTGAGATCCGAAATTTGAAGATCGATGGTCGAGGCACGGTCCAACCACCGTCTGACGTTGAAGGTGGCGGTGCCATTGCCCGAACGGGTTTTGCCGGGCCAATCAAGTGCATACCGCGTGCCGTTTGAGAAATTATATAGTGCCCCGTCATCGCGACCGACGAACCGCCTTTCTCCCTCCCCCACCACCCGTCCCACCCGACTTTTCGACGTCTATCGTCTGATCAAGTCTTCGCGTTCGTGCGCAAAAACACGACGCGAAGCGCCCTAGTGCCACAATTTCTGACCAAGAGAGAAACGACGATCTTCGTCTGTTGACCCTCGAGTATGTCTTATTTTGTCCAATTTCCTGTAGGATCCGCGCGCCCGCTTCCACTATTCTGTCATTCCTGCCTATACGGTCTCTGGCCAAATTATCTCATCCGCACTGGCGCGCGATCCCCCAGACCCAACCAATCTGAGTATATATGACTGACGAATGTCGTGCAGGTGGTCTTGTGTTCGCGGCGAACCTCCCTGACAGGACACCAGCTCATTGGCATTTTTATCTTTAACTAAATCTAGACACCACCGGTCTCGACCGACTCGTTTCCTGCCTTCCTCGTCACTGCACTTGTCCTCGCCGCTCACCGCGCCGAGGATCTACCACCGTCTGAAGCGAAACCCAGTCTTTACCGTCGCCGTCCGCCCCGGTTCGCCTTAGACCGCGGCGGTTCAGGTTCGGTAATCCGGGTTTACCAAGTCCACCACCGAAACGTCTTCTCTCGAGCCTTCGCTTGAGAGCGACCACTCAAGCGCATCTGTCAGCCCAGACCCATCGTTCCCACCAACTCCAGACGAACCGTACATCGTCTTCGAAGACACCATCCAGACGACTATGTCACAAGTTGAAGTTCTCCCGGCACCCGTCTCCTCAAATCTCTATATCAATGATACCCTCAGCCGCGTACGCGCTGTCGAAAAGCTGCCCTGGGCAGCCTCTGGTTCTCCGATCCTTGCCTCACCTCTGGCTGAGCGCAAGTCCGCTGAAGAGGCCGGTGATGACGTCGCAATCCCTGGTCTGCCGCCTGTCCATCGCGGCCACACCGACATTCACCTTCGGGAAGGCGTGATGCGTGCGGCAGAGCTCGCAGCGGACGGCGAGCCTGATGCGGAGAAGGCGTTCTTTGTAGCCGATCTGAGCTATGTATACATGCAACACGAGCGGTGGATGCGCAATCTGCCCGAAGTTCAGCCATTCTACGGTCAGCTTGTCCTCATGATCGCGCGAGAACGTTCGTCCTGATATGTTTTCCAGCTGTCAAATGCAACCCCGACCCGTATGTGCTGCGCCTATTGGCAGGGCTCGGCGCGGGTTTCGATTGTGCATCGAACGGCGAGATCGCCAACGTCCTTGGTACTGGCATCGTTGACTCGTCACGCATTATCTACGCGAACCCGTGCAAGGCCGTATCGCATCTTAAGCAGGCAAACGCTGCTGGTGTTGACCTCATGACGTTCGATAACGCCGATGAGTTGCACAAGGTGGCCCGTGTACACTCAGGCGCCCGCCTCGTCCTTCGCATCCTTACGGACGACTCGAAGGCCCTTTGTCGCCTCGGCCTCAAGTTTGGCGCTCCTCTATCTGCAGTCCCCGGCCTTCTGGCGAAGGCGCGGGAGCTCGGCCTCAATGTTGTCGGAATCAGCTTCCATGTCGGCAGTGGCAACTACGACGCGACTGTTTTCTCGGACGCTGTTTCTCGCGCTCGCGCTGCATTCGACATGGGTCGCGACGCAGGCTACCGCTTCAGTTTGTTGGACATCGGTGGAGGCTTCGAGGACGCTACGTTCGAGGCTACTGCCGCCGATCTTCGGTCGGCTATTCAACAATACTTCCCGGACCGTTCCGGCCTCAAGATCATCGCCGAACCCGGACGTTACTACGTCGCTCGGGCGTTCAGCCTAGCGGCGAATATCATCGCGCGTCGTGCCTCGGCTGAGGGTTCTGAGGCACCTCCGGCTCCTGTTGACCCCGTAGGTGACGAGCAACCCACCGTAATGTGTACGTCTCCAAAATTGCGGGGTGTGCGCTTGGACTGACGACATACTCATTAGACTACATCAACGAGGGCGTTTATGGTGCCTTCAACTGCATCATGTTCGACCACCAAGTAGTCCATCCGCGCGTGCTCGCTCTCGGTGGTTCGTTCCATGTCCCCGCGGACGTCGCTGCGGACACGCGCACGGCGAGCGTGTGGGGACCGACGTGTGACAGCATCGATTGCGTGTCCCCCACAACACGGCTGCCCTCTGCGCTTGCCGTCGGCGACTGGCTTGCCTTTGACAACATGGGAGCCTACACCGTCTGCGCTGCAAGTCAGTTTAACGGCTTTGCGCTCAGCACTGTCGTGTACACGACCGGCGGAGGCCAGGGTGCGGCGGAGACGCGGCGCGTGCTCGCGGGTCTCGCGGGCGCGCTATAGAAGTTCTGTTTCTGGTTTGGTCTTCAGATCCACGAGGCTCTCACTTCTCGGACACTTGACGCCGAGGTAACGAACGACTGCATGTGGTTAGGCTATCTTGTTCTTCGTTATTGGAAAATCAAGTTTAATTTGTCGTCATGAGCGGCTTTCGGAGAACTCGAGGGGAAACTCGCACAGGAGCTCGGTACCGTCGAAGGCATCGGGCCTGACGTTGTAGATGGGAACGATGCGCCGACTTGCCGACTGCGTTCTCGAGATCAGCTTCTCCAGGCACTCGTTACCCCGACTCGGGAGGCTCCCCACCGGCCCTGACAGTCCTCCCGCTGTCCAGCTACAACCCGTCAACAACCCGTCAAACAAAATACCCGTGCGACGGTTCTCATGTCGCGTTGTTGTGTGCGTGTATATCGCATCTCTTTCTTTGCCTTTGTTGCGTTGCGACGCTGTCTTCTAGCTAGCTGCGCGGGGCCACTCGGTGATTGCTTCATATTGAAGTATCGCTCTGACACGAATCCCGAGCGGCGAGCGCGAGTCCGGCCCGTGCCCGATGTGTGCGTGCCGTTCTCCTCGATCTTCTCGTGCGGGCAGCTGACTCTGCGCTTTGTTAGGCTGACCCAAGCCGGTCTTGGCTGCGATCGGCCACTCTGGTCAGTTACGCGGAGCTTATCGTCGTCGTCGGCATGAGCGCGCGTGGACCGCGGGATCGCCTCCAAGGCACTGGACTCAATGAGGCGTTGTGGCCCGCGCCGCAGGGGCTATGGCATCGGGCAGACTCGCTGGTCCGGAGGGGTTGACACCAGTGCGTCCATAGGTGCGCTTGCTGAACAAGGAGGACATCAGACGTAAGAACGCACGAAATGAGATGGTATTGAACAGGGCAAACTGGTTACTGTAGGGAACGCTCTTCGGATCCCAACTGCGTCTCGTGCTCTCCTCCGCCACAACGATAACCTCGTCATGATCGGTTCACCCGATACGCAATAGCGGGAACTACCTCGAGTGCCGTACGCGTCTCCGGGGCGCAAAGGATCTTACTGTTAGCGTTCAGCGCTCAATGCCCTCCCATCCACTTGGGGATATTGGGCCGACAACGCACCCCGCCACAGCATTCTCAGGAATAGATTTGGGAAGTACTTACTCCCTCACCCTCATTCTGGCGCATTTAGCGACGATGCCTACGCAGCGGCGGCCGTAGTTGCGCATCGCAAAGGAAGAGTAGGAGGATCTCAGATATCATCACCTGTTATGGCAGCCTGGGACATCTGGTAGAAGTTACTGTACTGCTACAATCGCAGTGTTTTCCTCTTCTTTTAAGGAACAAACCGTGGTCACATCAAGTCCGGACGGAATCGTGAGCACCTGTGAGCCTACGTGTCCCTGCAAAGCTGACAGAGAATCTTAGTGCGCACCGAGATGCGGGCGCTTTCTCGTCCGCATGGCAAGCGCGCAGACGACTGGAACGAACCGCCTCGACCGGTTCAATTGCGGCTCCAACGCCCGATGTGATCTCGATCCCTTCTTGCGGGGTACGAAGTATATTAGATATATGCGCTTGCTGCCACGCAGCACGCGAGCGGGAACCCAGACCGCGGTGCACGAATCCCGTACTCCAACGCTTACCGCGCGGGCCGCCGCCTAACAGTATAATAACCTACGCTTGCCGTCACTTGCAAACTTTTTCCTCTCCTCGCCAAAACACGTACTCCCTTTGGGTGAGCCTCGCGACAGCTGCTTTGTCGAGGCAACACGATTCTCGGAATTCTCCTTCGCCTCTCTTTATAACGCGTTCCTTTGATAGTGGCACCAGGGTCCTTGCTGCTCTTTGTTCTCGCCGCCGTTTTAGTTGTTAAGCCGTGAGACTGCGACCCTACATCATCTATTCGCCACTCGAGCTAGCGTCATGCCTTTTGGTCCACTCGAGGTAAGTACACGTGCTGCTACCTCTCGTTCAATCTTCATGTCGATACAAGCCGATACTTGCAGGAGTCAGTGCTCACCGTCGCGGCACCCAGTCATGCTCCAGCACCGTTCACCCCCTACAAGTCCGGTATCAGCATTCAGAAAAGCCGCTACATCACGTCCAACGATCCGCGAGGGTATATGTACGTTGACCTTTGAATTTCGCTCTCCGTGGCTGATTTCATCGCAGCCCCGTGTATGAGTACTCGGTTAATGGGCATTGGATCATGATAGACGCAGACGATAGCTTCGTCCTCTGGACTGGCATATGGAAAGGTACATTCCTCGTCTTCACGTTTGCCGCAACTGCTCATGGCCGCTCTCATGTAGCCCTGGGTAACTCCAAAGGCGAGCAATTGATCCTCAAAATATCGTGCCGCTGTCAATCTAACTCCTCAACAGCGGACGTCGTAAAAATGGTCGAGTCAGTGCCTGACCTCGCGAGTCAGATACGTAGAGTGAGAGGGGGGTACCTCAAGATACAAGGTACTTGGATGCCTTATAAAGTAAGTATGGTCGATATCCCAACCAGACGGCCATGGCTCACACCACCCTCGCATAGACTGCAGCTCATCTCGCTCGACGGTACGTGCTTTGTACCTATGATCACTCCCTATCGTGGTGCTCAGATGGTCGCATCCAGTGTCGCTTATAATATTCGAGAGGAACTGGTGCCAATATTCGGGTAAGATTGATAAGCATGTCTACATAATGATGTTGTCTGACACTCCTGAACTGTAGTCCGGAGTTTCCGAATTCGTGTCTGGCTCCTCATGAAGACGGGTATGGCCAGTTGAACGAGAAGGGCAGTCGACGCCGTCCACGTCGAACTGCGCAGGCTTCTGTATTCTCCACCAGCGGCGGTCAGGGCAGCCATAATGGCGGTTGGGCGATGGTCAACTGGAATACAGCCTCGGCATCATCAGATACTGGGCACCAATCTACTCAACGCGCAGCGACTCTCCAATCGACATCTGCGCCCGTACCGTCTCCTCTCCACGAACTCGGTGTCAACCGTTCCCCAACATCTTTCACCAGCCGTTATGCACCCTACTCAACGCCTCGCTCTCCACACTCGCCCGAAGACCGTCATCGACGACATGCGACCGCCTCGCTGCCTCCAACCAAGGTCGTGGCTTCTCTGGCGCCGACTGCACAGTTCATACCCCAGGTCGCCCGTGATGGTCGTGAACTGCTGCTGCCCCCCGTCAACGAGCTTTCCGCGGGCCGTCCACTGTCTGCAATAGAATCGCGAGCACTCTTACACCGCCTTCGGGAAGATGACGCTAAACAGCGTCTGCCCGCGGCGCCAGAGCCAACTTCGCTCAGTCAGCAGGCAACTCTGCTCGATCAAGAAATGCGCAGGCGGTCTGAAATACTCCTTGCTGGCGGTTGTGCCACCACCGAGGCACACAGCCCTAAAACGTGAGTACGAATCTTTTTATCTCGGCGCCGGGCGCCATCGCAAAACAGCCGATTGATGAGATTTCCGCCCAGCTCTAGCCCAACGCACGCAATGCACTTGGTGAACTTAACTTCTACGACCGATAGGGATGTCAGGTTCAGGGGCGTACCCCGCCTCACGGTCCCCGAGCCGTCCTTGCGACCTCGCTTAGACGGCCCGGCGAGCTGCGATTCTTCCAGCGCGAGCACCGGTTCGTTTGAACACAGCCCTATCACTCCCGTCACGCCTCCACAACTCCCTTCTCCCTCGACAGATGCCGCGGCCGAGCGCATGCACGGTCTCCCGTCTATTTCCATGCTAAAGCAACACGTCGACGGCACCGAAACGCGAGCTCATCTGTGGTAGTCCCGCCCGTTCGTTTCATACTCTCGTTATGTACCCAGTCCAGGTCTCTGCCCACATTTCACGCGTGCCACCGGAGTCCTACACCCCATCGATTTAAATCACATAGCTCTCACGCGTTGCTGTCCTGCTTCAAGTTCATTGATTATTCATAGCTACACACTCAGGTCTTGCTTGTCGCCTTCTTTACTCTCGCGGCTCAATACTAGTCCGTGCCATCAGCCGTGTGCGTCTCAAACAGTTGCTGGGAGTCGTAGGCAGAAACGCGGATCGCAGACTTGTTTGATATGATGCGCCAATGCAAACTCCCCGCGCGTTCAAGTGTGGATCCTCCCTTCATCTCGCAGTATCGCCCATCAGACAGAGAGTTGACGCTCGCCTCAGCTATCGACTGATACGGTTCTGGAAGAAGCCTGTTAGCAGAGATCGTGGCCAGAGGTCGCCAGAGGAGGACTTCATTCAATATCCTTCGCGAAGCAACCTTACGGAGTCGGTAGTTCACGGGGGCTGTTAGGGAAGTAAGAATCACATTCAATGTAGCTTGCAAAGGGGACGCGGCCAACATGCTAGCAAGGGAAGTAGACGGCGTCTGGAGGCTACACTGACGTCTGTTCTCACATGGGATACCGTAGCGTGCTCGCTGTTACGGCCGGTCGTCATCCCCTTGCCTGACCTCGCCGGCATAAAATGGTCAGGCGGCGGCTTCAAACTTATTATGCGGGTCATAAGCGGGCATAGCGGCGAGCTGTGGAAGCATCGGGTTCCTATGCAGCTTACCCATAATGGCTACATGAGTGACTGCTGCCACGCTAGAATCTTTCGCTTCTATATGTCTTGTTGATGTAGTTGTGGATCCAAGTAGGTCCTTCTGCGCACTCTAAAGATGCGCACCACATATGCGTTCACGACCAACCTGCCCGTGGTGGCCGTGAGCCCGAGCATAGTTGCCCAATGTGGTGCTGGTGGCGTCCGCACATAGTTGCTCCGATTGGCAGTCGCTTCGCACGTCGAGTCCTGGCCCCACGGAGCAAGCTCACATGCATTCTTGGAAGCAGTGTACGTCTGACGCGCAATCAGTGGGAGACGACACTGGTGACTCGTCGCTCGACTATATGTCGGAGAGCGCCTTGCTGTAGAGGTTTGAAGCCCCGCAGATCATGTCGCGACGGCTGTCATGTATCGAACCGGTTGATCGACAACGGCTGATTCAAGTGTGGCAACGTCTTTGCGGTATGTAAAAGGTGGTGAGAGCGAAAGACTCCTTCCATAGATACATACGGTCCCAGCGCGTCCTTCTTGAATTGAACGGCAAGCTTTGCCTAACTCTGAGTGCAGGAACAACTACGGTTACGTCTCACCATTCAGCTGAAGTGAAGGCAATCAGGGAGCAGGGCTGATGATTCTTCGCTTCTGGTGCGGAAACCTTACGGAACACCTATCAGGTTCAGAACGTTTAGTCAAGAGCCTCGTAGTCTGATTATGGCGAAATGTGCGACGATCAACCGGCGGCGGCGTGCGCTGAGAACTGCTACGGCGTATGGCCATATCATTTCGAAGGTACGTCGATGTAATACCTAATTCAGGCAACGGGGCTATGCTTGATAAGTGGTGCAGATCCAGCATATAGTAGCGTACAAGTCTTACTTGTGGAGTGCAGGAGTATCGCCATTCGACTCAAGATCTACAAGCTTCATGCAATTTGGGACTTGTCTGGTACCCACGGTAAGTACGGATGAGAAGCTGATAGGGCGAGGTCATCGAAACGACGCGGCGCATGTGCGCGAGGTTGTAGTACCGCGAAACGCCCAGGGGAGTTGATGAACGCCACTGCGCGCTCCGTCTTGAGCCCAAAACATGACTGCCGAGTCAGAAAAGCGGAGAGCCGTGTTCCATGTGATCGGAAATGGCCGACGAACGCTACGCCTGCCTCTTATAGTGGCGGGAACGATCTGAGTGCGGACAATCAAGCGCCGACAAAGCGGCCATCGAGTACAGTGATTCGGAAATGGCTACAAATGTTGTATGGCGGTGATCCTCCGGAAAGGGCCCTCTAGTATAACTTCGGGCAGAGTGGGACAGGATATAGCGTGCGCCAAAGGTAGATACAGATAGATAGCGCCAGAGCGGAAAGTCGACTAAGGAGACAGCAAACTCCAACGGTGTCAGTAACAGGGGTGCTGAACAGTTTCTACTCTTAGATTCTGGAGACAAGCCGCGTCAGCGTCGTGAAACGATGGTGAAGGCGGATCTGTGACTCACCCCAGAATGAACATGAGGAGATAACCCAAAGTCGCAACGACCTGCATACGTTCAGATTGTGACATAAGGCAAGCGACATGAAATCATACCAGGGCTGCGATGATACTTGCGGGTACGCCATTCTTCAGGAAGTCGACGTTGGTCAGGTAGAGCTGGCCCATCTCATCTTCCTGCGTCGCACTAGAAGTCGCTTAGCGCACATTGTATTACAAAAGCATATGGAACGCACGCTTGCTGGTTCGGGAAGCCCGACACGGGCATGCCCATACCCGTTGAACAGATGAGGCCCGTGACAAAGATTAGTAGGTTTGCCTGATTGCCTGGTAGGGCTGCGCCGACTTGCTGCGCGATGGGCACGAGTAGAACCGCCGCGATGGTGTGGCTGATGAACGTCGATACGACAAGGACGACCATGGATAAGATGAGCACGACAGCATATGGGGACATGCCTGCCACAAGGCCGCGAATAAGGACATCCATCTTGCCAAGGAGGCCACTCGAAGTGACACCCTTGCCGAGCGCGATGCCGCCCATGGCGAGGAACACAACGGACCAAAGGAAATGTTCGAAGTCATCCTGCATATACTGTTAGCCCGCTCGGGCCGCTTTCGAGCATGAAGACAGCTGACCTTCTTGAGGACGCCCGTCCCGAAGAACGCGACGATGGGGATAACGGCGATGATGCCCATGTCGCCGACATAGTTCTCGATGGCACGCGCAACACACCACAATGCGATCGTGCCCAAGCAGACCAGCGCGACGAAGACTTGCTTGCGTGTGAAACCCTCACGTGTCGCGCGGACGGACTTGATCTCCAGCGGCTCGCCTGTCGGTGCGCGTGACGGGTTATACGCAAGGAGCAGCAACCCCCATATCAGAAGGATGCTTACAGCGCTCACTGGCAGCGCAACGGCAAACCAGCGAGCCCAATCGAGTGGAGGGTCCATGTACTCGAGCGCGATTAGATTCTGCGGTGAAGAGATGGGCGAACTTTGCCCGCCGATGTTTGCCGCAAGTGCGATGCCGAGCTACAGAATACACACATTGGTCAGGTGAACAATGCAATAAACCCTCGCATAGTAAAGAGACGCACGATGAGGCATGGGCCGAAAGCAGATTTAGGAGGAAGCGTCCGGAGGATGGGCTGGCGAAGCCATCGGTTAGCGCCCGAGCCTTGACGCCATAGGGGTTGAAGTGCAATAAGCTTACCCGCACTAGAGCGAAACAGAGGGTCGGGGCGGCAACGTTACTGAAAAGAGTGATTAGCCGTATACGCCACTAAGGATGTGGCACAGTCGTACCTGATCCACATGCTGGCAAAGCAGGCGACTCCCATGACAGAGAGAAGGACTGTGCTTGGTCGAGTACCAGCAAGCGATAGCACGCGAGTAATGAGCATACGATCAATGTTAGTCTTCGACAATGCGGCCGCGATGGTGAACCCGCCAATGAGCAGCATGAGAGTTGGTGAGAACATCTGAGAGAAGATCCATCTGCTTGCATGTGAGCGAGCGTAAAAATCCAAGAGAGGTCAGATGAAACCCACTTGGTTGCGTCCTGGGGGGAAAGCCGGTCTCCCGTAGTCGGATCTATGATAACACGTAACCAGACCAATAGCGGAGATACCGCAAGCGAGGTCACGAAAAGAGGTAGGACTTCTGTTGCCCAGAGAATGGTGGCAAAGACCAGTACGGCAAGGCAGCGCTGTGCCGCTTCGCCTTCCACAGTCGGCACGGTCAAGAGTATGGCGAACACGATGATCGCGAGAACACCCCAGATGAGTTTCCAGCTAACCCGCACCGGCCCTGCAGGCGTCCAGACCTTGATCTCCTTTTCGTTGACCACGGGGCCCGCCACACCGCCTTCATCGTGCCGCTCATTGGCAATCATCTGGCGCCAGACAGTGTCACGCTCCCAAGCGATGTGCTCGCGTAGGTTCACTTTGAGTTGCGAGCGAGCGAGCGACAGGTCTCCACGTGTTACGCACTTGGCGTACATGGACAGAAGCCTATCCTGAACTTCGGCTAGGCGTGCCTTGGCTGGCCCGTCCCAGGGCGATATCTTCTCGATAACCTCGTGCATATAGTAACTTTGAAGCTGACCGTAAATCAACAACAAATTCGCATCGGCCGGTTTGGTGGACTGACCGAGTTATCCGTGACCTTGTCGTACTTCTTCAACACCTTGCGGAAACCAGTATAATTCATTTCGGCATAGCTCTTGAGCGAGCTGGAGTCCACGAATAGATTCGTCAAGCGCCGTTTGAACAACAGTTGCGTATCCTGAGCGTAATTGGAGTTGGAGGTCCAAATCGTATCCCCAGCGCCGCTAGCACTAGCGCTGTCCTGGCGTGACCCATGGCCAAGGGACGCGATGCTGTTGGCCAATTTGTTGATGACGCCTCGGGCCACATGCGGCGAAGTCTCGCTCTGCGTACGGGGTCGTTGTGGAGTGATGAGCGGTTGTTCTTCAGGTACTGCGGGGATTCCGGGCGCTTGCGGTTGCAACTGGCGTAGTGAGGCTAGCGACATGTGTAGATCCTCGTTATCCTCCGACGACAAGCTCGACCTCCTGTCCCTCCGCGGCGAAGACACATCTCTAGGTATAGGGCCAACTCTGTCCGTCGAGATACGACTGAGAGACATGTGCCTTCGCCTCTTTGGCAGAGTCTGATCCACACTGGGATCTCGCGTATAGCCGTCGTCGTCCTCATCATCATCGTCTTCCTCGCCATCGGAAGAGGCGTATAAACGCGCAGCGGTGAGACCCAAGTCATCTTGTTCCTTCACAAGCTCCTCAACCTCGCTAACTTCGTCCAGCAGCTTTCTCTCCTGCATCTCGTAGAACTTCGTGATCTTCTGAACCTCATCGTCTAGTAATGGTCGGAATATAGCGTCGGTATCTGGTGATGCCCCCGAGACTAGGCCGGTCGATTCATTCGCCTCCAAGTCATGGTGTTGCGTACGTGCTTCGTGTTGTTCGCGTTCTAGTTGGTATATGTATTTCTTCAGGGTATCGTACCTATCACCTGTGTTAGCACTTCGGCAAGGTGGGGTAGGTCGGTCTACGTACGCGATATACTCGTCCCACCAGTCAACGACCGCGTTAAACTTGAGAGAAGAGCTACAACCCTGGTTGTCAGCCTGTGCTTTCTCTTACCGAGTAGTATATCAAACGCACCTGAACTTCATAGCTAGCTCGGCTTTACTGAGAACTCGAGTGCGCGCTTGAGTTGCCTCGGTCTCCGAAGCAGCGATTTGACCGAGCGCAATATACTCGGACTCTAGTGATGTAGACCGACCAGCCCAGAGATACCGGAGTAAAGCAGCAATGTTGATTGCAGTCTAATGAGCCAGAAGCATCAAATCGGCGAGAGTAGATGGACGTTCACCCGAAAGAGCGAATGGCGGATCCGCGCTGCGTCACGGAACCGGAGATTCTGTACAGGCGCCGACGGCGAGAGCCTCGAGGCGCGCGCCGATCAGGCATCAATTCTCTGTCTCCGACTACCATCTTGCGCCATTATGAGTCCACATCTGATACCGTTGGACACGGACGTGCAACCCTCCTTGTTCGCTGGTCGAGATCGTGCTACAAAGGCTCTGGCACGGACGCGCTAATGCAAGGCACGCGTCCTTTGACATGGAGTGCACTAGGACCACATGTGGCCCAACTTCTTCCATTGTTTGCTCTCGATTCTTTGTTCTTGGTCTGCAGCCGTCCAAATGCGCAACCACCGACCGCGAGCCGCTATCCTACCATTGTCTGCTGCAACCACACCTCGACTATAAAGACTGGCCGTGACCTCGACGCGCACAACTTCTCAGCCTCCAGGACATCATGTCGAAATTGGAACGCCAACAGATTGTGGGCCCCATGCCCATAGCCGAACTCTTGAAGAATATCTTACATCGCTTGACACCCGGCACGGACAAATCCCGGGATCCCTTTCCTTGCTCGGATCTGGACTATCCCTTGGGCTCAAGACCAGGTTTACGATCCTTTGTAAATATTATCTACCTACACTCCAGCACAAACGCTTACAACAATACCAGGTTGATAGGATTCAGGAGACTCTATGTCCAAACCTAGCATTGGACTTCCCTGCTATGGCTTTGAGCAAGGAGCCCGATGTCTTCTTCGTCGCTCGCAAGCCTGCGTCTCGCGACGACCCTTTGAACCTCACGGATGGGAGAGAACTGGCGTTCTTGCGTGTCTCTCGCGACAAAGATCCCTTCGTGAATAACGCTCCACCGTCACAATCTAGAGACGCATCGCTGTTGTTGCCCGCTCAGCACGCCATCGAGACATTGTCTGTTCTGGCCAATCAGGCCGCCGAGCTCTGGGAGAACTACGACCGTCTCTTTGTCGTCACCGTTCTCCTTATCGGCGATAACGCTGCTCGTATCCTGCGCTGGGATCGAGCAGGTGTCACCGTCTCTGAGCGCATCGCTCTTACGGCCGCCGATAACCCTGTCGCGGAGCTCCTTACGTGCTGGCAGATCATGGCGCCAGCAGACCGAGGATACGATATGACGCTCTCTCTTCCAAGCGAAACGGAGGCCACTCAAGCACGAGAAGCTTTCGAGAGATGCGCAACCGTCTCCATCTCGCCAACTGTGCCACTCCGTCGCATCGTCGTAGCAGACCGCGCAAACGCCTCCCAACCCGAGTCCGAGCATACCTTGATCGCGGCCGCGCCACCGCGCCTAGGTGAAATTGTTGGCCGCGCAACCATTGGATATGTCGCGTATGACTTGACGGCGCGCAAGCTCGCCTGGTTCAAGGACTCCTGGCGAAACGATGTTTACCAGTTCACACCGGAAGGCACGACGGGTCGGCTACTGAATGCGAAGGGCGTGCCGCACGTTCCACGCGTACTTTGTGCCGGCGATGTCCGAGGGCACTATACACGTACGGAAACATACGCACAGATGGGTGGTGCATGGATGCATGGACGACCTCGCGTGCGCGGGCACAGGCATCACCGTGTTGTCTTCGACATAGTTGCGCGTCCGCTGGAGACATTCCGCTCAACACGCGAGTTGTGTACTGCCGTACGCGATTGTCTTATCGGTACATGTTTGGCGACTGCTTTCGTTTACCCCCCTTTGCTCACGAAGCGCACACAGCCCACGAACACGCATGGAACAACGCAGATCTGCTTCATCGCGACATGAGCGCAGGCAACATGCTCATCGACGAGAACGGCCGCGGGGTGCTCGTCGATTGGGAACTGGCAGCTGTGCGCGCAAAGTGTCGTCTCAGTCCATGCATTGGGACATGGAACTACATGTCCGCCGCACTCGCCGAGGATGATCGGCGAGTGAACCGCGATGAAGACGACGCCGAAGCTGCCGTCCATGCCCTCATCGAGACGTTGTTGCGCTATCGCCCCACCAAGGTGCACGAACTACGTGGTGTTCTGGATCACGTATGGCCGAACGAAACGAACGACCCCGTCCCGGGAAGAGGGAAGCGAGAGTTTTGGGAGGGGATGATTGTTGGCGAGGAGGATTTGGTAGCTTCACTCCCACCGCCGTGTGTGGCCATGATACGCGACCTTAGGGCTCTCTTCAGGCATGCCTATGCCGGAGCAAATGCGGTCTGCTGCAGCGCTGTGCGCGGCGTTCTAGACGAACATCTCAAGAGTCCCGGCTGGCTGGAAACTGACGGGGCTTGCGACCAACTTCGGTTTGGCCCAAAGCAATAGCAAGCCTGTACGGACTATACCGATACTGTACACCATACCAATCACTTAGGGATATCCATGGACCACCTGTAGACAAGATGTATACTATTCTCACTTGTACTGATCGTCATGGAGGCATGATTTCCAGCTCGAAGTCACTTCCGAGTCCGCGTCATGACATCGGATTACAGGGTATTTTCACTTTACAACACTTCACAAGATGCAGTACATAATGATACGATGCGCTTATGCAGGAGCCTTGGTGGTACGAAGGTAGGGGCGGAACACCTCGTGCTCGGGGAAGAGCTTCTTCGCGTCGTCCTGCGAGACCGCGGCATGGATGACGACATCCTCTCCGGGCTTCCAGTTGACGGGCGTGGTGACCTTGTGCTTGTCGGTCAACTGAAGCGCTGTATCGGGGAACGCAATCAGCATCATAAACACGAAGAACCAATAGAGGAAACATACAGTCAACAGCACGAAGGATCTCGTCGAAGTTGCGGCCGGTGGCGGCCGGATAGGTGAGCGTGAGGCGGATCACCTTCTTGGGGTCGATGACGAAGACAGTGCGGACGGTGAGAGGGAGCCCCTTCTTGTCAACATTCGTCGAGTCCTGGTAGTCAAGCATGTCGTAGAGCGTCGCGATCTTGCGGTCAGCGTCCGCGATCTGCAGAGATCATCAGTTCGTGTGTGACGTGGCAGTCGGCAAGATAGACACACAATCGGGAACTGAACGTCGGTCTTGCCCCACTCATTGATGTCCTTCACCCACTCATTGTGCGAGTCGAGGCTGTTAGCGGACAAGCCGATGACCTTGACGCCGCGCTTGGCGAAGTCGGGCTGGCGGCGCGAGACCTCGGCGAGCTCGGTCGTGCAAACCGGCGTGAAGTCGTCGGGGTGGGAGAAAAGAATGGCCTGGGGGAGATCTCAGTACTTGATCTGGTTGTGGCGCTGACACACTCTGCGTACCCAAGAGTCGCCGATCCACTCGTGGAACTTGATCTTTCCGCCAGTCGTCTCGGCCTCAAAGTCGGGCGCGGTGCTACCAAGGCGAAGAGTCGGCATGATGTGACTTAGGCTAGCGAGGGAGTGCGATGGTGAAGCGATCTAAAGAATGGGAGAGTTCCCCGCAGCCTTTATAAGAGGACTGCAGCGGCCAGATGCGCACAGATCACGCAATCCTGGTACGAGCTCGATCTGTCCAGGACAGTCCACGGGAACGCGCCAAACCAAATGAGGCACAGACGGCTGGTATCAGGCAGTTCGAAAGGAGCATCTGACGAAAGTATATGTTCTCGTAGATGATGCGGCCTTGAAGAAGGCTTGAATATATCTTGGAAAGGAGATACGCCTGCGGAGTTGCCATAGGATCTTCTGAGCCTCCCATGCATTCACTCTTGCGGCCGTAGCTGTACGGTTGGCGCGAGCGTATAGCTATGCAAGAGCATCTCTCCTAGCGTAGATCGTGCGATAAAGTGGACGATGTACGTACGCACGCCGCTATCGACGGTGGTTGCGCGAGCAAACGAACTGAAATCGCGAGATTGACGTCGTTTGAGGGGCGTGCGAAAGGATCGGCATCTTCCGCTTCGCTGGCGCGACGGCGCTTTCGGCCGAGCACTCACCCTGACCTTCTTCGCCAGCTGAGACGGTGCTGAAGGCTCCCAGCCTTCGAGTTCTTTGCGGATAGCATAAGGCTACACCATACATGCTCAGGACGGCTATCGTGACCTTGTCGCTATATCCTTCTGTCCTTCTGCGTGTCATATTCACGGCTTGTATGGCTCTCACGACCGTCTACTCAGACAGCATCATCTCCAATAGCTCTGATCTATCTGAAACGCTTTGCCAGCCTGGCAGCAACAGCTCCGCTGCCACTACTCCTGCGGTGCGGTGGTCAGCATCGGACGTCTGTGGCGTCTGCACACCTCACGATGTCCACGGCGCTCTGGCTGAATGTCGGATCGTGCTCCTGTTATGCGTGGCATCCGGAGCTCTTACTTCGGGATAAGGTCACCATCTGCACGCGTGCTTGTTCACTCCCTGGGACTGGAGTGCAATGGCACCTCATCCCTGCAAGTTGGTCGGAGAATGATGGTTCACAATCGGCATCGCTCTGTCAAAGTCCCTCTCAGTAGTGACAGCGAGACGCAGAAGCTCACCGCGAGTTGTTGCCTGTGGGCGCTAATCACGCGAGCACACCTGCACACTCAAACGCCGTGTTGTTAAGGTGGAGGTTGTCTACATCTGGACACGTCTTGTATACTCGTTCTGCCGTCATCGCTACTCAATGGAGGCCTTCCATGTCAGGGTAGCTTCCCGATTCCGGCTCCTCGCTCCTCGATGCAGTCTCTTCCCAAGCTCCGACCTCTTCCTTATTTCCCCCGCCTCTTCTCTTCTCTTCTCTTCTTTCCATTATACATGTCACTCTCATGCCAGTCGGGCCTTCTCTTTCCATTAATGTGGCGGTCGCCCTTCGGATAACGTGAGTGAGTCTTCATAACTTAGTATCTCGAGCTCATAGACACCGAGATCTTACGCCGTGAATCGCAGCTACTGCGGCCCGATATCATTGTATACGGCCTCGAACGGCATACCGTAAGCATGAATTGCCTATCCAACTGCAGGTGTGATGGATATCAATGGTGCCGCGGTCCACGGTACGTTCAAAGCACCTTCGTATCAGGGGAAACAAGCAGACTGAACTGACCGCAGGCTCGCAATGCAGTTTGCCCAGGTCATACGGGCATCGCGGCGGTCTCCATCTTCCGACTTTCTGGTATTCTTTGCCCTGTACACGACCTGACAGAGAAGGGTGGACACGACCGCTCAGCAGAAGAACACGGCGCACCTGACCGTGCGGCAGCGCGTGGTCCATCGCGAATAAGGTGAGGTACATCCCTTTTGGGTGCCACAGTTGATCATCGACTTACGCTCAGCTTGAGTTGTGGGGCAGGGGTGCTGACGGTTTCTGTCGCCCGTCGTCTACGGCAATGTGATTGCCTCGGAGCAGTCACCGCAGGCGGTCTCTTTCCGTTAGAGGCAAACCAACGCCCGCACATAGAGCGAAGTGAGTCTCCGTCTGGATTCTCTGTCACTGTCAAACCCAGATCTCGGGGATGAGTGGACGAAAGTCCGTGAACGATGGCTGCCGGTGCCGCAGCTTATGTCCTCTGGCGCCCTGAATCCAAGCACCTTGAGCGCTTTGCAAACCACTGCTCTTCTTATAAGCCTCCGTGCTGTACCTGAAGATTGACTGTCATGCTGACGACTTGACCTCGCGCCTGCAACTTCGCCGTCGTCATGTCCCGCCAGTATCTTGAGGCTCTCAATAGCACGCAAGTGCTCAGCGTGCTCGACGACTCTGTTGAGTACACCGTACACTCCCTCGTCCCGCCACTCGTTATGGAAAGTGTCCTATTCGGTCCGTCATTCGCTTGTCTTGTCGGCACATGACACTTCGGCTAACATTATGACCAGGTATTATCACGATCGCTGCCGTGTTGGGCTTGTATACTTTATGGCATGCCCTGTTTCATGCGAGGCGGATCTGAGCTGACTTGCGTCTCGTAGGGACGCTAGCAGAGCTGGGCGAATCCCTTTCCCCCGTGTCATCGGCTTCGGACTCCTCGCAACCTATGCCATCTTCGTGATTCACTGGGCCTTAGAGCAGACATCCGCGTACAATGCTCAAGCGGAACAAGCTTTGGGATTGCTCGACCTCCTCAACAAACATACGCCGACGAACACGACCGAATGGACCCATACGTTCGCCCGAGTGACCGGCACAGCGCGCAACCTACCTCCACTCGTCACCGAAAGCGCACTCTTCGGAACTGCTACCATCATGTTTGTCGGTACGCTCTGCGCTGCCTGGACTCAGTAAGCCTTCAGACTCACGAATTTTCCATTATCCACGCACTGACTTCGGATACAGCGCCGGCTGGTCACACACACAAAGCTCTCTCATCCTTGGTGCCGTATGCTTGATGTATACTCTCTCTACCGCGCACTGGGGCGTCAATCTTGGCGTCTTCAGCCGCAGTCAGTCTGATGAGAGTCAGGCCAACTTCGCCCTCCTCGGGCTCCTCTCCGCCAACGTTAGTCCTTCTACCTGCCCTCTCGATACAAGATCACCCGCTCATGAGCCTTGCTGCAGATCTGGTTCAGCGACACGATCGTACTTTGGCGAATGTGCATAGTTTGGGAGAAACGTCGCACAGTGCTGATCCTGTCCGCAGCATTGCTATGCTCGACGACAAGTGAGCGCCCTTTGTACCTGACTAGCAGAGAGTCAATACTGACAATGCGACAGTCCTCTCGGCTGTGAATCTTGCGCAAGTCATTCAGATCACGCACAACATATCGACCGATCCCAGCAGTAGCTTAAGTCAAGAGCTCACGAGAGACCCCCAGAAGGAACTCATGTTTGGGTACCACCGTATCGGGATAGTCACAGTACTCATCTCGTCGCTCGTTTCGAATGTCACTGCGACGTCCATGATCGCGTACAAGACCTGGTGAGTGCTTTTTCTTCACGCGTTGAACAAGTGTTGAGAGGAAAGGTTGACGAATCTATGCTTGTGTAGGAGACATCGCCGACGCGTTCTCGCTTATATGCACAATGGATCAAATCGCACTCGCGTCGAACGCATCCTCGCACTGATGGTTGAGTCCGGCGCTCTCTACGCCGTGATCTGCGTAAGCCCCTTCCCACCACTATCCCTTTCTCTCCTGCTTACACCTCGGCACACCTCAGACAACGCACATCATCTGCGCACTTCTTCCCCTCTCAAGCTACGACCCTCTTGACGCAATCGTTCGCACCGGCGCTCTCCCTTCGCTCAAAGCGGTCGACCACTTTGACGCCGCGATGCCCCAACTGATGTCCATATATCCCATGATGATCATCACACTCGTAGCGCTTGATAGGGCCCATGTTGCACGGCACGCGAAGAGCTCCAGCTCAGGATCAGGGTCGGGTCGCCCCGTACCCCTCAGTGTGGTCATCGACGTCGAGAGGAACACGCGCGGTTATACGGAGGAAGTGCGGCTGGATCGCACTGTATCGCGTAGCACATCAGATCGTAAGACGCCCACAGTCGGCCAAGGAGATGTCGAGGGCGAGGAGTTCGAGTTGTCACAGGGCACATCGCGGAAGAGTGAGGGAGTAGTGTAAAGCGCAAGGCGGCACACCCAGCACGATCGTTATGCCCGGTTATGTATACTCTTGAATGTATTGTTACGTGTACTCTCTTTGACGGACTTGCGTGGACCCCAGTATACCCTTGCTGGATTTTCCCTATGATATTGATGGCGCGAGGAGCGCTTGGCATTCACTTGGATCTAAGCAACGATTCTCAGATCGTACGTGTCTACACCCAGCGTCCTAGATACAGTTGGTAGGCAATCCGCCGGCTCATAGGGCTTGCTTCAACAACTCAACTGCCTCTTCCGCGGCTCCCCAAGATTGTTGATATCCTGAACCGCTGACGAGCAAAGTCAGTAGGGAGCTTATATAACACGGATAAGAACTCACCCGAAGCCATAGGCATGAACCACAAGCGTCGTCTGGGCCGACTGCATGGTACTATTCGCTGACGTCGCTTCAATCTCCCTGGCAGATGTCCACGTATAGTTCTGTGTCTCAACGCGCGGGCCACCTTCGCGAGCAGGCCGTAGTCCGACGCCGTGCTCTATGACGCGTACACTCGACGGATCCTTGAGTGCTGGGACGAAGTGTAGTGCGGTCTCCCATATAGCATTAGCTGTGTCCCAGTCCACGAACGTATTCCAGTTGCCAGGTTGCGATGTACCGCCGAGAAGCACCTCCCTTTCGGGGCCAGGGCGCGGAACGCGATGCATGAACCAGTCGTTTGTAGGGTCCTGGGTGCGCATGCCTCGTCAGTTCATGGCATGTATGAGAAGGGTGTTGACAGTCACTCACGGTCAGAGCATACGACGAACTCATGTACATCCGGGGCTTGTACGCGTATGGTCTGTCCCCGGACGGGGAACACGCTCGTATCCTCGACGCCGAGAAGGGAGCGGGTACCTGCGAGCAGTCAGACGTGACTAAGTGTGTCATTGTGTCCAACGCGCGGACGTACCCAAAGCTGATGCATTCACTACGACTCCACCTTCGCCAGCCAAGTCACACGCTTGATCAAGGCTGGCAAAGTACCGCCTCTGAAAGGCCACTCCACGCTTCTCCAGCTCAGCTTTGAGAGCGGCGAGATAGTGGTGAGGGTGGATCGTGTTGGTGATGCACCCAGACAGATACTTGATCCCGAAGTTGCGCGATAGATCGCTATCTGACGGCACCTCGTGCTGTAGAATGCATGAGCGCTATCACGGGACAGTCGAATCGGGTACTCACGACGTAGTCGTATCGCTTTCGAAGTGCTTCGGAGGGAGCCTCTCGGGAGTAGATCTTCGACTGTATCTGACTCTAGAGCTTCGTAAGTAGCCGTCAAAATGTCATTCCAAATCATGAGATACGCACAAGAACAAGACCAGTCGACTCCATCTCTATCCATTTCTCCCTATAACAGTTGTGAGAGTAGTCTGCATGCGAAGCGAAGGGGTACATACCTCGTTCGCGCTTCCCATTTCGCATATCTCCCATCGTCTCGCTCCGGCGCCCAGTTGTCAATAGCTCCCTGAGATCCAGTGAGAAGATGATATTGAACTCTGAAGTATGAGACGCACCGCCCACGGACTTGTAAAGGCCTGGCTGTGGACATCTTCCGGGAGGTCCCTTGCGGCGACCAGGACGTCGAATCGGTCGGCATTCGGTTTGTCAGACAAGACGAGCGCAACCGTCAGTCCAATCACGCCCGACCCAAGGACTATGACCTTGGTCTTGGTAGTTGTGTTCATAGCTTATACTGAGTCAGTGAAGGAGGTCAGTTGTGCGTTGGACCCTCGAGTATACGAGTTATAAAGTCCCGACTGATGTCTAGAGTCATGTACTGCGAGATACTAGCAGCTGCGCTTTCAAAAGCTCAGTACCGCAGCTGAGTGAGTACACCACTTCTGCATGGTGGACAGCAGGCAGCTGAGCTCACTGTGCCAGCTGCGGAGAACGCACAGAGAACGTCGTGCCGTATAGCTCCGCCATAGCGCACAAATAGGTGGGGCCAAGGTGTCCACACAGTGTTGAGCGTAGAGTCGAAGTTGTTCAAGCACTGTCATTGGCTCTCAGAGCATAGATGATGGGCAGACGCAAGCCTTCTCCGGGTACGACGCGTAGCTCGGTCCCCGGCCCGTAGAACCGAACGCGATCAATCACGCATGATCGTTGTTCAATGCCCACCCACCACCACCACCACATTTTCGCCCGGCATAGCTTGCGGAAGGTGGCTATGGATACAGCTACAGCACAAGAAGGTCAAAATATCGGAGCTTGACGAGTATAACACTACGTGGTCGAACTGAAGACAAAGCATCGTCTAATTAAAGGTCCCGCGCAAGTAATTGATGCTGGGCAAAATTTGGCAGAATTTGGCTAGACAAACAATGCAAGTACATGATTTCAGACCCGTGGCGCTTTTCTGACGAGCATCTGGCAGAACCCATGAGAGAGGTAGCAGCACCTCTCAAAAACGCGCTTCCAGCTCGTCGGTCAACGCAACGGTCTCAGACATCTCTTTGTTCTCTTCATCTTTGCTACTCCCGGCAATCGCAAAACCAGCCGGCTTGCTTTGCGTGAACCCGCCTGCACGGTACCGCAACCAAACCCTGTCTGCGTGAACGGATAACGGCTCTCCAGTATCGTTGAGGAGCGCGTCTAGATCGCGGTTCCGCACAGCCGCGGCGATGGAAGAGAACGTGCGCTGCAATGCTCTGCCGTTCCTGACGATGCAGAATGCCCCGTACAGGTTGGCCAAAAGTGCGCACATCAGGGCTATGCCATATACAAGCCACAAGCGAGACGCTTTGTACCTGTACATGTTGAAGTCCGGTGTCACGAGTGCTTGCACTTCGGTGTAGAGTCCGAGATTGGCCGTGTCTGACATCAGCGATGCGGTCAAGTTTGTACAGGCGTCCTCCAGCTGTCGGCCTAGGTTATCGTACGATGTCGAAGCGAGGGAAAGTGCGAGCGTGTTGGAGCTCCCACCATTGTCCTTCTCAAAGCTCGCTTGTGTAGTGAAGACGGAACTAAGGACGCTGGTGTACGTAGGCACCAGTAGAAATGAACTGGTGGAGTCGAAGTCGAAGCTGAGGGTTCCATAAAGGTACTGCGACATGGCGCCGACCAGACTTAGAGAAGCGTAAGTGGTCAAGAGCTCGGGGCTGGCTCCATTGATGTCTGATGCATTCTTGCCCGCGAGGACGTCTGACTGGGACAGTGTCTCGAGCGGCGCGCCGTACTGCACAACACGAACAGAGGTAGTCTGGCTGCCGTTCATGTAGCTGACCGAAGCGGCGTATGTGGCGTTGAAAAAGCCACAAGAGAATCCCGTCGTGTTGTGGTAAATGAGGGGATACTCCGGATCAACCGGCAGACTGAACTCGTCTGTCGCGTAAACGACATCGACGGTCAAAGCCTTCGTGTCGTGTAGCGGTGGCTCCAAGGCCGCGTAATAGGCATTCCCGGCCAAGCTTGTGTCATTCAAGAATGTGCTCGTGGCATTGTAGACGTATGCCGTGCCCAAAAAGTGGGATGGGTCGGAGTCAACGGGGTGCATGATAGGATCCGAAGAGGGGGTAATGGCGTTGGTGAGATTCACATCGAGCACGCCTATGGAAGATTGGGGGATATCCGTGCATCTAAGAACTGGACCCCCGAAGGCAATGTCATAACTGCAACTTCGGCCACATCCTTGGGGTGGAGCCCAAGATAGAATATTGCCGCCATCCAGAACGCTTCTGGCAAGTCTTTGGAAGCTGGCGGACGGATTCATGTAGATGAAGCGCAGCGAGTCTTGTGAATGATCGGTTGAATTGGCGCCAATGTATTCCAAAAAGAAGTAGGAACTGGCAGTCGCGGCTATGCGGTCGAGCGACGGGTCAGGAACGCGCAAGCTGATCTCGATAGGGTCGGCAGATGCGACTGATAGTGCGTTGGGCGCGAAGATACCGACAAGGGAAAGCGTTTGTATGATTCCAGCCAGGAAGAGAACATAGAGCACGCTGCTTGTGAACAGTGTGGACGGAAGAACGGAGTAAGACGGGAGTGAAAAGAGGACGTCGAGGTTATTCAAGGTGACGTCGTTCCTACGGATGTACAGCCATATCTAACGCGTAGCGTAAGTTTCCGGAGTACGAAGGTTGGAGGACAGTGGGAGTGGGACTTACACTCTGCGTCAAGGCAATACCGACAGACACTTGCAGGAGCATCTGGACCAATCCTGCTAGGGCGTTGCCAATGTCCCGAACCCACGTTTGCGATATAGCGAAGTCGTCGATGTCTCTCCTATCGAGCACGCTTAGGAAGAGATGATGGCCAATGCATGTCGCCGATGCAGTGAGGAGAACGCCTATCATAATGACGTGCGTCTTCCATGTTCCGGCACGAGGGGACGACGTCTTAGAGGGTAGAGTAAAGCTCGAGCTCGATGCAGAGAGATCACTGGGTGAGTCACCCTTCTCTGACCCCCCCGAGCGCTCGAGCTCGTTTGCGGACGTCCTCAAGTAGATCATTCCGTGGTCTCTGCGTATGATCGGTTGTGATGATACGGCGAGGTTCGATATCCGTACAGGCTACAGACTCGACAAGAGCCTGCCTACCGCGAAGTGAGGGCTTATTCCATATCTGTGCGAAGGTCGCTTATAAGCGGGGTTGACGCCGAGAGCATCACCAGCGTACATAGTTACAAGCAATGCATCGCGACAGCTTCGCCACCCGAATGAATGCACCACTGATCTCCAGGTTGATACCAGCCGGGTGAATCTCTCCTTCGATGGTCGGTAGTAGTCACACGATGCACTGTAGGGCCTGGGCGCTGATGAATCAGGCAATGAGCTTCATCCATGCCCGCGTATGCCTCTAGGAGTTCGAGCATAGAGTGCTGCCGAATAGAGGCCATGAGCAAAGTGCACAAACATTTTGGTCGTAAGCGGGAGACCTTCACTCGTCAACGCGTTAACGTCCAGAGTGGACGGCGTGGGAGTCTGATCGGCAAAATGTTGATTACCGGGGTAGTCGTCATGGTCAGCGCGTCAGCGCTCAGACCAAGCTCAGACAACCCTTCACATGGCCTGGCACACTGGCCCATATCACTCAAAGCCTTGGTCGCAGCGCACGACATGTATGAGTTCACCTGGACAGCTGCCTACCGTACTGCTAGCCGCTGGGTATAAACTTTGAGTTGCTTCTGGATAGATTTTGCTGATGGCACGTGGCTGGACTTCGGATCTAAAGCCGACAAGGCCGGACGCGACCGTCTTTCTCTCCAACCATCATGTTGGCGGCAAGTTGGCGCTCTACGTTGTTCGCAGTAGATGACCTTGCAAAGCATATGAATTGATACACTCAAGAAGATTCTTGTGTCGCGTGGTCCTGGAGAGCACGCAGTTGCGATCGCTACCTTCTAAACTGAAGATAAAGCATCGTTCAAAAACACTAGCTTCAAGCAGAAACAGAGGAATAGGCCAAATCGACATTATAGGTACCACTCCAATGACCTCTCTACGATCTGAAGTCTTGAATTAACGACTACCACACAGAACACTCGATAGCGCGGTAGCACCTCTCAGAAACGTGCTTCCATCTCGTCCGTCAACGCAACGGTTTCGGACATCTCCTCCCCTTCTTCGCCCTTGCTACTCCCGGAAATCGCGAAGCCAGCCGGCTTGCCCTGCGTATACCCGCCCGCGCGGTATCGCAACCTGACCCTGTCCGCGCGAGTGGACAGCGGCTCTCCAGTATCGTTGAGGAGCGCGTCGAGCTCGCGATCCCGCACGGATGCGGCGATGGATGAGAACGAGCGTTGCATCGCTCCGCCGTTCTGAGCGATGCATCTCAAGCCGTACACGTCGGCCAGGAGGGAGACGCCTAGGCCGATGCCGTATACCAGCCATAGGCGCGATGCCTGGTACTTGTACACGTTGAAGTCTGGCGTGACGGTCGCTTGGACCTGCGTGTACTGACCGAGATTGGCCGTGTTCGACATCAAGGATGCCGTCAAGTTTGTACACGCATCTTCAAGTAGCCGGCCTAGGTTGCGGTAGAACGGCGAAGCGAGGGAAAGGGAGGACGTTGATATATCGGAAGGGGAATTGCCCGTGTTGTCGACAAATATGGAGTTCATCACGCTTGTGTACATCGGCGATACAAGATTCGTGTCTAGTTTAAGAGAGATGTTCCCAAGGAGATATAGGGTTAAAGCGCCGACCAGACTCGTCGCAGAGTAGGTGGGAAGAGGTGCGAGATCCGTGCCATTGATATAAGAGTACGGCACCGAAAATAGCATATCGAATTCCGCTCTCAGCGGCTCACCGTAGTCCACGATACGGGCTGAGGTAGCTTGACCGCCATCCGTGTAATTGACGGACGCTGCGTAAGTTGCATTGAAGAATGCACAAGAGTGACCAACAAGGTTGGCCATGTCCCAGAAGCCTGAGGAATTGAAGTGATTCGCAGCATAAACGATGTCGAAGGAAAATGGCTGTTTATCTGATACCCTCCAAGACGTTGACTGGGGCGTAATCAGCGATGTGAACTCACTCCAGATATCCACGGCTGTTGTCGCATTGTAGACGTACGTCGGCCCCAAGAAGTAGGACGGATCAGAGACATCAGTATAATTAGGATAAAATATCCCGCCTTGCCCAACATCTTCCAAGCCCGTAGAATTCCAAGGCAGTAAACCAATGGAAGACTGCGGAATATCCACGCATTTTAAGGCAGGTCCCCAGTATTGAACGTCATAATTGCATGTCCCTCCACAGCGCGGGGGGGCTGACCATGGTAAGATGGAGTTACTGTTTAGAACGAGTCGAGCGAGATTCTGGAAGAGTGGAGATGGGCTGTTGTAAAAGTACGCGATCTTCATGTTGTCTGCGGACCCACCGGGGCCAGGGATGGAATCCTCAAAAAACTCCGATGTCGTTTTAGAACTCAAGCGATCAAGCGATGGGACGGGTACGAGCAAGGTAGAGTTGGCCGGGCTGGCAGGAGCGACTGATAAAGCATTGGGCGCGAAGATAGTGATGAGGGAGAGTGTTTGTATGACTCCCGCGAGGAAAAGAGCATAAAGCACGCTGCTCTTAAAAAGACTCGACGGCAATGTCGTCAGAGACGGGAGGGAGAATAGAACATCGAGGTTGTTCAAGGTCACATCATGCCGACGAACGTATCGCCATATCTGATAAGGGCCGTCAGCTGCGCGTGAGAAATTTTTGCCAGTCTGGCTTACACTCTGCGTCAAGGCGATGGTGACCGATGTCTGAAGCAGGAGCTGGGCAAGCCCTGCCAGAGCGTTTCCAACGTCCCGAACCCAGGTCTGAGATAGGGGATACTCCTCAACGTCCCTGCCATTGAGGTTGTATAGGAAGAAGTGATGGGCAACAGCAATCGCCGCTGCGACGAAGTAGGTTCCGAACATGAGAGCATGCGTTCTCAGCGATCCAGTGGGAGTCGCTCTCGCCGGAGAAGAGAGAGTCAGACTCGAGCGAGATTTGCTACCCGCCGTATGGAGACCGCCCTCCTCTGCTCGTTCAAAGTCATACGAAGGTATCTTCCGGAAGATCATGTTGGGACGCTGGGTGGAGGCGTGGTGAGAGGAAGCCAAGCGTGAGTCCGAGTCGAGAGGTGTCGAGGGTGACTGACGTGGCCATAGCCACTGGTAGCTTCGAGGACTTTATAAGCACACATCGCCGCTCACGATGGCGACCGTCAGACGAATTGCTGTACAAGTGATATAACAACAAATGATCCGCGAAAATGACAGACGGCGTCTGTGATAGGTAAGTTGCGAACTGCTTGTGCCAAGTCGGGGTCAAGGTCCCGGAGCAATATCGGCAAATGCCGCATCGCCAACCATTGTACTGCGGAACGTCCGAACTAGACTCGTCCGAATCCTATCGTGGCGATGCTATAGCGTGACAATTCAGTAAATTAGAAGAAAAAAGGAACCCCATGTTGTAGGCTCGCGCTCTTTTACGCGGTCAAGCAAGCGGGTTGGTTCGAGCTCACCCGCGAACTATCATTGGTGCTCGAGCGTAGCCTTGTAATCAGGCTGCTATCGCATGAGGGCGGAAAATACCTCTCAAACTCTTGCACATAGTGCACATGGCGAACTGTGAACGAGACTAGCCCGAGCGCGTGTATCTGCCTTCCTACTTCTCTAGTATGCGCATCATCAGTTGGTATCATGCCGAAAGGTTCGTTCTCAAGCCGATGAATATGAATGATTGCGCATCAAGCATCCACGAGGCCTTCTACTGTGCGTACGAGCATGCATTCCATTCCTAATCCGTCCTATCGTACACCTTCCTATGCTCAGCGACCGACAGTGCGTCCGCTGCGATATGATATCAGTACAAGCAAAACGCGCGACACAAACATAGACGCACGTAACAGTCTTCCTCTCCCCCGCCCCACCCGCCGCAACCTCCGTCTTAGCCCTATTAAGCACCTTCTGAAACTCCGCCACGCGATGCCGCATCCTCGAGTACATATACGCCTTGCTGCACTTGATATGGTAGTGCAGGTAGTTGCGGAACAGCGTGATGTGGCTGATCGTCTCGGCCGCGATGAGCGGGTTGGTGAAGTGCCGGGGGAAGAGGACGAAGGTGACGTAGCCGATGTCGTCCGAGTCGCGCAGGCTGAGAGGCGCGCATCGTCCTAATGCACATGCGGATCCCATTAGTATGGCCTTGTATACTACCCCAGAGTATAGCCGCATACCTGCGAGATTGACTAGCCCGAACTCCTCGAGCACTGCACCGGTGATCTGGGGTATGATCTAGCGCAGCTTGAGCATCGCTTGCTTTTCCTAAGCGCTCAGCGCTCAGCGCCAGCACTCGGTAGACGCATAATACTATCTCGTCGCAAGATACAGGTAAAACGGAGTCGAAGCAAGGCACTAAACAAGACGAGACGGGGTAGGATGGGGATCTCGCGGAGATGACGGTGGGCGTGAGCAAGAGGCGTGCCGCGGCTCGGCCTCCGCGCAATGCCTCAAACTTAGATCCTGTCATTGTCATGAAGAATTTGACCTCCTATCCACCACTGTGAGCGCAACGTTACCCTAGCAAACCTACGTATACCATTACCGCTGGATACACCATGACTGGCTGATCGCCCTCAAGAATATACATCTACTATACTCCAACGCTGGCCCGCGCTGACGGGCCGGAATGAAGACATGGTCCGAACCGCATCGTGTCGGGACTACGAGCTAGGCAGACGCAAGTCTTCAGAAAATACATGTGCTCGTATGTAGTAGTCTATTGTACGGGGCTGAGGCTAAGAAACATTGTGGTAGGGTTAGCAATACCTCACGTACGCGCACTCGTCAAGCCGATCGTTTCGGACATCTCCATCTCCTCATCGTCTTCGTCCTTGAAACCATGAGCAAGCGTAAACCCCGCCCCCTTTCCCGCCGCATGGCTACCCGCGAGATAGCGTAGCTTGACCGTCTTTGCTTGATCAGGCAGGAACCCCTTCGGCTCGTTGAGGAGCACGTCCAGATTGCGGCTCCGCACGGACGCAGCGATGGAAGAGAAGGTACGTTGCATTGCGCCACCGTTTTTGGAGATGCAGAACACGCCATAGAGGTCAGCGCAAAATGCGCTGAGCAGAGCCAGACCGTATACAAGCCATAGGCGAGACGCCTGATAGGCGTACACGTCGTTGTCTGGTATCACGGTCGCAGGAATCTGGGCATACAGTCCAAGATTGGCCGTATCTGACATCAAAGATGCTGTCAAGTTCGTGCAAGCGTCCTCCAGCAGGCTACCCAAGTTATTGTAGTATGTCGAAACCAGGGAAAGTGAGAATGCGTTGTCTCTCGTACTACTGCCTTTTAAAACGTCAGGTATCCCGGTGAAGTTCGTGTGCATGGTAAAGATTGAGCTGAGTACGCTCGTGAATGATGGGGTCAAGACAAGGTTGTCTATTCCGATGGTCCCATAAACGTATTTCGCTATAGCACTGGCTATACCAAGGGCGGCATACGTAGAAAGAAACTCGGGGTCCGACCCATGGAGGTACGACCCATTCACATCGCCTGTGTAGGTGATCGGCCCAAGTTGAGCGCCGTACTCCACGACGCGGCTGGCAATTGTTTGACTACCGTTCGTGTAGTTGACGGAAGTGGTGTATGTCGCGTTATGAAAGACACACGAGTAGCCGGTCATGTTGTAGTACACCATTGGCGCGTATGGGATCGTGAAACCATTGGTCGCATAGACGACGTCAAGAGTGAACGGCTGGTCTGCATAAGCAGTCGACGCGAAGATTGGTGCGGCGTTCGGACCTCCTCCTGGAGGCCAAATAGTGGTGCTCCCGAGACTGGTTGTGGCGTTATAGACGTATGCTCCTTCCAGGAAGTACGATGGGTCCACAACGTCGACGCTGGGATCCACGGAGGCGTTGAAATTGATCCATTCGGTGTAGTTTGAGCTGAATACATCTATGGAGGACTGCGGGACATCTGCGCATCTCAAAGCAGGTCCCCAGTAGCTGACTTCGTAATTGCATCCTCGACCACAGTCTGCCGGAGGATCCCATGAGAGTATGGAGCCGCTGTCTAGAACAGCACGAGCGAGCCTTTGAAAGCCGGACGACGGGCTCAGGTAGGCATACTGGGCCGAGCATTCATCCGTCTCGTCAACGCTCGGACAGATGAAGTCGACAAACAGGAAGTAGGTGCTAGTGGCCGCAGGGATGCGATCAAGTAGCGGGACAGGAACGCTCAGGTTGAAACCGGTCGGACTGGCAGGCACGACCGATAGAGCGTTGGGCGCAAAGACGCTCACGAGGGAGAGCGTCTGGATCACTCCTGCTAGGATGAGAACGTAGAGCACGTCGCTCTTGAATAGGCTCGATGGCATGCTCGAGATGGATGGGAGTGAGAATAGAACATCAAGGTTGTTTAAGGTTACGCGATTCCCGCGGATGTACAGCCATATCTAACGCCCGTTGTCAGCCGTACACACGATACCTACGATAGGTCTGATACGCACACTCTGTGTCAAGGCGACCCCGACCGAGATCTGCAGGAGGAACTGGGTCAGGCCTGCTAGGGCATTCCCGATGTCCCGAACCCATGTCTGCGAGATGGTAAACTCTTCGACGTTTCTCCGGTTCAGGGCTGACAGAAAGACGTGATGGGCAACGCAGACTGCCGTGGCAATGAACAAGACGCCGAACATGAATGCGTGCGTCTTCCATGGAGAGGTACTCGTCCGTCGCCTCGGGGAGGGTTTGCCGAAGCTTGAGCGAGATGCGGCAATGCTCTCATTAGGACTGTCTCCCGGTTTCTCGAGGTCACGCGCAGACGTCCTCTGGTAGATCATGACCATGTCGGACTGCAGAAAGCTTTGTCGTTTGACGGGTAATACGTGGAAGTGTTCCAGGTTCTCACCCCGAAGCTTTATAGCGGCGCGATCGGGCGCAAAGGTCCAAGTACAGGCTGGGAAAGATGATGACTGATTCCGTATAGCAGACTTGACAAGCGCCCATTACTTGATACATCTATCACGAACAATCAGCATGTGATATGTGGATGGCGATAACAGTACAGTACATTGATCAGTTCAGAACCCATCTCCGTCTTTCAGAGCCGCCCTCTCCGACATCTCAACATCATCCCCATACACCCTCCCGCCCTCTGCAAACAGGAACCCCGCCTTCTCGCCTCCTCCACCCCCACCTCCACCATCCCTATACCTCAACCCAACCTTCTCCGCCCTCTTCGGCAACGGTTCCCCCGGCTCATTCAACAACACGTCCAAGTCGCGATTCCTAACCGACGCAGCGATAGACGAGAACGAGCACTGCATCGCCCGCCCGTTTTTCTGCACGCAGTATAGTCCGTATATGTCGGCTATCAGCGCGGCGCCGAGGGCTATACCGTATACGAGCCACAATCGCGGCGCTTGGTAGCGGTATACGTTGTGATCCGGTACGACGGTCGCGTCTACTTGGGTGTATAATCCGAGATCGGCGGTATCGGACATAAGCGACGCCGTCAAGTTCGTACATGCGTCTTCCAGCAGTCGGGCGAGGTTATCGTAGTAGGGCGAGACGAGCGCGAGGGAGAGCTTGTTCATCCCGTTGTCGAAGCTCGTGGGTGTCGTAAGCACCGAGCTAAGCATGCTCGTGTATACAGGGGCCAGCGCTGGCTCATCATTCGCCGAGTTCGTCGAGAACGCCATGGTCCCATAGACGTATTGCGACATAGCGCTCGCAAGGCCAATCGCGGCATATGTCGACTGGAACGTCGCGTTGTTCCCATTGACATATTCGGCCTTTGCTACTCCAGGATCCGGAACTGGTCCAAGCTGCTCGCCGTACTCCTTCACGCGCACCGTAGTTGTCTGACTGCCGTTGTAGTACTTGATGGACGCAGTATACGAGGCGTTGTGGAAGGTGCAGGTGTAGCCGGTCATGTTGTAGTACACCGGATCGCTGAGCTTGAACGGTAACGTGAAGTTGTTCCTGGCGTAGACGACGTCGAGGGAGAACGGTAAGCCGTAGGGATACGACTGGAAGATAGGGACTAATTCATCGGTCCATGTCGTTCCGTAGCCGAAGCTAGTCGTCGCGTTGTATGCGTACGCGCCTTCTATATAGTGGGTGGGGTTGGAGACCTGGATGCCCGGAGCGAGCGCCGCTTTGGCGGCGTTGAACGTTGTGAAGTTCGTGTTGAATACTTCGATGGATGACTGTGGGATGTCCGTACACTTGAGAGCAGGACCCCAGTACTCGACTTCGTACCAGCACCCCCGACCACATTCTGATGGAGCGGTCCACGGGAAGATAGTGCTGCCGTCCAACACACCACGAGCGAGCCGCTGGAAGTTCGAAGAGGGGTTCATGTAATAGAAGTCGCCGGACCCAGAGGACTGCAAGAAGTACGAGCTTGCGGTTGCGGGTATGCGATCGAGGGAGGTTATGGGTACGCGTAGGTTCGCTGTAATGGCGCTGGCGGATACGACGGACATGGCACTGGGCGCGAAGATACCGACGAGGGAAAACGCCTGGATGATGGCCGCGAGTATGAGTACATAGAGTACGCTGCTGCTGAAGAGTGTCGATGGTATAGTCGCGAACGCTGGGAGGGCGAACAGGACGTCGAGGTTGTTTAAAGTGACGCGGTTCCTCCGGACGTATAGCCATATCTGTGGGGAATAGCGTCAGTTGTATATGGGCGTGAACTTCAAATGGATACGCACGCTTTGCGTCAAAGCCACCCCGACCGAGATCTGTAGCAGCCAATGTGCCACCCACGCGAAAGCGTTGCCTATATCCCGCACCCACGTCTGCGATATGGCGAAACTATCGACGTCCCTCCCATTCAACACATGCAGAAAGACATGATGCGCGACGCAGACAGCCGCCGCTAGCAGGAATGTGCCGAACATAAGCGCGTGGGCCGTCCATATCCTGTTTCGCCGTTGCGCGCGTGTTGGAGGTACGGAGGACACAGAGGACGCCTGTTTGTGCAGACTCCCTCCCTCCTCAATAGTCTGGACCCCTTCGTACGACAACGACTTTCTGTCGTAGATCATCTCCACGGCCGGCGTGAAAGAGCGTCCAGGGGAGGTGTGGCGAGGGCGATATCATCGGTACCTCATATATTGAGGTTGCACAGGTCCGCTGGCTGGCAGGGGGACACGCTTTGATGCAACTCAAGTACGCGCGTCCGTATATGGTGAACGGCATTGTACATGCGTGTGCTGCGCAGGCTTTACATGGCGGGCCCCGGGCAGGCCATTAATGTGGAAATTATTGCAGTCTGAGCATCGGTCTTTCGGTACTCTCTGGGCTAGTGGAGACATTCACGTAGGATTCAAAAGGATAAGATAGCGGAGGGCGTACACAGCTGTCTGGAAGACACAGTCAAGTTCCCACCTCGGAGTTATCGGGGTCCGGGGAGCGTGTGACTAGAACTCCGGGTCCGAGACGATCACTGGTCCATGGACCTTCGAAGTCCATCAATTTGATCGAGAGCTATATGCGGCTTTACTACATAAGACTATCCACCCTACTATGTTCCATATTCTTGGCTCATGTCATCAAGAGCAGAGACAACACCAGCGGCGGCCAAACGGGAGTGGAAAGAGTCAGGTATCCGTATAGCACAAAAACGCATACTTTTATCGCTGCGCGCTCAGACTCGCGCTTGCGTCTACAGACAGGATGACGAGGGCAGGATGAAGGGAGAGGGGTGCGGACCGAGGTTACAGATGTAATGTACAGCCGAGATCCTTCGTTCGTGCGAGCGTGAATGGGGGTTGAACAGACGAAAGACGAAGAGCGAGAACCAATAAGTACTAGTGGGCAAGCCGAAGGAGACTAGCGAAGGATGAGAGAGAAGAGGGGATGGACCGGAGCGGAAAGCATGCGTAAACATACAGAGAAAAGAACTTCATGTGGGTGCATACATATCAATAGACACCAGCCAGCACCGTGACCATATTCAAATTCTGCATCACCTCAAATAGTGACCTCGCTCAAGCTCTGTGCGACGCCCTCAGCATCCTTATCCTCTTTCCCGGCCGCTGCAGCGAAGCTGAAGCCTTCCCTCCTCACGCCGCCCGTACCACTAGTCTTCGCGCCCTCCTTGCCGTCGTGCGAGCCCTTGGGGCTGGCGTGTGCCGGTCGCGGGCTGGTGGCGGGGCTGGTGGTGCTCTCGTTGAGACGCGACGAGCCGCGTTGAGAGGCCGTGCGGCTGCCTGTGCGGGACATGGGGTGGTGCGATGTAGCATGCGCGGCTTGACGCTCGATCTTAGCTTCAACAGCTGCTTCGCGCGCAGAAACGTCCACAGGCCTGTCAAAGTGCATGCGTCAACCTCTGCAACTGCAGTGTGGGAAAGCATGACTTACTTGGCAGCACCGAACGGATTAGCCTTGGAACCCGGCAACGAAGGCGAAGCCAACGGGCTCGGAGTCCCACTCGGCGCCCCCGTACGCGGAAGAAGATTCAACGGCCTCCTCCCGCCCACACTGGGCGTCGGCGGCGTCGAGCTCGTCGGGCTCGTACTCTGCCTACTCGGTCCCCTCCTCCACGTCTCGCCCGACTCGGCCGCACTAGGCGGCTGCTCCTCCCTCTCCCTCTCCCTCTGTCCATCGCGCCTAAAGCCACCACCGAATCCACCACGGCGCGGCTCGTCAGTGCTAGGCTGGAACCGGCTGCCCTTCGACCACGTCTCCTCGTTATCGGCTGCACCGGCTGATCCGGCTCCGACGCCGAAGTTCGAGCGTTTGCGTTCGGGCTCTGCGGGGCGGGCGGGGCGGGAAGAGCGCCATGCGTCGGCTGTATCAGCCGCGCTGGGCGGTAACGGCTCCCTGTCTCCCCTCGGAGGCCGATCTCCGCGTTCAAATCCACCACCGCCACCTTCGCGCCTCTCGAAGCCGCCACGGTCGCCGCCGCCGAAGCCGCCGCCGCCACGAGGAGCGGGGGGTAAGGGGCCAGGGCGAGATGAGCGCCAGTCGGATTCGAACTTGGTATCGTCGAAGCTCCCGCCACGGTCGCCGCCTCCGAAGCCGGGACGGCCATCGCGTTCTTTCGGCGGTTCGGCTACTGAGATGCGGACTGTGCGGCCTGCGAGGGGCTGTGTGATATATCAGTAAGAATTGCATAGACCACGGATAGACTGGGAGGAATAAAGCAATGAGTGAAGCAGTGTGGGTAGAGTTTGGTTTAGCCTGGCCACGAGCACTGGTAAAACTACCAGTGACGGATGTACGTCTCCCACACGTCAGAGTCACTTTGCAACCGAATCCGCAGATACAGAAAGCTCATGCGCGAAGTTACTCGCAGGAGTAGACCCGACCCGCGTCGGATGCATTGCGATGAGAGCAAGAGATGCAAGCGCATCACGCTTGCAAATATATCGGACCCTCGAACGAGAGCGAGCTCACTCTGGCAGATGTGCCAGACCGCCCGACCAATTCTGGAGCTAAGGGGTCCGTATCGAAAAGGTCGACGGGTGCCAAAGGGCACTCGCGTCCGAGCAAGGACGCAACGCCATTCCCTTGCACGTCACGGATATCCCGCATCTCGTCCCAGGAGCGCAGCCCGATCATCTCCATCCCAACCGCATCCCGATCTACACCACGGAAAGCGTACGTACCGTTCCAGACTTCGCCAGCGCGCCCTTGAGATCGTCGAGACTGCCGAACTCGACGTAGCCGAAGCCTTTGGGCCTGTCGTCGCGGTCCTTGATAACTTTCACACTCTTTACCTGAACATATATACCCATCCATTAGCACCGGATGACGCCGTGTGGCAAGAGGTGAGGTGTGGACGCACGGAAAGGCCATCAAAGAACGCCTCGAGATCCTGCTCGCTAAGATCGAAGGCCATGTTGCCCACGAAAGCCGTGTAAGGCGGCGAAGTCGGGAGAGGAAGATCTTCGCGGGGCGGGAATCCTCCGCCACGGTCGGCTATACTCGTACAACCCCATCAGTATAATCTCTTACTATACATGGTACTCAATACGCACGGCGAGAAGAGAGATAGTCGTCACGGCCGCCGCGAGGGCCGCCGTCGTTTGCGCCCGAAGCTGAAGGCGAAGTGTGGATGAGTATGAGTTGAATGAGGTCAGATCGGTGCAGACGTACGGGCTGTAGGCAGATTATCCATCTCGTCTGCCCAGGAGCCGAGCGCTACACCGGCTCGTCAGTCACTAGGTACACATCCACGAGAGTGAAGCAAGCGTACAATCGTCGACCAAGAAATCGCTCAAGGCCATTTTCTGCTGCTTATTTCCTTTCTTCGGCGCTATTCATGACGCATCAGCATACTATTGCCGTATAAGGTATGACAGAAGGAGTAAGCATACCCATGATTGCGACTAGGCTTTTATTCGCTCGAGTTCGAAGTGTGAGCGGGTGAAGGTGGTGGGTGCTCGAAATTGAGGCGCTTACGGCACGCGAGACGGCCCGCGCTCGGATGTCATCAGTTCGGGGGTGCCTGGATAGACCTCAACTCTACCATCGTCCGCCATGATCCTCCTCGAGGTGCGCTCGTATCTCTCAATATAATACACCACTCGCTTATATGAACGTATGACAGCCGCACAACTACATCATCCAACAAACCATCATCGAGAAACTCGAGAAGTAAAGCACTCCATCTCATCATCCCGCCCGAACGTGTATCTAAGCACAATGAACCCCACAGGCCCACCGCGCTCGATGTCTCATTCGTCGATTTCGACGGCGTGCGCTTTCGGCTGACGACGCCCGAGCGCAAGACGCAGTTAACGCTGAGCATGAGCATCCGATGCTGGTCCGAGCTCGTCTCGTACGGTGCCCTCGAGCTGCTCAGCCGAGAATACGGCTCCCTCCTCCGCTCAGCGCCCGAGCCAGACTATGACGTCTCGCTTGACATCGATCTCGAACAAGTACCACCAGCAGGAGGTAAATATACTTCAGATCCACTCGCGTCCGAGATCAACACGCTGAAACACGGCCGTGATATCCTGTAGAAGCCCGCGACTCGTTCATCAAGAACCTCTCGCTCCTCAAACGCAACGCCCTCGCCGCGCCCTTCGAGCGCGCGTTTGCTGAGCAGAAACACCTCGAGGAGTCTGGTGGCGATAAGGGCGCGCTGATGCAGGTTCATTATCGTGACGAGGAGGCTATCTACGTTCAGGCTGCCCCGGATCGTGTCACTGTGATATTCAGTACGGTGTTCAGGGAGGAGACAGATAGGATCTTTGGGAAGGTGTTCTTACAGGTTCGTTTTCTATCTCACTGTAGCACTCGCGAAGTGGGGTACTAATGCGAATGTGTGTGGCGATCAGGAATTTGTCGACGCGCGCCGCCTTCCCCAGATCCAAAACGCGCCCCAAGTCCTCTTCACGAACCGCGACCCGCCGCTCGAGATCCGCGGCCTGCCCGGCCTGCGCGACTCGGACGACATCGGCTACGTCACCTTTGTCCTCTTCCCTCGGCACTTCACCAACCCGCTCGTCGCGGCCGAGACGATCAGCCACATCACGCTGTTCCGCGACTACCTGCACTACCATATCAAGTGCAGCAAGGCGTATATGCATAGTAGGATGCGGCATCGCGTCGCGGAGTTTCAGAAGGTGCTTAATAGGGCTAAGACGGAGGTTGCGGCTGGCGGGGCGGGGGAGAGGAAGACTGTTACGTGCGTATGCGCTTGTGTTGCGAGTTGTGCTTGTACTGATATCATCTTGCAGCGGACGCACCGTCGGCCGCTAAGCGTTGGGCGGTGTACGATAGGATGGATCAGGGATGGAACGCATGCTGGTACGCACAGACGTAGAAGGACCTTTTACTAGTGAATGCTTGATGCACATATCTACTGAACCGGCGTGCGAGAACTCCTGGCCAACGAGAGCGCGAGTCAAGGTTATCCCCTATTCGTATTTGGGTACACCTTGTATGTGTCATACCCTGCAGCTCGACCAGCGGCAACGGTTTAGCAGGCAAGTGAGCACCCACATAATGCATATTGAAGATATGTCGTGGTGCGCGATTTTAGTGCGCACTCAGTGGCTGTTATGCACGCTTATATAGATACCGGACCCTACTGCTCACCTTCTTTGACTTGTCTGAACGATAGACCACCCGTCGTCCCTCGGCCTCATTTGTCGGCACAGATAGATCTGTTCATGGCTTTGCCCCACCGCAGCATTGACTGCCGATTCTCGCCATCTCGATGCCATCTCTGCGCTTAGTGTCATTTCCGCGTGAGCGGGAAGGCGCCCTGTCCTCTATGTGTAAAAAGTCGGGCGGCCTATCAGTCTGCAAGCAATAAAAGCGCATCATCGTTGCGACAACGATTCAGACAAGCGGCTCGGATGCGCGTTCCTGAGTGTCGAACCAATGTCGAACAGTGTGATGGCGTCTTATCTGCTGAAGGCTGTATTGTCGTATACTACTGTTATACTTTCTGTGCGCTGAATATACCTCATTTTGTAGACGGCAGGGACAGGAGAGCTTGGCTGATTCAGACTCCCGAACTGGAGAGCTCGAGTATCTGCCGCGGCCGACGCGCGGTCGTTGTATTGAACGGCGTATCAAGACGGGCATCATGAATCCCGCAGCCTGTCGTACCGAGCGTCCCGACTACTCACAAACATACGGATAAGCCTACGCAGCTGAGTTGCGTTCGGCAGGGAAGCCGGCCGTATCACGGAAAGATCCGGGCCGTGAGTGCCGCAACGCCGAGTTAGCGCTCGGCCGACGAGCTTTTGTCCTCCTACATCCATGTCCTCCACCCTCAGCTCCTAGCATCTGCTCCTCGCTTATTTCAATGATACAATACCGCTGTATCTAGCAAACTATATACTCAATCGACCGAAGCCCGGACTCTCAGACCACCCTCAGCGAGACGCTCACTAGCCGCCTTAGAGTCCACCTTGCCAAATGTAGTCCAACAGCCACCCTTCATCATTCTGATGTAACCGCCGTACTGCACTTGTACCCGCCTACCTATTTTTCTAGCCTGAACATCCTTGAAAACCATGCGCGTATATCTCAGCTTGTCTATACAGCCTATTCGGCTGGTAAACCTGGCTCGGAATCTGCTCCTTGTTTTCTGCATGGCGTCGGCCACTCTGGCCACACGCCGTGAAACAAATGGTTGACAAGCACTACACTGTGGGAGATGATCATACCTACTTGGAGACCACATCTCCTTCTCTCTTCACTATCTTGGACATTGGTGCCGAAACTGTTCTCGCCCTGCGAGGTACCCGCACAGCGCCCGCCGGCATGCACGCCACGGATGACACCTTATACAATGTGAAAGCATCCAGTACATACACTCGCTGTCAGGGTCTGGCTACTATAAAGCGAGAGTTCGAATCAAGCGCACGTAGTAGCATCTTGTTTCATCACTGCTTGTCTAACCTGCCTTTTGCTCCTCAGCTGCTCGATATCCTCGTGAGCATTTACCTGCCGCTACAACAGGATGACGACCTACGAAAGAGCGCCCCTGGACGACCTCGACGGTCTAAAAGACGACCATTTTCGCGATGGAATGGCGCGGAGCGCATCGCGCTTGAGCTCAACCTCAACTCTTGTCCCCTCGAACACGCACCGGGCACGTCGGTCTGGGGCGTGGAAAGCCTATCTTCTCATTCTTTCCCCATTGATCTTTGCTTCGGCCATATGTGCCGGTCACCACGTCTTCCTATCAGTCCTCGATGGGAAGGACGTTGACAGCTTCTCGATATCTCAAACGTGGTTTCGAGATGCTGGGAATGCCCTCGCGAAGATTGTTCAGTTTCTTCTCATCGTGTCGGTTGGGATTGTTCTAACGCAAAGCGTGCGTGTACCTCGTTCTCTCTCGGTGGTATATGTGGCTGACAGTGCATCTTAGATATGGTCGTATATCCGAGGACATCGCGTGACGTTGAGGAATCTTGATGCCTTGTACTCGCTACCATCCTTCTCGAGTCTACCCTCGATGGCTGCAGGGGGCCGCATAGTTGGTGTCCTTCTCCTGGCGGTTGTGATGAAGACACTCTCCCTTGTTTCAATCTTCGCGCCCAACGCCCTCTCGGTCGTGCCCGCATCCTACGAAAGGCGCGACTTGATTGTCCCTGTTCCTGGTCTCGATGGCATCTCCCTGCCAACCAGCTCTTACTTCTTTCGCGATGGGTTATGCGCCGGAGGCTCGTCATCAACATGCGACGACGGATTCTTCTACATGAATCCCTCGTCTAGCTTTCAGAGACTCACTCGTCGTGTTTTGGATGGCGGTGCCATACTCCCATGGGCGCCTCCCCCGGGCTGCAGCCGTGGGTGCAGTTATGATGTCCATTATTGGGGACCCGCTTTGAACTGCACCATCATCCCGCCGAGCTCAATAGAGCCCATCGACACAGATTTCGCATCTTCGAGCGGGCTTCACAGCACGACCGACATCAAGGTCACCGATCCCACACACTATCTGGAAGGGGCCCACGTTTACAACGCCACGACCAACTTTGGGTCTGGTTATACTTGGAATGGCGGTCAGGATCAGAGTCAAGACTCAGGTTACGTCAAAGGATCGCCGATTGCGATGTTCTTCTCGAGTCCCCCCAAAGACTCGTTCTCCTTTGACGTCGTCTATGCCACGAATGAGTTTAAACTGCCGTTTACGTCCCAAACTATGATATCCTACAATCTGACGGGTTATACTTGCGCCTTTCATAACGCATCGTATACGGCCTCCGTCAACTATACGAATGGCTTCCAGACGACGTCGATCGATATCACCGATTATGGCGCCCCATTGGGATCGGTGCAAGATCTACACCAGGAACTGCCCGCGTCATACGTCCATGAGACAGACCCAGATATATTGTCCTCATTCGCCGCTACGAGCCTGGCTAATGCTATGTCTCAATACGTGTACGGGAACATTGCCCTGACAGAGATCAGTCTTAATAACTTGAGTTACCCTACACTGGCGCCTGCGTACACGAGCGTCCTAAACTCCATTTTCACCACCCAGACCACCTTGGCTGATGGCAGCGGTCCCAGCGAGGCGGATACGCTGTCGCTATCACTCATCTCATCAGCCTACGACAATCTCGGACAACTTCTGGAGGACGCATGCACGAACTTGACGGCGTCCTTGATGTCGGACACCGCCAATCTCGGGCTTAACCAGTCTGTGTCGGCGATTGTCATCCCCGATCACAACATATACAAGTACAAGCCATTTCGCTTGTGGCTTGTCTACGGCATCGCTCTCCTGGTCACGCTCGTAGCTGACATATATGGCCTCATTTGCATCCTCGCGAACGGCGGTGCGATGCAACGTGATTTCTCTTCCATCGCCGCGTCTGTGCGGAGCCGCGATCTGGACGCGCTCCTCGGCGAGCCCGGAGAGCCCTTGACGGATCGCGCGAAGAAGGTCAAGCTGCGATACCGAGGTGGAAATCCTGTGAAAGGATGGAGGGCTGGTTTCACCGTTGCTGAGAATCCCAGGGGCGAAGAAGATGCAGAGATGATGGCCGAAACGACCAGGTTGACGAAGGAACTGTAGGCGCGTATATGAGAAGGTGGTCCGGTTTTGGTGTTAAACCTACGACAGATGCCATCTTGGGCAATCTTACGTCACTTCGATAGCGGCTGCTTGATATGTACTGCTCATATTTATACCCCTATACAGTGCTTAATTTGCGTGATTTAGTGCTGTGGCTTAAATGTGACGAGCAGATTGAAGTCTTGCCGGCAGGTACTGCACAGTCAGCTTTGCCAAGCCAGATGTAGATGTTGTCCCATCACAGAGAGACGCCCATGTCAGATATCTATCATCTTCGAGTGGTGGTGCATGGTGGAAGACAGGACGTTCAGCCAGATGCCGCGGCGGATTTCGGCCCTCGGGCAAGTCTTGCCGATAGCCGGATTCTCACGCATCACGCGTGAAAATCTAAATCGCGGTTTCCACCCGCCCACCATCTCCGCGCGTATGAGTACTGCCCTCGAGTCATGTATATGTACACTGCTATAGGATGACGAGCAACAATACACCTCCTTCTTACGCCGGAGTCACCTATCAGAAGGCGATTTCAGCAGTCAAAGTTTCGCGAATAACTCGCACTACGACGCCAAGTATTCGACGACGTATACACGTAGAAGGACAGTGTGCTGGACGGCCGACGTCCAAGAGGTGCTTGACAGAGCTTAGGGGCCCTTTCGTACGTCTCGTGCTGAGAACGTTAACCATGTGGGTGCTGACGAATGGATAGAGTACGTACGGTCAGATATCCAATTTAGGGTATGTTACGATAGGAAGAGGTGCAATCGGACGGCCTCATCGTATGCACACTTGCTGCTCCTGGAAAGAGACAATAAACGCTCAATGTGCTTTCGTGATTTCCGAGTGACTACTGAACGACGAGTGGATGGAGGATGAACGATGAACAAGGAAAACGATCTAGCCTGTCGCTGCGCCCATCTCAACCCCTCTGCTGAGTTCGATACTGCTCATCGCCAACTATACAGAAATTTGTCGTGCACAATGTTGAGCGCTTCGCTGTGCGGGACGCCTTACAACAGGGATCCGCATTCCTTGCGCATTCCGGCCACCTAGCGAGTGGTGACACAGACAGGCTCTTGCGTAGCCAGCATACCCGCGCCGGATATCTATATCATGGACGAATGTGGGTGGTCAATGGATGTTTCGAGTGTGTTGCACGGCATTGCTGATCCTTCGTAGGTCATCGGGACTGCTGCTGTCGACTCGGAGCGCCCGAGCTCGCTGCTCCGGCCGAGCATGCGGCCGACCATTTGCCTGCGACAGTGTGGTACATTGAGAGGATGGGCGTTGCAAGTCATAGTCGAGTACTTGCCTACAGGTATGATGGATCACCTGTCGCGCAGTTTGCACATTAAACTCGCCATCTACAGACGACTACAGACCGCGAGGTGGGGACCACAGGCTCCTCGATCAAGAGAACCCGGACGAGACGCCACCCGGCTAGCTCAGCGAATATCAGTTTTTCCCGCCCCGCACGCGCTGGGTGCTCGGCGGTGGCATTCAAAGACTTGCGAGTGGTAGCTCTTTCCACACCCATCGTTGGCATGCCGCGCGTACTGGTCTACGGCACTCACGATGCTACGCTACTCGAAGGAGCTTGCACAAGACGCTTGAACCACAACGTAATGCTCCCGATTCGTCAATCAACTTCCACTGGCGGCTAGGATATCCGCTGTCAACCCGGCACTACAGCGGACCATCAGTTGCTGTCCCGAGGTCGACGACTCGACGCCCGCACCCGCATCTGGTACGCGTCATAGGTGCCCCACATTCTCGTTCGAAACGTTCAACGACTACAAACGGGAAAACTCACCGTCAGCGCCCCGCAACATGCACGGGGTGAATCGATATAAAGGCTTGAGCTCTACCGGTCCCGCATACCACGATTGTCCACAACACTTTTCGAACCTCAGCTCTTTCTTCGCACACGTTCCCGGCAAGTAGATCGCTGTCTTTTGCACTTGCTGTCTTATCATGAATCATCCCACCAAGTCGTCATTCGCCGGACAATGGAAGGGAGGCAGCCTACGTGCGGCTGCTTCACGCCCAAGCTCGACTGTCTCTTCTCCCGCGCCGACGTCTCGCCCCGGGATATCGCAGACACGCTACGTCATGTTTGGCACATTTGTCGTCGCGTTGGCGCTTAGCGTTGCCCATCACTTTTTCCTGACTATCCTCGACGGGAAGCATGTCGACAAGTCCGGCCTGACGCAGACCTGGGTTCGGGATATTGGGAATGCCCTAGCTGGAATGACGGGGTTCCTTCTTCAAGCCTCAGTTGGGGTAGCCCTGACTCAGAGCGTACGTGATCCTTCGGAGACCACTGTCTACAGGCGTAGCTGACGATTGTCGTTAGATATGGTTGTACATCCGCGGAAACCGCCTGACATTGAATAATCTCGATATATTATTCTCCCTTCCGTCCCTATCGGATCTACCATCGAGCCTTTTCAAGAGCAGCGTGCTCTACGTCCTCTTACTCGCGGTAGTGATCAAGGCGCTCTCCCTCGTCAGCGTCTTCGCACCCAACGCCCTATCGGTCATACCTGCCCATCCCATCAGGTCCAACTTGAGCGTTCCCTTCCCATCGCTCGATCGCATAGACGGCACCGTCAGTTCACGCTTGAAACCAGTGAATAGCACGCATTACCGCTACATCGGCTCTTCCCCTCGCTTCCAGAGACTCGCTCGGGGTGTTCTGGACGGTAACACCATATTGCCGTGGGCCCCTCCGGACGGTTGTGGCCGGGAATGCGATTACCACCTCAACTACTCGGGACCAGCGCTGAGATGCAGCGATATCTCCAAATCCTTGATCGATCTGCTTCCAGTGAATTCCACCCTGTCTTCTAAGTTGGATGCGACTCTGGATCCCGACGTCCATGTATCCAACGCCTCACACTTCTTAGCGTCGACATACCTCTACAACGCGACAGCGACTTTCTTGAACGGCACCGCCTTGCCTGGGTGGAGCTCAAACTCCAAGAACTGGACCGAGTCAGACAATAGGTCGCTTGCTCTCGATGTTGTCTATGCCGTGAATCAGTTTGGCCTCCCGGCCAACGCCTCGCTGAACCGCTAGGATATGGTTGGATACCATTGCGAGTTCTGGAACGCCTCATACAATGCCACTGTACATCATTCGGGGGGCAGTCCGACCACCAGTGTCCACATCGTGGATTACATCGCACCGCTCAACACGACTCTGGGTGTGCCGGTGCTTGCGCCGATGTCGGCTAGCAACGGATCGGACGTTAACCTCACCTCTGCGTATGCTGCGCTAAGTCTAGTCGGCGCCATGTTAGAGTATATTCAGGGCACCATATACTTTGACCTCGGCTCGCAAAACTTTATTGAGCTAGCGCCGACGTATACGGGGGTGCTCAACTCCCTTGTCTCTACATATGCAGAGTTCTCAGGGGGTATCGGCACCCTTTCCCTTTCCCTTTCTAAGGACATGGCATACAATGACATGGGGAGCCTGCTAGAACAGGCTTGTACAAACCTGACTGCATCATTGATGTCGGACGCGGCCACCCCCAGGCCTACTAGGAATGTTACTGGGACCAGCATGCCAAATTACAATGTGTACGAGTACCACGCAGTACGCCTGTGGCTGGCATACGGTATTGCCCTGGCCGCATCCCTGTTGGCCGACGCATACGGATTGGTCTGCGTCTACCAGAATGGCGGAGCGATGCAACGCTCGTTCTCCTCCATCGCCGCATCAGTGCGGAATCGCGATCTAGACGCGCTTCTCGGCGAGCCCGGAGAGGCGTCACCGGTTCGTGCTGAGAAGACCAAGCTGCGCTACCGCTCTGGAAGGTTTGTTAGGGGAGCAAGAGCAGGTTTCGCGATTGCCGAGGATCGCAACGATGAAGATGTGGAGTTGGGCGAGGCGACGGGCCTGAGAGGCGACGGGCCTGAGAGGCGACGGGCCTGACGAGCGACTCGGACTCGGAGGCGCACTTCTGACGGCATGTGCAACTGCCTTTTCAAAACACTCGAGGGGAAGGTACTAGCTTGACCGTAGGTGTCCCTGGGTCTTATGTGACCTAAATGTATATATTGAAGCGTAGTAAATATTCTGGCTCTTACACCGATTGCGCGATTCGCTGGCGGAGGCTCGACCCAAAAATAGATGCATCTGCCAATCATCTGTGAACTTCTTGAAGCTTGAAGCGCTCTAGACCCCGCTTGCCACTGCAGCACTTAGTACGGCCTAGCATCCGATATCCATCGATCTATCAAGCTTAGGCTTCAGGCGGTGGTAGGAAGGTGTAGGGCGCTTTCGGGTGTTGTCTGGGTGGAACTGTGATTTCCCACGTCAAAGCCCACCGAAGGTGTAGGTCGCAACTTGCGTCCGGCTGTCATGGTGAACATCTACCCATCGTACCCTGGTGCTCTGACGTATCCACGGCATACGCTGACGGCCACAACCACTCCTGCATTACTCACACTTATCGGTCTGAAATCTCCAACGTTTAAGGAGACCATCAGACCAATTGCGACCGAATGAATTCGAACGACTATCATTTTGGCGCCACGTGGTGCCCTCACCTCGCATTCATCGATTCAATACATTTCAGATGGACACGCCTGAGCGCGTAGCGCTTCATCCTGATCCTATGTCCAAGCTATGGAGCGCCGATATAAGCTACGACATCGTCAAGTCTGCGAATGCCGTGGCTCCCTTTTCCATCCCTCGATCTGGCTCGCTCCTTCTCGTCAAACCTGAGCGATCCGATAGTACTCTCCCATATCAAGGGTTTAGCCATGTCAACGACTTACAGAAGAACGCCTGTCCGCGACCCCGAAGATTCCGGCGAAGACGGCTCTCACAAAGGGGCGACTGTGTCTCGCCCAAGCTTAAACATCCGCACCATGATTCGAGGACGGCGCATTGGTAGCTGGAAAGCCCATGTCATCATGTTTGGATCTCTGCTGCTTGCGTTAGCAATATGCATTGCTCACCATGTTCTTTCATCCTACCTTCATGGGAAGGATGTCGAGGCTTTCAAGGTACCCCAGGCTTGGGTCCGGGATATAGTCAATGCCTTTGCCAAGGCCGTACAGGTCACTCTCGGGATCTCAGTCGGAGTCGTTTTAACGCAGAGTGTACGTTCATCTCTGCATCAGCGAATGTGGGATACTGAGACCGGTGCGCTAGATATGGTTCTACGTTCGAGGGAATAACGTGACATTGAGCGACCTCGACACCATCTTCTCCCTGCCGTCCTTCTCGAGCGTACCCACGGCGCTGTTCAACCGGAAGGCGCTCCCCATTCTTCTTCTAGCTGCAGTCATAGAGGCACTCTCTCTCGTTGGGATTTTTGCGCCCAACGCTCTAACGGTCGTACCTGCCGGCGTCCCAATCAATTCCACTGTCGTCGCCAACGTCCCCGATGCCAATCAGGTCGCGTTGCTCACAAGCTCGGACTTTGAACCCATCGACTCCTCTGGCGTCCTCCGCTATATCAAGCCCTCTTCTACTATGCAGTCGCTTGCGGCAGCAGTTCTGAATGGCAGCACCGTACTCCCGTCACAGCCGCCCGTGCAATGCGGTCGAGGGTGCAGCTACCATGTTGATTACTGGGGACCTGCATTGAAGTGCACGGAGATTCCACAATCCTCGATAGAGGTGTACAACACAAACTACACGACATCGAACGGCGCGAACGCGACCGTAGACCCCAGCATCCATGTCTCCAACCCCACCCACTTCATGGAGGGATCCTACGTCTATAATGCCACCACCAGCTTCGACTACCATGTCAATCGCACCGGACAGTCTACGTCTTTCTTGCAGTCATCGCCGTACGGAAAGCCGCTCACAATCGACGTCATCTACGCCTTGAACAGTTTTACCCTCCCATTCACACCGAGCGACCCGATCTACTACAACCTGACCGGGTACTCGTGTTCATTTGTCAACGCGTCATATACCGCTTCCTACAACTACTCCTCCGAAGAGCAGACAACTGTCGCTCGCGTCACGGAATACGGATCGCCACTTGGGCCATTTGCGGACCCAGGAGGAGTGAATCAGTCATTCGTCTACGGTTTAGGGAGGGGTTCACCGATCCCAAGCGATCAATGGCGGCAGGAGCTGGAAGAGCTCACGTATCCGTACTCTGTGTTGGCCCTCGCGGACGCTTTTTCACGGCAACTTTTCGGGACTCTTGCCTTTTCGAAGAACGCGACGGACGATCCTGCATCCGTCTACCCGAGCCTTGCGTTCGATTCAGTATTCACTACCCACTCTACCGAGAGTGGCAACCAGAGCTCTGGGAGCCTGAACACTCTTTCGCTCTCCCTTATATCGACGTCCTACGACAACCTTGGTCGTTTACTAGAAGACGCGTGTACAAATCTGACGGCGTCTCTGATCTCAACGTCAGCTGCCAATACGGCTGTGAAGCTTGATGACGTAATCAGTCTTCTGTTGGGGACGTCGTACACGAGCGTCTCGGCGATCGTGATACCAGATACCACTGTGTATCAATACCAGGCGTCTCGCCTATGGATCGTATACGGCGTCGCTCTGGCCGTCGCTCTCCTGGCCGACACATACGGATTCTTCTGCATGTTCAGGAATGACGGTGCCATGCAACGCCAGTTTTCTGCCATCGCCGCTTCAGTCCGGGACCGTGAGTTAGACGGCCTGTTCAGCGAACCCGGAAAAGCCTTGCCGGCCCGAGCCAAGACAGTCAAACTACGGTACACCACAGGAGCGTCCGTTCTGGGCGAGAGGGCTGGCTTCAAAGTCACAGAGTCTGAGGGAGTGTATGAAGACGGAGATGGGATGGAAATGCATGAGGCGGAGAGCGACAAGGAGATGTGAAGCCCGTCGCAGGATCCCCAATTTCTACTTCCATCAGCGGTGCCATGAGATGGACTGGCTCACTCGGACGTTACCCTACCACAAAACTCGCCATTTGATGAGATTGGATATTGTAGGATAGTAGCTGGACCTTCCGCTTAGACTCCTTGGTACTACACATCGTTTTCTTCCTCCTTATTTACACTGTGCTCAATCAGGATATGGGTATAGTACGGGATTGACTGTATTCAACGATGTAGTCTTCGAATTGCCTGCGATTCAGATGAAACGTACAGAGTTGATTACGGGACTCTGAATGCTTACTACTGTTGCGAGGATCTTACCGAAGCCGACTCACAAAGTACTTAGTCTACTAATGGCGTCTGTTACTGCCACAGCGAGAGTCTAGTCGCAAGCGTCATGTTTTCTGATCGCAAGTCAGTGTGGCTCGAGAGCTCAACCACGGTGTTGTTGCCTTCATGTTCTAGCCGATCACGAACCACAAACAACGATCGCACAAACTTCGCAACCACCTTCGGCAGAGCACCGACATATAATACGCGTGACCTGAGGTTCCCTATAAGTGATTATCTTGCCTGCACAGGGAATCATAGCGCTCGCTGCTTGGTCACCCCATCATCGCTACCCCCGTCCCCGTTGAGCTCGCCATGCCTGAGTTCATACTACATTCGCCGACCCGCCCTCGCATCATCAACGACATCCACTCTGCAGGATGTTTCGCGCCGTCCCAGCCATCGAGCTATGGCGCGTTCTCGGAGGACTTCTGCAAATCCTCTGCGCCGCCGCCGTCGCCGGTGAAGAGGAGTCAAGCGAAGGAGAATGTGCATCCCGCGGTCGACGCCGTCGCCGTTAGCAAGGCTCTCTTGACTTTTGAAGACAAGCCAAAGCGCGCGCCCCTTGATTCCTTCGTGGAACATCTCGCCAACCACGAAGATACGCCCGTTACGCCGAGCTCAACATCTCGCCCCGCAACGCCGCCGACGTCCGATGGTCCCGCGCTGAAGGAGGCGCTGGGCGCCTTAATGTCCTTTGCTGACTCTCTCGCGGATACAGCGCCGTCGTCGCCAGCAAAGGGTCAGGAGGGGACCTTCGTTGTAAGCGAAAGCGTCAAGAGGGAGCTATTGAATGCTCTCCTGACCATCGCGCACAACGACGAGCTTTCATCGGGGCAGAAATCGGCCAACCAGGTCGAAGGCGGGATGGAGGCCATTACGTCCGGAGTAGCGGAGGAGAGTGTTCCCGCTGCGAAGACTGTCGCGTCGGAGACCAGCAAGGCCGCTGAGCACGAGGCTACTCTGGCCGTTTGTGCTGTTAATGATATTGGGGCCGTACCACTTGCAAGTAACGCCGGTTCTACTGAGAGCGTTCTTGGTGAGAACTTCGTACACTTCTCTACTGATATGCGGACAGCTAACCTTAGACCAGCCTCGCCAAACGTTACCGCCTCCGTCATCGCCGTCACAACTACTCCGCAGGTTCTCAACGCAAACGGCAAGCGTCCCGCGGACGAAGACGGGGGGATGAGATGCTACTACAAGCACAACACCGTCGATGTCAACGAGGACATCATCATACAGGTTGGCGATGCGTACGAGGTTAAGCACCCTCCTCGCGAGTACGACATTGAAGAGATAGGCTTGACATGTTGGGGAGATATCTTGCCTGTCGCCTGTGTGGAGGTGGAGAACGCCATGGCTCATGTGAAGCGGAGGACCGAGTCTCGAAAGAAACGCTGCCCCGCCTGCTTCTGAGTACGTTGTATCTGACCGTTGTATGTCTGCGCCCTTGATAGCTGCGTGTTGTTTGTTTGTTTGTCTTCTTAGTGTACGCCTCGCGATATCAACGTCTGTAACCACGGAATTGATAGTCTCTGCATTCGCCGCGCGTGCTTGCCGAAGTAACCACTGGCTGCCGTTACAACGCGCAGGGTACGGAAAAGCTGAAAGAGGATCAGAAAACTGCAATATTTTGCCAAGAGATGGTTTGCGAAGCTTACGGTCTTGCCCGAAAACCACACGGCGATTCAACCACCAGAAAAAAACGGGGGCCTGGAAGCGAGCGGGACAACCGCAGATCAACCACCAACCACCTTCTCCAATGAGTATAAATCCCAGACGCGCCCCAAACCAAAAGCTGCACCTAACTCTCACCGTGTTAGTCGACTCCTCTTGCTATCTGCGCCTTCGCCCGCATCATGATGTTCTCTGCTGGTGACCACGCCCGCCTCACTCACAAAATGAGCTTCGACCACCTTGCGCCCGGGCACAACGAGCCCTATCTGAGGAACTGTACGTGCAGGTTAGACATAGGTCCTAGTGGCAACCATTGACGTGCACACCTAGCTTGGCCCCCCCGCGGGCCATACTTCCCTCATCCTGACCTCGACATGCCATCGCAGGCGGCAGAGGTACAGCGCACGTTCCCCGGGGACGGTACAGCTGCCGTCGGGCTTTCCTTGTTCGACGTTCCCGCGGAGGATGCCAACCACGACACTGCCGCCAATTTCCAGAGCGCTACCACACCAAGCACCTCTCGCGAGACCGAAGAGCGCAACGAGCTCCTGCGCCTCATAGCCGACTGGCATGCCGAAAGCATCGGTGAGCCCGACCCATCCACACAGCGCGGAATATACGCTGATCATCCTCGTCTAGTCCCCGCCCCGCCTGCACCTGTTCCCGCTCCCGCGTCGTCGTCGCTGCCAGGACCACGCTCTCTGGATGCGACCAACATTGACCGGTATATGTGGTCGACAGCAACCCGGTGCCCGGAGTCCATACAGCGCGCGCACGCCGCTGGCCGCGCACAAAGCCCCGCTTCAACGAGTCAGTACACATTCATCACAGCTCGCAAAGGATGTACTGACGAGGATCGTACCACAGTGTCGGGTATCCCATTCGATCGCGCGCCTTTCATGCCATCTCCTCGTTATATGCCTCCTTCGCCGGCGATGTCCGCGAGCGCTATTGACGAAGCCGACCACGACGCCGAGCCATCTGGCGCGCCCACCTCTCCTGTCAACGCGAATGCGACCACTCCAAACACGTATCCTCCGACTGTCGTCCTGGTCCCCGAAGCGCTTCCGAGCGACATACTGCCTCCCGCGCCGCGCCACCTCAAGCGCATGCGCTCTCTCACCTCCTCCCCCGACGTCGATCAGCCAACGCCCCGCCGCCAGCGCATCAGCTCGCCGGGAGGAAGCCTCTTCTCCGGCACGCCGTCCGTCAAGGGCACGCTCGTCGACGAGAGCGGAGAGGATGGGTGGAAAGGCGAGGCGTTGGGTCTGACGTTCGACGACGACAAGGAGAAGAAGAAGATCAAGGGCATTGTGTTGCTTGATCAGAGTGGATGGGACGCTCTGCAGATTGGCGAGCGCAAGACCGAGGAGGATGAAGAGGCTGATGAGGCGGAGGCGGCTACTGAGGTGGTTGAGAGCGTTGAGGGTGCGCAGGTTTGGGTCGAGGTTGAGGATGTGCAGGACGCTGGCGTGCAGGAGGAAGACACAAGCTCGACGACGTCTGGGGAGGATGGTATGACGAGGTGTATACGCCGCTGCCTGTCGAAGATGACTCGCTCGCCGCCGACGCTCGGGGACGAAGATCTCGAGCGAATCAGAGCTGATATTGCAGCGAGGTTTCCGGATGCAGCCGCTCGCTCAAGGACGCTCACTTATGATGATCTTGAGCGCATCAGCGCTGACATTGATGCGCGCCGTGTGCGCGGCGGCTTGCCGGAGGAGGACACCCGCTCGACGACGCTCAGTGACGATGATCTTGGACGGCTCTACGCTGGCATGAAAGCGAGGCGTCTTCGTTACGGCTTGCCGGAGGATAGTATTCTCTCTCGGCCGCTCAGTGACGAAGATCTTGAGCGGATCAGCGCTGATATCGAAGCGCGCCGTGTGCGCAACGGCTTTCCGAAGGAGGACGCTCGCCCGCCGCTCGGGGTGGACGATCTTGAACGGATCAGCGCTGACATTATGGCGAGGGAGGCCGAGAATCGCGAGTTCTACCGGTGGTTGCAGACCAAGCTGCAGCAGAGCGGGTGGATGCACATGCTGAGGGAGCTCTTCGACAGGGAGAGGGAAGAAGTCGAGCCCATGATCATCTACCGGACGCACGACGATGAGGTCGACCCGGCCTTCGTCGACCCCGACAACGCGCTCTTCGGCTCCTTGACCTTCGAAGAGGCCGTTCCTCCGGAGAGCACCTGGGGCGAGAGCCCCGAGACGCGGCGCGCGGGCGTCGCGATGATCTACCGCAACATGACGGCGTTTGGGAATATGGATCTGCTTTGGTTCCACATGATGCTTGGTTGCGAGGAGGGTTGGTGCCCTTGCGGCGCTTGAGATCGTTGTAGGGGTTTATGGACTGATTGGTGGGAGTGATTGGCGGACCGACTTGTGGTCGCATTGTTATCCGGTTTCTTCGTCATGTTTTCGTGTTACTGTAACATATGATCGTCAGCAATATGTCATGTCAAGTATGAAACTCAAGCGCACGGTATAATTCACCTTGGACAGCACTCCTCTCGACAGGGCGAGCGCGCGAAGGCTGAACACAAATGCGGTTTCAAACAAGGACGTATTCAGTCGCAGCAGTGCATTGCTTGGTATAGTGTACATTCCATTTGAAAGTAGTCCGTGTACATGCGCTCACCGATACAGAATCAGACCTCTAGGAAGTCATCGTCCTCTTCGACAAGCAAGTCTAAGAAACGGAAGAAGCTAGCTGCCGGGAAACCGACGACATTCTGGTAGTCGCCTTCAATCTTCCGTACGAGCAGCCCTCCCAGGCCCTATACGATACTGGTAAGCGTCGTGCTATGATGATGATCATCGACTAAACGCACTTGAACAGCAAATCCACCTGCGCGGTCAATGCCTTCTCCGGAGTCTGCGTATGCCTCCAAGAGGTAGGTCGGGTTATCGGAGAAGTATACCAGACTTCGCTCTTCTATTGACTGGATCTTGTATCCCGGCGCCGTCAAGATCGGAAATACTACAACTGGCATGAGCACAACTCAGACATCTATGAGTCCAAAAGACACATACCGACAGTAACGCCAGTGACGACTTCGCAAACAGCGCCATTCAACTCCAACAACATTCTCAAGTTCTCCGCCTTGCTATCCGGCTTCTCAAGCAGCTCCTGCTGAATCTGCGGCAGCTCGCTATACGCCACATCGCTCGTGCTGGGCTTCGCATGCGTGAGAACGACGGTATCCGCGCCGATGACGAGGTCGGGCGGGTCGTCCGGGTTCGTCGCGACGAGGCGCTCGTAGACTTCCACGGCTTTGTGCGTCGCCGTCGCGACGGGATATTCGTGTATATCTTCGAACTCGGCCGGGGAGAGGTCTTCGGCGAAGGTGCTGGGTACTATCTCTGCTGATAGGCCCTGTACTATAAATCAGATATATGGCTAATACGCTTGGAGGGGCGCGGGAAGTGTACGCACGAATGTTTCGAGGATCTGTTTTCGGCGGGGTGAGGCCGACGCAAGGATGACACGTTTGCCATGTAGCTTGTTAAGGCCTGGTATCTTGAGCGCGTGGCCCATAACAGCTGGCACTCTTTTCTCGTTGGCCATTGTCTGTCAAGCGGTAAGTTATGGGCGTCTATGGATGAAGATGGTGGATCGAAGAAGGCGTCTGGCTTCGGCTGTTGATGTTGAAGAGTTGTATTCGGATGCTCGGGCCGAGATAGGGGCTTCTGCGGTGCCGCGCTTGCCGCTTGCACGGATATCCACGCGCCTTGCTTCTGCTCCTTCATGTCCTGTGCCATCGCTCTAGCGCGATAGTATAGAGGGGACTCTGATCACAATACGGATTCACTTCAAGCTCGAGAGACAAGCAGAGTGAATAATGCAATTCTCTGCGCCTGCTTTTGGACAATGTACACGCCGCGCGCCTGATGATCAAACGCCCAATGGGAACGCCCCCGGACTCCTCATCCCATCCTTTCCAACAGCCCTAACAGCCATAATCGCATTATCCTTACTAACATCAACCGTCGCCCTTCCCACAAAGCCCACCCCGATAACATTCGTCCACCGCGGCGCGTCCGTCGCGCGCCACAGCACCTCGTACCCGGCCGTCATCCCGCTCTCGTTATCGACGGACCACGTGAGCGTCGAGTTGTTCGTGAGGACCGAGGTGTCGAGCGTTACGTTTTTGGGAGTGCCGGGCGCGGCGGCGAGGGACCAGATCGTTGCGCCGTTTACGCGCGCGACGCGTGCGTTGAAGGGGAAGTCGCAGAATTCGGGGAGGTCGCCGAATTGGGTTCCGTCTTGGACGCGCACGTCCTATTGTGCTCTTTAGTCCTTTGCTCTCAGTTGCAACGGTGGAAGATGACTTGCCTGGTGCTGATGCGCAAAGTTCTCATGCGGCTCCGTGAACCTCGCCGCAGGGAAGCCCTGACGAAGAAACGGCTCATGATCTCCACCCCTCAAGAACCTATCCGCGCGATACACGACCGCCACATTCATATCCGTCACACTATTACTAGCCACGTCCGCGGCGAACCTCGCCAGCTCGCGCGCAGGCGAGTCGTTCTCGCCGCCAACTTGTACGCGGTTGGTCATCTGCGCGAGGGACTCGGTGAATGATGGTACGCCCTGTGCGAAGAGGCGGATCGTGTGCGGGTCGGATGAGCCGGGGTCGCCCTTTGAGGAGCCGACGATGTCGTTTGTGAACATACCTACACGTTACCATCCTCAGCGCAGACTCAAGGTACAGCGGCAGGAAGTAGGTGCACCTTGAACATCCAACCCAGCATCCCTCGTAATATTCGCAAAGTTCCCGCTCCCAAGCAACCCCTGCTCCTCCCCACTAACAGCCCCCAGCATAATCGTCGCCTTCGGCTGCGGCAGCTTCGAAAACACCCTGATCAGCTCGAGCACGACGGCCACGCCGCTCCCGTCGTCGTCCGCGCCCGGCGCGTCGTTGATGAAGTCGGAGTTGTTGGTGTTGCGCGAGTCGTAGTGGCCGGTGATGATGTATACTCTGTTGGGTGTGACTGAGCCGGTGAAGGTCGTTACGACGTTGGAGATGTTCACTGGGAAGAGGATGGAGCCTGATGCTGGCTGTTCAATCAAATGATGCATTCAGTATGGTGTACGTAAAGTGAGACAAGAACTCTCCTACCTGCTCGTACGTCTGAACCTCAACCTTCGCATGCGCCACACCCTCCGTGAGGTTGCCCATCCTCGCCTCAAGCCACCTCTGCGCCGCGCCGACGCCCCTCACCGGGTCAGTCTGCGACGACATCGTGTTGCGCGTGCCGAAACCCACGAGAGACGTGATGATCTCTTCAACATTGGACGAGGAGATGTCGCGCAGGGCAGAGGAGAGCTGAGCTGAGGGGGCTTGGGAAGTGTAGGCTGTTCCTGGTCCGGAGGGGAATGCGTCTGTTAAGGCGCAGGAGAGGGGTACTGAGCGCTCTTCGACGTATAGCTGAAGAGCGACGGAAAGGCTGGCGAGTAGAGGGAGCAAGGCGAACGAACGCATGCTGAATGGCTGGACCTGATCTCAAAATACGACCAGCTTTATAGGATGAGTGGATATAAGACGCGGCAGACATCGTACGGGACGGACAACCCGCGGCGCACAAAGATAGAGATAAGATGTCAGAAGATCACGCAAACATAGAGCGATAGCACTGTAGAACCGCAGGAGAAGAACCACAGAATACTGTCGGAGTCTGTGCTGGCGGTGCCGGCTGCAGAAGCCCTCTGCGTGAGATCGTGCCCACCCACAGGTGACTGGGCATAACATAGGTCCAGGGAAGATCGGTACTGTTGTAGCGAGTCGCCACATGCGCGAAGCATAGAGGGTAGGGATATAGAAAGGCTTGAATACAACGAAGGTGCGGATTCATGGGAAAGGGAAAGCAAGCAGTCTAAAGCGAGAAGGCAGCATATCGATACATCAAAGAAAGGATAAGAAACTTCAATCGTACAGCACTCCCTCATAATCCACGCGAGGCTTAGGCAGAGAGCAGCTCCTTCAGCTCGCCGTTCGACGCCATCTCGGTGACGATGTCTAGTCCGCCCACGAATTCGCCGTTGATGATGAGCTGTGGGAACGTCGGCCACTCGTTCAGGACCTTCAGACCTGCAGTAGCTCTGTTGAGTCAAGACGGTTGGGCAATAGGGTGAGATTGGCGTACCGGATCGCACAGAGTCGTCGCCGAGAATGTCAAAGCTGTCAAAATCGACCTTCTGGTCCCGCAACAGCGCAACCGTGCGCCTGCTAAAGCCACAACGGGGTACATCCGGCGAGCCCTTCATGAACAGCATAACCTAGGCAGCACCCTCAGACTGACGTGTATCGCATAGTCGACGCTGCGAACACACCTTGCTCCTGTTCATCAACCCCCTCAAGCGCTCGTTCAGCTGCTCGGGCGTCTCCTCTGCCGGTGCCGGTGCAGGCGCACGGTCAGTGTGGGATAGTGGCGCAGATGCGGTCGGCCGTGTGTGATGTGCGACGGCAGAAGTAAGTGCAGCAGCGTCCGCGCCCGAGATCCTGCTCAACAATGTATGTCCCTACAATCATTATCAGTCCCATCCATTACAAATATCGAGATTGAGTGCAGACGTACGCGCAAGAGAATAAAACTCGGCACAGCCTCGACGTCAAACGACTCCGTAATATCCGCCTGCTCCTCCGCCTCGATCATCAGCACCAGCAAGCTCGGATACTTCCGCCCCAGCTCGCGCACGACCTCGTTCATCTGCGCGCACGGCGCGGCCCATGGCGCCCAGAAGTTCAGCAGCGACACGCGGGAGAGGTCGGCCGAGAGGAGGGCTTTGAAGTGGTCGGGCGAGGTCACGTCGTGCAGGTTTGGTAGGTTCGCTGCGTCCATGGTGGTGGATGTAGGGGTGCGGGGATGGAGATGGGTGTCCGGGCGAGATGAGTAAAGTGAGCGTTCGCGCAGCGAAAGATGGGCTGGATGAGAAGGCGCGATCATGTCGTTATCTGATAGGCTGACGCCTGTGAAGTGCCCCTATCTTTCCCCTGGGCCGAGAATATTCCATGCACTTCACACTGTCCTCAAGCGTCTCAGTGACCTCGATGACTTCGTACTCGCGAATGTCAACACATTTGTTCACGCTAGTATGAGGTTCGTGTGACAACGCACGCACGCGTACGCGATCTGTATATCAAGTATTATGCGAATGAAATACACCAGTAGCAAAAAGGAGACGGGGCCATCTAACATCGATCGAGTAAAGGAAGGCGCAATGAACAGCAGAGACATCAGGCAGTGAGTAGAGTATGGCAAAATGTGCGGGGGGATGACGCAGGTAGGGTAGGGCAAGAACGAAACCGAAGCGGGAGGAGAGACCGGAGAAGGCAATCTACCAGCGACCGCCTCCTCCACGACCACCATAGCCGGAGTCGCCTCCGCCGCCGTAGCCTCCTCCTCCGCCACCGTATCCACCACCACCGTAGCCTCCACCGCCGCCACCTCCACCGCGACGACCACCGCCACCGCCACCACCGTAGCGACCTAACGATACTCGATTAGCAAACGTGGTCACTGTAAGATTAGAAACGTGACGTACTGCGCCCTCCGCCGCCGCCACCGTACGAGGCCATCTCCTCGAGCTGAGGGGGAATGTCGGCCTTGGCTTCGCGCAAGATAGCCAAGAGCTCGCGTGCAGACTTGGCATTGTCGGTGGTGAAGTAAGTGAAGGATGTACCCTTCATACCCGCACGCTATGGTGGAGGGTCAGCGATCTGGATAAAGGAAGGCCATTATGAGGGATACGCACGCCAGTACGACCGATACGGTGAATGTAGTCCTCGCAGTTGTTGGGGAAGTCGTAGTTCTGCGTATGGTGGTCAGCGCGAGAGTAAGATGAGAGGGTGAAAGACCGCTTACGATGACATAGCCTACATCCTTGACGTCTGGAGGTCGCAAGCGGAAGCGAACGCCAAGACAAAGAGCGCAGAGCAAGATTTGCGCAGACGGATATAGAGAGAAAAGGAGCACAAAAGCCGTCAACAAAACCGAACACAGGCAAGTTGGTCGCAAGCGCCGCGACGGGGGAAACAATAACGTCGAGCAGACAAACAACAACTGAATACCGTCCGTAGGGTTTGTGTAACCTCGAGCCGCGTGAAGCAAGAGGTAGCGGACGAGGCGAACCGCGCCCAGGCGACAAGTTGTGGCAGATCTCGAGCGTCGAGCACATCCAGAGCCGGAGGGTGAGCGTAGACCATCGGTTGTTCTCCAGCAGGACATGAAACGCAGCAAGCTTAAACGTTCCACTCCAGCAGCGTATCGTCGCAGAAAGGCTGGCTCGGACGAGCAAGCCCATCAGATAACGAGAGAGAACTGTAGATGGCCTTGTGACTCCCTCGGTGGCTGGTTGTGCGCGTAGCGTGTTGACCTGCCGTTTGCCATGATGCCTGAGGCGGACCCTAGAACCTGGTAGATGGAGCGCGTTAAGTGGTAAACGGCTGCGGTAGACCGCCCCATTGAGGCGGCGGGTTACGCAGAGTTCGCGTCATCATACCAGCAGACCTAAAGAGTCTGGACGTGGGAAGCCGTAAACATCCCCCACGGCTTACCCGTTGTTCGTCGCAAAGACGTCTCGACAAGATATCGAAGCGCTTGCACCAGGCAATGAATACGTACCGAGACCACGCGAGGCAACGTCAGTTGCGATAAGAATGGGTGAGCGTCCGGCCTTGAACTCGCCGAGAACCCAGTCACGTTCACGCCTGTGAATTCGGTCAATGCGTGCACTATACATCTAGAGATGAAGTTACATACTGCTCCTTGTCACCGTGGATAGCGAGTGCTGGCCAGCCATCTTGACGAAGGTACTTGGTGATGTCGTCCGCCGTACGCTTGGTCGCGACGAAGATAAGGACCTTGGCGTTCTCTGCGCTGATCTGCTCAAGGTGCTTGATAAGCTTGTTGCGCTTCTCGAAATCGCTAACGACGTCGACGATCTGCTTGATGTTGTGGTTGGCGGTGAGCTCCATGGAACCGATGTTGCACTGAATCATGTCCTGCAAGAAGTCCTGTGACAAAAGCGTCAGAAACCTAGTTCCAAATGAATAGAAAGAGACGCGTACAGAGGCGAGGCGCTGGACGTCCTTCGGCCATGTTGCACTGAACATGAGCGTCTGGCGATCGGGACGAATCTGGCCAATGATCTTGCGGATTTGCGGCTCGAAACCCATGTCAAGCATGCGGTCAGCCTCGTCAAGCACGAGGTAGGTAACGCGACGAAGGTTCGTCTTTTGGGTCTCAAGCATGTCGATGAGACGGCCGGGCGTGGCGATAACGATCTCCACCCCACGCTGCAAGTCACGGATTTGCGGCCCCTTCGGTGCACCACCGTAGATAGCCGTGTTGCGAATACGCGAGTTGGAGCCGAACTTCGTGCATTCCTGCTGGATCTGGACGGCCAGCTCACGTGTCGGTGCCAGGATCAGGGCAATGGGCCCATCGCCGGGCGTCAAGAGCGGTTGCGCGTTGATGTGCAACATAGCCGGGAGAGCGAACGAGATGGTCTTTCCGGAACCGGTCTGGGCGATAGCGACGACGTCGCGTCCAGAAAGAGCCATAGGCCACGACTGAGCCTGAATGGGAGACGGCTCCTTGAAGCCAGCCGCGCGAATCGAAGTCATGATATATTCCGGGAAACCCGCCTCCTCGAATGTACGAACGGGCCGAGGAACGTTACGTCCTTGCACCTATCGGAATTATCAATAAAAAGCGCAAACATGCGGTAGACGCGCGCTTTTCTTACCCGGATCTCCTTCTCCTTCCGGAAATCCTCAATCTCGCGCTCAGACCGCTGAGTAACAGCCTTGTCCTCGACATAAAAGTTTTTCTCGAACGGCGTGAGCTTCATGGAGGACCAGTCCTGGTTGCGGAGCGTGCCACCGAGGTTGCTCATCCGGTCGCCGCCGCCGCCTCCACCGTATCCACCGCCGCCGCCGCCGTAGCCTCCACCGCCATAGCCGCCGGAGCTGCCGCCGTAGCCGCCGCCGCCGCCGCCATAACCGCCTCCACCACCGTAAGAACCGCCGTAGGACTGTATTTTTGTCAGCTTATTATTTTCAAGGGGTGGCAGAACGCGTACCATGATGTTACCGAGAGTAGGTCTAAGGGAGAATGAGGCGGGAGGAGAAAGGAAAATGCGCGCTTGACACGCGCGCGTCTCGCTTATGAGGGCGCCCCAATTTTCCCACCTTCGCGGCAAGGTCCGTGCGCCTCCGTCTTCCGATACGGACTTTGTAACGCGTAGCACCGGCACGACCAGTGTACTTAGAGTTACATGTTACGCGTCCCGTACGCGCATCAGGCCCAGTACGAGACCTATGGTGACTGAGTATATGCCCGTTGCGCATGCTCAGACCACAAAAAGCAATAAGTAATTCGCCACACGGCCTCGCGGGCCAGGTCCGATCTGAACTTTATCCCCGCACAAGCGCTCGGCGAAGGCGCCTCTTGATGAAGAGCGTCTGATAAGCGCCAGGCAATACTATAGCCTCGCACCGATATTGTGCTCGACGCGTCCTGCTCTCGACCCACTAACATCATAAGGCCTCACAACACCTGCTGGAGCGGGCGTGGGACTAGCTACATGCGTATGTGATGCTTATCAGCCGGCTTCAGATATCGCCCCGGACCAATGAGCACTCGTGAACTGCCTGCTGCCGCGTGCAGTATCGTCTGACATTTACATGGCCCCCGCTTGCGCAAGCATAGCAAGTGATTGCCACCTCATAGGCAGCTAAATTGAACTTCTCACGATATCACAGTCGCTTCCTCGACGATTACAATACCTACAGCTTAGCACTAGCATCCTTCTCCCACTCATTGAGATAAACTTGCAGATCATCCGTCGAGCGCTGTTAATATAGTCAGCACATGCACATCCTCACCCTCCAAACGTAGCCATACCTCGATCCACCGAATCTTCGCCTTAATCGAATCGTACGCCTGCGCAAGTGCCATATTGTACTTAGACACGTCCTTACCCTCAAAGAACTTCTCCGCGCGCTCGAGGTCCTCCTTCGTGGAGAACCCGGCGTAGGTAGTGCTGACGAGGTATTTGGTCGTCGATGTCGTCTCGAAGCGCTTATAGAGCTACAGACGGTGTGCGTCAGTATGCTGACGTGGGAGAAGGAATGGGTAAAGACGTACAGTGTCGTACTCCTTCTCAAAGTAATCGCGAAGAGGACGGCGCGCTTTGAGGTTCCCGCTGAGGCCCCAGAAGAAGTAGATCACGTCTTGGTTCCTCGATTTCGTAGCGATGAGTCCAAGTGTGCGCTCAATCAGCGCCGGGTCCTGCGTGGCGCCTAACGCGCGCCTGCACCATCATCCGCATCAGCCATCCGCATAGAAAGAAAGGGAAGCATGGAGGATCACGCACATAGACGCTTGGTGGACGCTGGGGTTCTTCCCCGCCTCGAAGAGCTTGAGCACAGCCTCGTACTCCTCAACCCCGCCATGTTTCACGCTCTGCGCGAACGTCGTGCTGAGAAGATCCGCAGGCACAGCGCTCTCATCACCGGCGATGTACTTCGCGAATCGGCTCTTCAGCTCCTTCAACACGCCCTCGTCGCCAGCAGCGGCAGCGCCGCCAACCGCCACCATGCGCAACTGCGTGTCATCTGGGCTCTCGCCTTCGCGGTACTCGTAGCCGAGCTTCTGTACCAGCGGAGCGTAGAGTGAACGGCGGAACGCGTCGAGTTGGGACTTGATGTGCTCGTTCTCCATCCAGGTGCCGACGACGATGCCGAGGTTGTCCGAAATGCCCTGCCATACGAGGTCTATACCCCGATATTAGCGTCGACCGACATCACATCGACAGGGAAGAACGCACACTCGGCTTCAGCGCGCCACACCCACACAAGTCCAAGCGCCGCGCTAATCTTCAACTGCCCACTCTTCGCGAGCGCCATGGCATCGTGCACAAGACCTATGCGGTCCTCAAGCGCGAAGGGAGAGTCGCTCTCAGCTGCTTGGGCAGCAATCTTCTGGAGGCGCTCGGGCGTGTAGAGCACACGGTCTACGAACAACGATGAGCGCTGATTCGAAGAGAAAATGTGGGAATGGATGGAGGCACGTACATACGCCAGCGGTCCCTGCGTTCAGCTTCCACGGCCTGGTCGTATCGATATCGAAGCTGGCTTCGCGCTTGTCGAGTACGGCAGAGCGGTCGAGACCCTTGGAAGAGAGCATCGCGAGAGGTACAGTCCTAGAACGAAGCACATCAGCTTCAGCGGATCGACCAACTTCGCGCAGTGGGCGTACCAAATCGTTTCGTTGTCCTTGTCACTGGGCTCGCCATCCTCCAAGAAGCGATCCTGGCGGACTTTAATGCTCTTCCCGTCTTCCGACTCGGTGACCTTGAGCACCGGGAAGCCCATAGCAGTGACCCAGTTGTGCATGAGCTCGTTGATGTCCTTGCCTATGTCACCGCAACATGTCAGCGCTCCAGAAGACTGTGTATGGGAAGCAAGAGACGCACCGGTAGCCTCGGATACGCCAGCCCACAAGTCCGCGGAGACGGTGTTCTTGTAGCTGTGCTTCTTGAGGTAGAGACTGACGCCCTTCAAGAACTCCTTCTCGCCGACATACTCCGACAGCATACGGAGCACCGATGCAGCCTGACCTAGTATGAGTACAGCTTCCTCGCGTTGTAGTACAATGTTCGCTCACCTTCGCATACGACAGCGAGTCAAAGATCTGGTTGATCTGGTTCGGGTCGGGAAGCGGAACCTCGATAGGGTGCGACGACAGCTTCGCGTCAAGACGGAGCGCTTGGTTGAGGTTGGAGTTGATGAACTGCGAGTTGACGCGCCATTCGGGGAAGAGCTGGTCGAGTATGATGGATTCGCCCATCACCGTCGCGAATCCTTCGTTCAGGTAGAGGTTGTCCCACCAGGCCATTGTCGTGATGTCGCCGAACCACATGTGCGCAATCCTACAAGCGCACGTCAGAACGAGTTCACACGTTACTGATGGTATGTCGGGATACGCACTCGTGCGACTGCGTCCCTGCGACGCGCATCCGCCGGGTGAGGTCCTGGCTGTTGGGGTCAACCAGAATGGCGGAGGTGCGGCCTGTAATGAGACCCTGTCAATGACCGGTCAGTGATATGTATAACAAATATAGAGCGGCAGCGCCTACCCAATTCTCCATCGCGCCAGCGTCGAAGTCATGGGCCACAAGTGTGTCGAGCTTGCTGAGCGGATACTCCACGTCGAACACCTTCTCGTACAGCGGTACAGCACGAACGGTCACGTCGAGGCAGAACTGACATTGCCCGATGGCATCCTTCGTAGCGTAGATCCTGAGCGGCCGGACGTTGCCCTTGATAGATGTGTAGCTGCTCTCGATGTACTCGAAGGGACCATTGGCGAATGCGAGGAGGTAAGTCGACATCGGCGGCGTATTCTCGAACGTCGTCGCGGCCCATTCGCCCTTCTCGACACCGGCGTAGAGCGCCTCGGCGACAGAAGGCGAGAAGTCGCTGGCAAGCGTGGATGGGTTCGGCGCGTCGGGAAGTGCGCCGGTGTTGGCAAGCGAAACAGTGTCAGAACGCGAGATCATCGTGACGCCGAATGTAGCCTTGAGCAGCGGCTCATCCCAACATGGTAAAGCACGACGCGCATCGGTCGACTCGAACTGGGTCAACGAGTAGATGCCTCCAGGCCATTGAGACTTGTAGTATCCAACCATGCTGTCCGTAAGGGTGTTGTTAAACGCGATAGAGAGCACAGCTTTGGTTCCGGGGTGAAGCTGGACGGGAAGCGTGTAGGAGACACGTTGCGTGACGGGATCGTAGCTCTTCCCACTGCCGGATAGTCTGAATTTGCCAGCCTTGACCTCCGAAGAGCCGGGCACCGATGTAATGCTGAGAGACTCGTCGTCCAAGACGAGTTCTTCGGCCGCGTGAAGTACGATCTGCGTCGTGGGTTCGACGATGTCGATGCTGTGGCGCGCCTTCTGTCAGATCGTGTATCGTAGCTAATAGTACAGAAACCTGTACCTGATCTTCACGGCTCCAGAGAAAGCCTCCTTCTCGAGATCGGTACGAATAGTGAGATCATAATGCGTAGGCTTGACATTAGTCGGGAGCCTGTACGCATCGCTAGCCTGGGTCGCCATTTTGGTCTCGGCGCTAGTAGGTCCGCCAACTATTTCTGCGTCGTGTCCGCGGTGGAATCGGCAGAATCCTCTTGAAGTAAGAGGACGCGTAGATGGGAGTTGGGTTTGAGAGGGCCGTCCGGATCTCGAGGCAGAAATCGAAAGAGTCCTGGAACGCGTCCATACGGTCATGCGCGTCAACCGTGGCGCCTGGCCGAAGCCAGCGACCGTGCGGCGCAGTGACTGAAGGGTCCCATATCCGAGCACCTGCATACAAGTGCTTGCGACTTCCTGGTCGAGGAGGCCTTGCGCGTCTATCCAGGGTACTGTAGATAGTGGAAGCTTCTACGCAGAAGACAGAGCGGGAAGTATGTTGCGCTGTCAAGGCAGGGCCACAGAAGTTCGGACCAAGACGCGTCGACCCAACGCGACGCGTCCCGCGCGTTTAGCGCGTCTTGCTTTCCGACCACCATCACCGCGTTCAGTTCCGTGTAAATCCCTACAAGTCAAATCAGCATTCTTCTTTGATGTGATTGCGCTCAGTGACGTCGGTTACCCGTTTGATTCGGACGTTCGAGGGCCATCGTAAGCACTGCACTGAATACACGGGCGATATTGCATCAAAACGTCTATCGCTGGTTGTAGGGGAGGATATAAGTACCTTGCCGACCAGAGTCGATGACGTTCTTTTCTCTCTTCCCTTTCTCTGATCGTTCTCATCATGACCTCTGCACTTTGGGCTCGTGCCGGCCCATCCGAGCGCGGCTGGTCCGTGCCGCAAGTCATCGTGTTCTCCGTGCTCATGTGTACGTCGCTTGGTCAATAATTGACTAGACTTTGGCTCACGGTGCAGATTAGTAACTTATGCGGCGGTCTTCGTGTATACAATGCGTTGCTTGCTGTATGTCCCATTTTTGCCTCCGAGGCTTCGCGTCGAACTGACAGTCGGGACCCTAGGCGCCCTCACGCACGAATTGCAAACCGCTTGTCACTCTTGCTCGTGACAATCTTCCTCTTCTTGACGACACTCGCGATGTACGGCATATTCCTGGCCGGGTGGCAGCCCTCCTCATTTAGGGTAGTACTCAGCGAGACACGCACTCTATCTATCGTTTGGACTATACTGTTCGCCGTGAACGTATGCCGTTGTCCCTCTATCGCAATAACTGGGCTGACGGATCCTGTTGCGCGCAGATCGTAGTGGGGGACGCTGTTCTCGCATGGCGCGCATGTGTGATTTGGCGGTGGAAAAAGGCCGTTAAGATCACGTCAATGTTTTTACTCTTCGCCGTTGCCGGTGAGTATGCCCTCAGGCCTGATATATCCGCGCGCGCGAGAGTTGATCACCTCGGACAGCGCTCTGGACATTCGCCATCATCATTGGCACCATTGCCCCTTCCATCCCTCCGTCACTTGTCATGAGCGCATGGTCCACAGGCGCCGTGGCCTGGCGCACCTGGTCGGCATCGTTTTCACATTTGTTTATCATCCAACGACTGACCCTCGATGTGACGCAGGCAGCAGCGCCGTCTCTTCCTGTCCAACATCTTTCGTATCGGAAACTCACGCGTCCAAACCTTCGAAGACATACTTGCAGCTCTCGTTGAGCTAGGAGCGGTGTATACCGTTCTATGGGTACGTCGCTCAGAACCAAGAGTCAGTGCTTTGCTCATCAAAAGCGGCTGGAACAGATAGCCTTCTTGATAACGACGTATACCGCGGCAGACCCTTTCCTGAAGTGGATAGAGATCATCATGATCGTCGCCGTCGTACGTCCAGTTACACATTCAACCAAGGTATTGGGCTGACGATCTATGTAGGGATTATACCCTACGCTTACTGTGGTGCTTGTTGCAAGACACAAAACGCCTTTGGCCGACCAGCTTACCGGCATCGAAGCACTTGACGGGTCCGATGTTGACCTGGCGTTCGACGCCAAGTGGGAAGACCGAAGTCTATAGAGCGCACGATGTTGGCAGAGCGCTCACGCGCGTGCATACATGATGGACAAGGACAAGACAAGGACAGCTACACGTATGTAACTTATACATCGATCGAATGCCATTGTGAATACAGAAATATCGTGTTTTGGATGCCATGATGTATGTTTTACAGTGCTTGTCTGCTTGTCTGCGCAAAGTATCAGCAAGGAGTGTGCTCGGTATGTCGAGGAGCACGTACCACGCGATTTTGGACGGGCTTCACCGCTCGAGCTCAGCCACCCGGTACAGAAGCGGCACCGCCGTATGGAGCGCATCAAGCTGCCCCTGCGTAACCGGCAAATACGCGTCCTCAACCATCAACACCAACAAGTCCCTCAAGAAAGTCCTGCACGAGTTCACACGCGAGTGCTTGTCGAACCTTACATCGCGAGCATGCGTAAGGATGCGGTCGCGCTGCGCCCTCGAGAACGTCCCCAACGCGCGAATCTGGTTCTTCTGGCGGTAATCCGAGTGGCGGCGCTTGCACTCGATGCTCAACGCCCACTTGCCGTACGAGCCCGTGAGGTGGACCATCTTGGATACTTCGTAGCCGGGAATCTCAGGCTTGGACACGTCCCAGAAGAGGAAGGCGTGACGCTCTTTGCCGGCGCGGTATTCCGAATCAAGCCCGGCGGATTGGAGGTAGACGATTTTGTTGTCGACGTCGTCCCTGAATTTCCGCGCCTGGTCAACGTCGTAGGAGTTGTCTGTTGTGGTGCGTCAGCGCCTTCTTCGAGATGAAGGGTAGAAATGAGAAGCGCACCATAGAAGGCCATGATGAAGGATAGGACGAGAGGGATAGGACGAGAAGGATAGGATGAGATAGCTGGTGTGCTGCAGGTCCGTCTCTTCACGCATCCTCTCTATATATTATGAAAGGTATTGCTGATTAGAGCAAACCACAGTCTAAGTGGTTGAGCATCAAGGGGGCATAATGGGAGGCGCCCGTTCACAAACCAGGAACCGACCACATCACTTCGAGAAGCACACAGATCGGACAGACAATGTTTGGCCACTTCTCACGCGGCGTCCGTGCTACATGCGTGTGAGGACATCCAAACCACCATACCACAAACCGGTGGTTGAGCGGTATACGGTGGAGAACGGCGAGATGATGGCCCCGTGAGGCAAGGAAAGATATCGAGAATAGTTTGGCATTAAGGGGGTTTGGGGAGTTAAATGTTTGTGCCCTCAGATTCTACAGGACATGACCGTAATATGTATCTACAGTTATCGACGCGCATAGATGGTACTCGTAGCGCGAGCATCAGGTTTTCGAACGGCCCCGCCCAGACCTGCGAAGCCTGGCACATGAGACCCAATTGGAAGACGGATGGGCTAACCTCACCTGTTCCGTGGTTCTAGGCCTCAGGCTTTCGAAGAAGAAGCGGGACCTCGCGGTCAACTTCTTCAAACCGCTCCTGAGATAGTGGCAAAGTGGGATCTGCGGCCATAGCCTCGAGCAAGTCGCGCGTCCAGACGCGGCAGGTGTTCACACGCGACTTGTCATCGAACTCGATTTCCTTGGCCAGAGCGAGCACACGGTCGCGCTGGGCACAGGTGAACGTTCCAAGTCCGTAGCGCGTGTTGTCCTTCGCAGCGCCAGATACTTGCTGCCTAACGCTTATCTCGAGATGCCACTCGCCAAAGCTCCCTTTCAGATGAATCATCTGCGATACTTCGATCGGGAGGCCGCGGCGAGTGTTGTCCCAGCACAGAACGACGTGGCGATCGCCTTGGCCTCCGCGTGCTTGGTAGTCCTTGGTGAGGCCAGCAGCTTGGAGGTAGACTTCTTTGTTGTCCGCGTTGTCTGGAAAGGCATTGGAGAGGTCGATCTCCGAAGGAAGCCGAACGGCCATGATAGCGGTGTGGATTAATCTGAGGTCACTAGTCAGATGTAGCAGAGGGTGCGAGGATGTAAGAGATGCATACCACGCAGACGATGCGGACGAACGCAGCGATGGCACCGGTGCTTCGCTCGTCACTTTTACTACCTGGTCACTTCCGGTGCCACAAAGGCACCATGCCTTTTATCTTATCAAGGCGCTTTTTGCAATCTGATCAATCTGATCAATCACTAGAACATTTCCTGCCCTTGATTCATAAGGGAGATCCCACCGGTATGGGGTTCAGTATCATTGAGCACTCACATCTTAAGGCAAATACACACAATATGCATGCAACATTAGAAACCGCAAGCCCTCAAGACTCGATGTCATGTAGCATAGGAAGAAAAGTGTATGGAGTATAGTAGTAGTAGATATGGTAGACAACAAATCATGGCAGATTCTTCGACGCCCGCGCCCTGAAGATTTCCATGCCGCTGCTATTCCCAAGATCAGTGTCCGGAGGTACCACGGGCGCGTCTTGGCTCGCAATGTACTCTTCCTCAGTCATCTCGACATCCAGCGGGAAACCAATCGCGTTCTCATGGGTGTTCATGTAGGCACCGAGCTCCCGAGCCAGGTTAAACACGTCCTGTTCCACTTGGGCGATCTCCTCTGGAGGAACGGGTCCCACAATGCGGCTTCGAAGGGGCTCGTAAGCAAAGGAACGTGCTCTCTGGCCCATCTTCCAAAAGAAATGAACCCCTTCCATATGCTCCGGCTCGTCCGCGTTCCAACGCGCGAGGAAGGGAAACACCAGCTCGACTTCCGCTTTCTCCATGTCGAACCACTGGATGACGTGCTCGACGGGTTCCGTTTCCTCGGCGGAGATGTAGAGTGTCAGCAACTCCGGCAGGTAGACGCCGCCAAAGGAGCCTTTCGCAGGCCAGTCCGAAGGGTGCTCATACGATTTGACATCATGCAGCTCGAGATGCTCCAATTCGGGCATGTGCTGGAAGTATTGTGCCAGAAGATACAACGGGATTCGACCAACATTCGTGAGCGTCAACGACCGGAGCTGATCGTACAGACTAGAGGCGCCCTGCACGAGGCGTACTGTAGGCATATAGAAGTTGCTAATCTCGAGGCTCTCAAGCTGAGGGAATAGCTCGTTGAGGTACGGGAGGTCGTTTTCATCCAGGTGCTGAAGCGCGGCTATGCAGCCGGGGTCGATGTCGGGTGGGGGGACTTCCATGAGATGGACATCATCGCAGCCAAAACCTTCTATACGAAGACTCTCGAGCGAAGACCATTGAACCGCGAAACGGTTGGGGAGAATGGTCTGGAATAGGCGGCCCGCGACGCGGCTGAATGGGCGCCTTTGTTCCCCATGGTACACAAGCTCGAAGACGCGGATGCGTGGTATGATGGTGGGGTGCAGAAGCCCGAGGAGGACAAACGTAAGGGTCGGGTTCTCCCATTTCATGCGATCTGTCCATATGGCATCGATGGGGGAGCGTCCAGCACGGTGGTAGAAGAGCTTGGTCAACTCAGGACTGTGGAGTGGAAGGCGAGTCCAGAGAGAAGGCTGGAGTTGGGTGCCGACCGCGCGGAACCAGGAGCTGACATGCGTTACGTCGAGCGCAAGACGCATCATAGCGAGCGGAGAATCCTCGAGCTCGGGTAGAAAACCCATTGCGTGGGCGAGGAGTTCGGGAGGTAAGGAATATACGGGCGAGCGTCCGGCGGTCCCCGTGATCATATCAACGTCGAACGTAGAAGGAGCCTGTAAACAAGTCAGATATGTGTCGGACAGATCCAGGTACACACTCACGTTGTGAGGTGTTGCGTTGAAGAATGACATCAATGTCGTGATGCGTTGGCCGGCGCAGGAAGGCAGAGTAGGTCGAATCGCAACCAGTGCGATGAGAACGAGTAGAGGAATGAGAGGGCCCGGGTCGAGGCGGGGGTGTTGGGCGTCACTCCGTGCCGCCGGTGTATATGTAGGTTGGGTAGCCAGCCTCGAGGTAGAGGTGCGACCCTTTCATGCCTTATTGTCGCATCTATCGGGAGATGATCACCCCAGGTCAACCGTGGAAGAACGCAACTGGGAACAAGCGCCAGCGGTAAAGCAGAAGACGGCGATCGATATCGCAGCCTTGGTCAGGTGCGCTGGTATTGCCCTTGTTCTCAGGATAGACACGCAGAATGTTGTAGCGAGCCATGCAAAGTTTGCTTTCAGGTGAACAAGGACATGCGCCATATTTGGCGAGTCGTGACGGGCTAAGCACTGGCGGCTACTGTGCGCGTGGCACACGCTCTTGTTCTCGCATGAGAATCTCCCGCTCGGGAAGCCACAGCATAATGCATGATGTCAAAGGGCGAGGGCGCCGGGAGACGAGTTGACTGTTATGGCGATCGCTCGTGAAGGGGCCGGCGTACAGTTGACTCGCGTGTTGGGGCGCTTGTTCCGAGTGATGGCACAGAGGAGGGCCGAGTCTGCACATCACGCATAGCAGTAAACACCAAGGCTGGCTATGATACGAATGCAACGCTGCATCGCTGCATTGAGAGCGATGGTTTGATGATGGAGGTCTGAAGCATTCAAGCAAGTGCTCCCTCGCGCGCGAGCATGCAATCGCCCACGCCGGCTCCGGCGAACTCATCGCAACAGCTTAGCAGCAGGCCCAAACGTCCTTCCCGTGTGTAAGATATCCTGGCAGACGCTCTTGCACATTGTGACTGGGTAAGTTACTGATGAGCAAAAAGTGACGTATGAACCATAGGTCCAGAGCACTGGTCTCCCGCGGTGCATCTCAGAGTGAACGGTCCCCGTCGGGATCGAACTCGCGCCCGTTCGCAAAACAGCGGGGACGAAGTTGCTGCGATGCAGCAACTCCGTCATCGTTGCATGAATGCGTAAGAAGTGTCACTGCCCACATACCTATGTAATGATCACTCATATCCGTCTGAATTGGTACATTTGCTTAAGAAACATAATACGGACCCGAAATTAAGCGTCCATGAGCGCAATCCTTTTCATCCGAGAACATGATCCCGACTGACTCGTCGGAACCGTTCACCAAGCCTCATCGAGCTCCATACTTTCCTCTCCTTCACCATCCTCCACGCTCTCGTCCTCATCCTCTGCATCAGACATGTCGTCTTTCTTCGATACTCCCTGCGCTTGTGCTCGCGCTTCAGCTTCCTCCTGTGCACGCCACACCATCGCGCGGACGCTGAGGTCTGCCTTGCGTGTAGCAAGTAATGAACGCAGACGTGTGCGATCTATCCGAAGGTCCCCGCTGATTGGTGTTCCCGAGTGAGAGCTCTGAACACAGCACCGATAGCGCTCACGTACCTGGCGCGCACCGCAACATTGTGCGCTGCATGTGCTGCAAGGTTGCGTGCGAGTGCTGGTGCAGCAAGCGCGCGTGCCGCATCGGGATCTGTGATCAATGGCGGCGCAGGTGCCAGCAAGTAACGCGTTCCAAGCTCTGAGAGGTCCACTATCAGAACTGTGTAGGAGGAAGGACTCGGAAGTGAGCGTACTGTCCAGGTATACCTCGCAGGCTCGGGATACCTCGAGCGCGCAAGTCTTCACAAGCGGCATAAGCGCACGCAGGCCGCGCATGCGCACATCGGTTCCCCTGAGCGTTGTGAGGCGCTTGTACTCTAGAACAAGGGGAGCAAAGGCCTACTTCAACGACAACCACTCAAGCTTGACGAGATGAGCAAGCGCTGCCCCCGCATCATCTCCGAGGAGCTTGTTCCCCGAAAGGTCAAGTCGAACAAGGGTTGGCGCAAGCGCGACGAGATGGAATGCCCTAGATCGTATGGTTGGCATCTCGCACAGGTGGAGAGGTTTAGTGTGATACGTACGCCTCATCCCCTAGGTCCGCGTTGCGTAGGTTGAGGTCGCGGAGAGGGAGTCCTTGAAGTCGAAGCAAGTCACGATTCGCGAGCGGTGCGTGCGCAAGGCGCAGTGTATGCAGGCGAGCAAAGCGGCCGGGCGTAGCGAGAGCTGAAGGTACAGGGAGTTGGTATCAGCTATGGTAGACGTATACACACAAGCGATGAAAGAACGTACCATCCAGAGTACCTTGTACTGCGCCTAGATTGAGACCCTGCAATGGTGAGCCGGAATGATTCGCAAGCTGCTCGGGCTCGAGCGATGGTCCGAGGTCGAGTGTCGTGAGAGAAGCGGCGGGACCTCCAAGCGCTGATATGATCGCGGGCGTTAGTTTGCCTGCATATATGCACGCCCATCAGCGCTGAATGATAGAGGACACCCTAACGTGATAGCGTACCGTCTCTACCAAGTATGTCGGCAACATCTTGGAGGGAACTCGCTCCGGTGGCCTCGATGCGAGCCGTAAGGCCCGTGCCAGGAAACGCGCGGGCCAGCAACGGTAACAGCGCTGCAGCAGTCGCCGGCGAGGACTCAACGTCTACCAAGAGTGAATGAGTATATTGTCATCATCCCTTGTTTTTGAAGAACACGTACCGCGCAGGGCGCTAAGCCCGAGGCTCTCCTCATCGGCGCTTTCGTCCGCGAAGGATTGCTGAGAGAGATCCAGCTGTTCGTGAATGACACGCAGCTCAAAGCGCGTCCCCTCTCTGTTGACACGCTGTTGACTCTTGCCCTTCATATCCAGCAAGCTCCAGTGCTCTTCCGAGTCGAAGCTACTCTCAGCGAGGGTCCCGCTATCTCCACTCGCGTCAAGCTTTAGCAACTTGCCGGGTCTCTCTCCAGCTATATCCACATCGTCACTTGCCTCGAACGATGCGTATGTCCGTTTTCCAAGCTGTAGAGCAGGTACCCGCGCACATGGATATACAGAAGAGAGCGGAGTAGGGCCGAACGTATTGTTGTCGAGTGCCGAAGCATTCCGCTTAGCGCGCGGGGCGGGAGCGTGCATATATGCGCTCGCATCGGACTCGGCGTCCGAAGTCGAGCCAGTACTGCCATACACAGACTCAGCAGAGCCTGCGCTAGAGTTTGACTCAAAGCTTAAGCGCGCGTGCAGGTTCACAGGACGGCCGCGGGCGTCGTACACGACAGGTGAGCCATTGCTCGATGATGTCCGTGATCCGGGTCCAGCAGCCGCCAAAGCGAATAGACGCGCGAGAAAGCTAGCGCGATGTAATCTCTCCGGTCGTCCACGTTTACTGGCCGGAAGGGTGGCAAGGAAGGCCCGCGCTGGTTTGGAGGGTGTGAAAAGCGGGTTGGCCACATCAAGGATCGGTGTGGCGGGCGGCATCACAGGTGAATTCTCGCGGGCGAGACGCGGGAATAGGCGCGCTCCTGAAGGAGAGAGGGTATATATGCGCGTAGTTCTAGGATCGAAGAGCAGAAGAGGCCAGTTCTTGGGTCAGAGGGCGAGCTGGACGGCGTTTGCTATGGCTGGCGGCCAAGTGTGGCGTCTAACGCGTGGCAAATCAGCTGTGGCGCGGCGCGACTGGTAGTTTTCGTATTTGATTCCACCTACACCCGCGGCGCCGTGCCGATGGACGGAAGGCAAGAGGAAGGTGTGGTGGTGGTGGTAACACAGAGAGCTGGGTACCGTGGCAGGCATCGATAAGTAAGCACTGACTGAAAACGAGGATGGGTGCCAACATGAGTGTCAAAGCTTGGGTCGACGCGGTCAGGTGAGTAGACGCGGGCTAGGGTACGCGCCCGGCACGCGATCGCATACGTCATTCGCCATGCTTGATTGCTGCTCGGCGTCTGAGGACCTAAAGCTTAAAGGTCCGAGAGCCGCGAAGCGCACAGTGCTTTCTTCCGGCTCCGAGGCTTGAGATCTCGAGAGGCAAGGGTGGCCGCTGCTGGTGATCCCGATGAGCATGAAAGAGTACAATCCGTATTAAGGTATAAGTATAGCAGCCAGTATTCCGCACCTCTACGTATTCTCATCATATAACTTCTACCCTCTTCTATCTTCTCCTACATGATGATGCAGTCTTTCTTCTTCTTCTCCTTCCGCTCACCCTGCGCTTCAGGGCGCCAGCTCCGCCCACGTTCGCTCGCAAGATCTCCCGCATATCCTTGTCCCACTCCATGTGGATGGCCTCCGGGGCTTTGAGCTTGTTGGTTGGGCTGATGTTGGCGCTGACGATTGCGTTGCTCGTACCGCATACGCGCTGCTTCGTCCTCTTCGCCTTGAAGTTGACGCGCGAGCGCTTCACTATGTGAGTGATTCTATCTTTAGCACGTAGAAGATGTACGGGGGAAGAACCACTTACTCGCCGGCCTCTCCGCTCCCAGCCGCATCGGATGGTCTCCATCCGGCCCAGTCGCCACCGACAGGCGCACTCGGCGTAAACCTATGATCGACGAACGAAGCACTCGCTTGGTCAACGTCTTCCAGACGTTCCCATACGACGCTTGGTTCTCGCAGGAAGCTTTCGTCGGTCGCGAGGGTATATCTAAGCCAAGAATCAGCAGTAAGATCGGGTGGTCATTGCAACAGGGCTCACAGAGAGCCGTCCGGATGTTTGAACAGTACAGCAAGATGCGCGTTGCGGAAAAGCGCGAAGAGACCGTCGCTACCGAGACCCATGCCTTCGCCTAGACCGTTCATGTGTCATTCAGGAATATATGAGATAGTTCCGACAGGTCGAGACAGACCTAAGGACCCCGCAAGGGTGAATAGTCCGTGATACGTCAACTGCGAGCGCGTAGCATCGAGCCAAGCTCTTAGCGCGATCGCTGCCGTACTGCATCAGCATCGTCCCTTTTCGTGTCTAAAGCAGATAGATGACTGACCATCCTCAACCTTCTGCCTATCCTGTGCGCTCAGACCACCAGTATGACCACTACTTCCGACTGGACCTGCGCTGCCACTCCCACTCGGTCCAGCACTTCCGCTTCCACTGCCGCTTCCACTGGGTTCCGATACAGTGTCGTCGAGCACAAGTTTCCCGCGCGTAAGGACGTCTGCTGCGACGATCACGTCTGTTGCTGCGTCGTAGTCCCGTGCGCGAGTTAGGGCAGAGTATTCGGGTGACGAAGGATCTGCGAGCCATCCGTGCACCAGCGAGATGCCGGCCTGAGCGAAGAGCGCGAGTTCGCCTCCAGTACTTGCGGGTTGGAAGGCAACAGGAGAAGTGAATACGGGGTTGAGGTCCATACCCTCTGTACGTCCGATAGTAAGCGCACACTTCTGTAGGCGGAGAAGACTCCGGACTCACTGATAGTGAGCGGCATAACGCTCAGCGCGGCCCCAATATCGACGTCTGGTGCACTGGATAGAAGATGCTCGGCCAGGTGCGTGCTAAGGTAGTTGTAGCTGACACTGGTCCGTCCAGGTGGATCGATGGGGAGGTGTCCGCGAAGGATCAAGATATTGCCTTGCCTCACAACGGTCAGTCTTTTGCTCGAACAGGTTAGAGAGGCAGGTAGGCTCACAGATGGCGAGGAACGAGCATGGCCTGTCAAATGCCAGATACAGTTAGTGTATGCATGTAGGCATACGAGAACCCTAAACGAGCAGAGCGTACCCTCCGGTATCTTGCATGACAATCTTCCGCCGCGCGCCGTTGAACTCGATCTCCTTCAGATTCCACACCAACGGCTGCTCTTCCTCTCTCGTCGGTGTCCGAGCAGATGAAGCGGGCGCACTAGAGCTCGCATCGGGTACGGGTGTGTTTAAGTGCAAGCTGGGCGCCACAGGCTCGGCAGATGCAGGTGCGACATGAACAGCAGGTGCAGAATCATTGACCGTCGTGGCGCGAGAAGCGTCGACAGGCGGCAGCGCTTCAGCCAAGGAAGTCGAGAAGTTGTCCATGACGGTCTAAGCAGAGATACGAAGAGAGGAGGCACCGGGCGCAGTACCGTCTTACACAGGAATCAGAGGCTTACAGCAGCTACCCCCTGTGCTGCGGGAGACTTGGCAATGTTCGACCTGTTCAAGACCAACCTTTGATTACCTGATTGGGAAATACGTGCCGCGGCAAACGCGGCATTGATCCGGCCACAAATAGGGGGTTTGGACGTTGTTCGGAGCCGCGAGCGCGATTTTCTGCGTTGAACACAGACCATCAGGGTCGCTGTGCACCAGACGTTTGCGCATATTATATCGCTTGGGGTGCATTAGCTCTCGCATATTGCTCTTGCTATCATCTGCTGTCCGCCAGTTTTCTTTCGCTTTCTCACACTGCTCTGCGTATCCTATGCCGGTTCTTCCTACTACAGCTTTGCATAGTTCTATCTGCCATAATCAAAATGGCTCATGATGAGTCGGATGTGGACCCCGACGAGATCCGACGCGCACCCTCACCCGACCCGATTTACCTACACTCCTACCTCTCCACGCACATCGCGTCTACTTCGGCCCATCTCTGCACACCCCTACCAACCTCTTCGCACTTTAAAGCCTTCTCATTATCTCGCGACGAGCTACGCGAGCTTAAATGGGCGAAAGACGAACCACTGCTCGGCCACACGTTCTATCCGCCGGCAACATACTGGTCGCCCTCCGAGAAGGCCCTTTTCTTCCGTGCACTCGCGTCTTGTTCGCGCCTCAGACCGGATCTGATAGCCGAACGCATACGAACGAAGACGACGGCCGAAGTCGAAGCTTGCATCTCTCTACTCGACTCCGCCTTACAATCCACGCCTGAGGAGGAGCTACTACCAAGAGCCAAGTTTCCGCTCGCACATGAGGCACCGCAGGAGTTGATCGAGTACGAGGAGTCGCAGGCGGCTATGTGTATGGAGTATGAAGCGGAGTACGCGGAGGAGATGGTCGCGGAAACGAGGAGGGAGGAAGAGAGGGAGTGGAGGAAGGAGAAGGGCATTGGGACGAGGGTTGGACGACCGAAGAAGGGTGGAACGCGCGAGACTGCGCAGGAGAAGAGAGATCGCGAGATGGAGAAAGAACGTATGTCATGTCTCTTCATTTGTTTCCTGCATGGCCACGCGAGAGTTCGCTAACATAATCCCCACACAGATCGTGCCGATATCGCCGAATGGCGCGCCGAACGCGAACCTTTTTGGGAAGCAGAAGACGCTTTGCGCAATATGGACATAGTCCAACTTGGTGCCCTCGACCGGCTCATCAAACGCGGCGAGCGACAAGGTCCTCTGGACAATGTCGAAGCAGAGGACGGCGTGATCGTGCCGGACTTACTACCCGGACAGCGTGCGACTTCCGATCCACGCGGATCTCAGCAGCCCTCTGCTGGACAATCGGAGGAGGATGCTGTTGCTGGGCCCTCTTCCCAACCCTCACGACCCACTACGCCTGCGCCTGCGTCTACTTCTGCGCTTGCTACTCCTTCCGCTGTCGATGACGAGGAAGATCCCGCGAATCTCTCGCCTGCGTCGAAGTCACGTCTTCGCAAACGCCTATGGATGCGTCGCAAACGGGCCGCAGCAAGAGGTGAGGTGGCTGACATGAGTCGTACCCTGCTCAAACCGGGGAAAAAGGCCAAGGGTGCGAGCGTAAAGACGAAGAAAGGGAGTAAGGGAAAGGGGAAAATAGAGGCTGACTCGGACGACGATGGGGAAGAAGACGAAGATGAGGACGAAGAGGCTGCCGACGCTGAGGACGATCTGGATGGAGATGGAGAGGAGAAAGAGAAAGAGGAGCTTGGAGGAGCCAAGAAGCGATCGTGGGCTGAACGACGAAAGAAAGGGCACAGAGGCGGACAGACACGACCGTACAAGTGAGTAACGCTTCCATCTCGATTGGCGACCTTCTGCTCATTCTTGATGCAGGTTCGAGAGCACGCTCCTCTCTGTGGGGCTTGATGGTGCTGCCCTACGAGAGCGAGGCTTAGGCGGGTTGCTATCATACGGCGGATTGGGTAAACTATCGCGGTATGTCACCTTCTGATGTGGATATTTTCCTCCGCTGACAATGAATTCGTTGCTACCATAGAATATACACATCTCTGGAATTCACCTCACATAACTCGCCGCCGAAGTTCTCCGGTGAATTCCTGCGCTATCTGGTACGGACTCCTATCGTGACTCTCTCTTTGCACGCACTGAGAAGCATACAGGAAGCCCTCGTTCGCGTATTCGCACGTCGCGTGATTGGTATGGCGATCCGCGTGCGTGAGCTCGACTTCGCACTCAAGGGCCATACCAAAGTGTGGAGGTTGGGCAAGCGGCGGATGGTTCTCAAACACCACATCGCCCGTGCTCTTACGCTTGTGGGACCGCCGCGCACGGATAAGAAAGCGTACTTCACTGCCCTCGCGGGACGCTTGGGCGAGGATCCAGATGGCGGTGTCGGGGTGGAGAATATCGCTGATGAGGAGGAGGATGGGGAGATGGCTGACGAGGACGAGGCTGATGTGGATCAGGCTGTCGAAGGAGACGACGAGAAGGATGAGGAGGGAGGAGAACGAGAACGAGCACAGGATGACGGTGCCGAAGACGTTGACGACGTCGACATAGCGAAGAACGGCGCTGCATGGGTCAATCGCCGTGGTCAGCTCGTTCAATCATTTTGGCCGCCACGAGCCTTTGCCGTTCCATACATCGCGACATCCCATCTCCCCTCAATACCGATAACCTACCCATTCGGCATCGATACTCCAGGAACTCGTCCGCAACTCGCTCCATCCGAGGACGCCGAACGGGCGACACGCGAGGCAGAAGCTGCAGAAGATCTTATGGAGAGCGATGCCATCGAACTATCGCGTGAAGTGAAAGACGAGCAAAGGCTGAACGCTATTGACGAGAAGAAAGGCGAAAGGGATGGGAACAGGGTCATGGTCGCGCTCGGATTGATAGCTGCTCCACAACCCGTCTCTAGCAGGAAAAAGAGGGTTCATAAACGCGCTTTGCGGGCGGCCACTGAGGGGAGCGATAGTGAGGTCGATGAAGCGCGTCCTGCGAAGAGGACGCGTAGGCAAGGCGGTTTCAAGGCTCTGCAGAGCGATAAGCTGGCTGCGGCGGACCCCGATGGCGTGCGGATCAAGAGCGCAGCGTACATTGTGGACTCGGACGAGGACATATAGCTTCGAATACGCCAGGACGTCGCGCCACAATCGCGCTTTTACTTCGCGACCACAAACGGCACCGTGTGAAGAGCGCCCGGCGTCTCCCGCCAGTGAAAGTTCGTGCCCCAAGCCCACACCTATCGTCCTTCAAGGTCACCACCACCACCACTGTCACCGACTTCACTTCCCACCGGCACCCGTCGCACACACTTCTCATAACTGCGCAATAGCCCTCACCATCAGACGACGATCACATAATGGCTACCTATCCAGCGCCCAACCATGTGGACCGTCTACCTGTCGAACTCCTCCATGAAGTGTTCGTCTGCGTAAAGGCGCTCTACGGAATAGAGTTCAGAAGTACTGGCATGCCGGCGTGCACGTTCCTTTCGCATGTTTGCCGCCGTTGGAGACAAGTCGCGATACGGTGTCAGTCACTCTGGGCCGAAATCGTCCGTCCGTCGGCAGCCGCCACAAACTTGTGCATATCCCGTTGTCATACGCGACCCCTCCACATCTACGTCAACTCTCGGTATCTCATGGAAAATTCTGAGATGTATCGTCAATCGATTGATGCGGCCCTTCGCGTCCTCGACCGCGCTTGTACACTCTTAATCTCACTGCGCCAAGTTGAAGGCGGCCCCAGTTTCCAAGAGCTCTCTGAGCCAGACTCCCATCTCCATCGACTCTTTCGCAATCTATCTATTCGTCCCAGCCCTTTTTTAGAGTGCCTAGCGATTGTCTCTGCGTACGGCCCCAACGACACCCTTGTACTTCAGCCCTTCGCACACATCAGCCCTGCAACTAAGCCCAAGAACGTACTTCTCAGTGGATGTACGCTACCTTACCCACTACTTTCGTTTTCGCCCCACATGGTGCGACTGACGCTCGTTAACACTGTCGTGTGGTCCACGTTGGACGAGATGATCGCAGTCCTTCAGGCCATGCCTCTCCTTGAGGTCTTTCTCTACTCTCATAACCGAAGACGCACCTTGGGTTTCTATCTAACGAGCTATGGCCCTCATATATTCCATCAGGTGCAGCTGCGTTACATGAAGGAGATGTATCTTAGCTCCTTCTTGTATGAGGATGTATTGATCTACTCCATCGTGTGCACATCAGGGCGGGCCAGAGTTACGTTAAAGCCCTTCAGTTGCAGGGAGGACTGGGATCGTGACTCAACGGTCGGTCATTCCGCACAACTGGTGGACTTGCTGTACAACATGTTGTCGGAATCAGTGCATAACTTGCGTCATGCCCTTTTCACTCGCGACGACTCTCTACTACAGAGTAGTACAGGGCTATATTCGATCAAAGTTCTCCGTGACGAATCAATCTCTATCCAGTTCCTCATCAAAGAGGACTCTGATGGAGACCAAAACCCGTCGCGGCCTGTTCAATCCCTCGTGGTTCGGCTACCGAATCATGGGCATGAACATTTCTCTACAAACATCCTCCTGTTGCATATGTGTTCAGTGCCGCATAGGTTGCATCTTCTCCAATTCACCGGAAACCTTTCCTTCGTGTATCCAACGTACTTGAAGTACATGACACAGTTTACTGAGCAACTAATTCTTCGAACGCACGATGACGTGCACACCCTTATCCGCGTTCTGCCGCAGCTTCAGTCACCCTCGCTCTCCAAGCTTGCAATTCTACTCGTCGACACGGACCTTCCAGAAGCTGAGGTGACTCTGCGAGAACTTGTGGAAGCATTGGAGTCCGCGTATCTGGCGAACGAGCCCACATTGTGGTCACGCCTCACTCTCTCTTGGCGCCCCGCCTCTTCCGATATGATCGAGAAATCTCTTCATATGAGGCTCGATCCAGTGAGGGTCACATCTCATGAGTAGGAGCCAGGCGGCCAGACTGGATTAGGTGCCACCGCATTCAATGTCTCTTGCGTATAACATTCGGCTGAGCAGATGACCCCCGCCGTAATGGAGTGTGTCTGCCAGTCAATACCACGGACACTTACGATAATCAACTCCCTTCACCCCCGGTTCAGACTTTCATTGTACTTAGATTAATGACGAACAAGGCGGGCTTATCTTAGCTCATCAAGAGTCGAAAACAGCACTAGGGACCCAGCAGCCTTCTGAGTAGTAACCGTGTCAACTCGTCAGAGGAATAGAGGCGGCCCACACACTCGGGTAAGAGATCATGATAGCATGATATATGTGGTCGTATGTCATATCAGGCTACTCAAAACATGACAGTCATAGTCGTACACAATAGAGGACATTCAGAGACGCAAGGGACAGCGATATGCTCAGCAATTCGCAGCCAAACCCAAGAGAAGAGAGGAGGGGACCACCACACGAGAACCCAGAGAAAAAGCATTCATCTATGCGAGATCAAACGGTTGTCGACCCAGGGGCCCTAGATATAAGGTCAGTCGTGACTTTCATGCGCAAGTTTGTATGCGGACGTACACTGGGGCGACTGAGGTAGCCGGGCCTGGGTCAGTCCTGAGCGTCGGGAACGCAGAAGTAGCGCAAGCCTGTTCGACATCCCTGTTGTTAAGGCCAGCCGGGAAAGTCAAGGACTTCGTGAAGGGCTTGACGGCCGGGATAACGTCAGAGCAGTCGATCAAAGACCTCTCGTTCTGACCGAGAACAACGAGCTTAGCCATCGCCGCAGCAAAGGTACTGGTCATGTGGTTCTGCTGGTTCACGTTCGCCTGCCAAAAGCACGAGGTGCGCGAGTCACGGGCGAAGTCGTGGTCGGACTGAAGACGGATCTCGCCGCGAAGCGGCGACATGACCTCGCCGGTGTTGGGGCCGTTGCCAGGGAAAAGGGTCCCCTTGAGCTGCGTGTCTATTCAAGAGGTGATGTCAGTGATCTTATTTGGACAGCGATGAGTTTGAGAGTCGCGCTTACCGAGGAAGAACTGGCTGTCGAAGAGACTCGGGGTAGAGTCAAAGGGAGTGCGCGGAATAGTGGCGTCAATCTGCCAGGGATGTCAGGGAACGAAGCCTTGATCGTGGTGGCATGCCACGTACGTTGTCGGCGGCTCCAACGGTATGAGCGGTCAGAAGGGCAACAACCTCAGCGGGAGAGAAGCCACCGCCGTCAGCCATGCGAGCAAGAATCTGGCGGTGTATCGTGAGAAGATGCGCCACACGTGGCAAGACTGCGGACGCACCTTGTCAACAGAGTCGAAGGGCAAGGGAACCGTGCCGTCGGGCGCAGGCTTCGTGCCGTCCTTGCGGCCCTTGAGGAACTGGACTAGAATGAGCTTCAGATGTTCGGATGGGCGACAAGCACGTTCATTACCTGGAGGCGAGGAGCGCCGGGGCAGTTGGTTATACCGACCGCACCCGCGAGCTGAATGAAATCGGCAACGGAAATGCCCGGGTGGCGAGCTATGAACTGCTTCTCAAGAGCTACGATCTCGTCCGTACCGCCATTTGCGGGAAAAGTGGTCTCTATGTCGCCGAACAATACGAAGGAGCCGTCGGCGCCTCCACTGTACAGTACGATGAGCAGACCGTCCAGGAAGAAAGAAACGAAATAATGGAGAAATTCCCCAAAAAATGCTCACCCGAAGGAAGCGTTGGTCTTTGAGATGCCGATCGCGTCGTGGAACGTCAAGCGAAGAGCCTCATGAGCGTTGTCGCCGCACTCATTCTCGAAGAGGTTCTCCTGGATGTCCTTGATGATCGGGAAGAGCGAACAGCACGCCGCGTTGGCCGTGACACCGCCGCCGGGGCACGTGACGCGCCGCTTCTCGAGAGCGGAAGCTAAGGCGATCCAGTAAGTACGGAGTCAGAGAGAAGACAGGCATGACTCACCGCTGGCCGTAGTAGCGAGGGCGACGATCGAAAGGAGAGCAGAGAAGATCATCGCGGTAGATGAAAGACCGGGCGGGATGGAGAACAGAGGAGGTCTGGCTCTATCTCGTCGCAAACCTGCGATATTTATACTCGGATCCTTGTCAGACACGGTGAGCCTAAGCATACGTTTTTGACCTCGTGTGAGATTGCAGGTGCGGGTCGATGAGCTTCACGACTTCATAGTCAAGTTGCAGGCCGACCAATGGACGGAGAGGCATTCGGGTTGCAGTCCACCAGCTCGGATAACATTTTCCAGGCTTTCCGGGCAATGCCCGCCTCTGTGCGAGACCCATTAGCGTTCCTGGCATCTCAATGCATGTATCAGGACTTGGTGCTGCTTAAAATTGCGACTCACTCACGTCTTGCGGCAAGAAAAAGAGTATAAGGGGATGGCTGTGAGGTGGGCGGACTCAGAGCGCTTTTACCGCTTACCATTGTCGTCGACGAGCGCACTGAGAACCAAGAGCAAGTGAATGCCAAGTTGGTTGACAGTTGATAGCAGGTTGTGGCGTGTCATATGCTCAGCGGGATTCTACACGCTACATGTCCAGATCAGTGGTATGCACGGCTTGAGGTGCGAAGCGACTCCCCAGGCATGTTTACCATCCTCCGTCCCTCTGTGCTGGTATATCATTGACCGGTATGATGGCAACTCACTGAGAACAATGCGCTCAACGTTTCCTTTCGGCGCAACGCTGGCTTGCGGGAGCACTCATGGGTCTAGAGAGGGTCGTTTCAGTGCAGACGCAGGCAAATTTTGGCATCCGTGTGCATGTACAATGCGAGGGGAAATGGTTCTAAACCCGCCAAGTGGATGCGTCAGCGCCAACCGCGAAAGGCATCGCGGGTAGACTCAACTGCAAGATCGAGACTGCGGGCATCTGCTGTCTCGCTGTGCAAATTGGTAACAAGAGTGGCTGTGGGATGTAGACTCCGTGATGAGCTTGTGCACGGAGATCCGAGAATGCAAGAAGACGAACACCCTTGTCACACATGCGGGTAACCGGTTGACCCAGGTGGTGAGCGCGGCGTCAAAAGCAGTCACGAGTGCCCGTAGGGAACCTCCTGCCCCAGCTCTGCAATTCAGTCCCGTGTGATGTGTGCATCTAGAGTTGAGATAGGTAAGGCTGCGGCAGTTAGGTGTTTGAGTGCACCAGAGCCCGAATGGGAAGCTCTCCGGATTGTCGCTGCAGAGGCGATGGATCCTCGACAGTGCAAGCGAGCGCTCGCTGCAATTCTCGCTAGCACACCTTCGCATACATCTCAGGTATTGGTTACGAAGATGCTAGATTGGGGAGGCTAGATCACCGCCATCGGAAAACCACAGTCTTTGGGCTGAGTAAAACCAAAGACGCTAGCCTGTGTAAACCGGCTATCCAAGTGTGAGTACCGAGGGCATTAGTCGGTATTGTGAGCCAATGACGCACCGAGGCAACCGTTTGAACCTAACGCCAAGCCCAGACCACGGGAAAGCCCGAGGTTAAATCCGTGAAATATGGACACGCCTCTTCCTCGAGCAGCCGCCGACTAACTGACAGGGCAAAGATGACCTGTACTTCTGTGCGTCGCAACAAACGAAGTTTGAGCGGCTACCATTTGTCTGGAATACTCAGAGGCAGCCTTATGTGCTACTTGCTACCACTCGATGGGATTTCACGCGGGCTGTCGAGCATGAGTAAGTATCAAGACCGACGTCCTGTCATGGTATGGGGATGTTCGTGTCAGCACTCCAAGCGGACATATCCGTATGTAAGGTAGCGCTCAGGCCGGAGTTGTGTGCATTAGAAATATATGAGACGGATCACTGCAGGCAGGTGCGGTATTCGAGGGTCATGAGAGTCGTGAAAGAGGGGAGCGCCAAACGGCGGCGTGAGGAAGTTGAAGCCGGATCATGCCGCTGATGCCATCACGGCCGCCACAGCATGCGCCGCACGCCGACCCGCTTCGCTGTTCAACTTGACCGTTGCGCACTATCTGTGAGGCATAGTGTGACCCATTGCTTTGCTTTTGAGATAGTGAGAGAATAGTGAGCGAGCCGATGCTCTTCTCAAGTGACGATTCTACGGAGCGGCCCTGCGTGTGAATCCAATGTGAATCGGTCGATAGCCGAGAACGTGTTCTTGATTTTGCGGGTCTACCGCTGGCAGATGTGTGATACGTACCATGTGGAGTGCATAAACACTCTCAGGGTCTATGCGACCTTGAGTGAAGGCTGGGTGTGCTCCCAATATGACTGAAAATGATAGCACCGCTGCAGATAGCCTGCGGCCGCCATACAAGTGCTAGCCCCGACTGAACAAGTCTAAGTACAAGCAGGGTGGATGGAGAGCAACGGGCGTAATACAGACCCAACGCTATTCGGGATTCTTCTCAAACCAATCATGTATCCTCTCGGCAAGGTCGGCCTTCCGCCCACTGACGGGCAAGCTCTTGCTCTTGAGGAAGTCTTTCATCTGATCCACTCGCAACTGCATAGCCCCGATAAGCGCCTAACACGCATGAAGCAGCAAGCGAACAGCTCACCTTCCCCAAGTTGCCGTCATCGTACATCGCACGCACTTCTGCGGTGTCAACGTTGACGTCCTAACTGAAAGTGAGCGCAACGATGCAGATGGACTCGCGTGGCGACGTACAGCTCTGCGCTTCGTCCCCCGTGGTTCCACGGCGGCGATGGTTACATGCGCGCTGTCATCCTCGGCGAGCGCCTCTTTGAACTCCTTGATCAAATCGCCGGCTTTCTACTGGCCGCGTCAACGAAGGACGGCACTAACCAAAGCAAATGACGGACCTTCATCATACCCACATAGCTTGGCAACGTCCCATCCTCAAACTGCTCCGTATCATATTCCTCACGGAATGCGGCCGCCTCTAGCTGAGCATTGTGGTATGCGAGCGCTATTACACCCCCTGTCAGAATCGAGAAACGGCGAAGCAGGGGGAAGGACGAGAAGAGGCGCACAGGGGTTCTGGTACGAATCGGGGTCATACACATTCGCTTTGGTCTTCAACTTGCGTACAATGGGTTCCATCTTGGCCTTGAGGTCCTTGCTCGCTGCGTTCACTCTGTCAGTCTCGTACAAAAAGGGTATGAGGTAGTAGGCTTACCGCGTTGCCCCTCTGTTATTGGTGCAGCGCGGATGTCGTCCGCATACGGGAACGGCACCATGTGCATCCCTGCAGGCTCAAGATACTCGCCCTCTTCATATACCTCCTACTCCTGCCAGTCAGATAGCGTATGGAGATGCTCGGTAGACCAAGTACCTGTTGCGGAAGAAGCGCGTAGATCATAGGTGTTGCATTGGAACGTACGAGACCCAGTGCGATCGCGATCTTGTCCTTCGATGTCAACGACTTGAGAAGCGCGGAGAAAGTCCGCTTGCTGCCAGCGTAGTTCTGCATTGTCGTGAGTACTTCTGAGCCAATCCCAAATCGACAAGTACACACTGTCTCGTCAGGATAGATGAAGAGAGAGTGCTTCACGTTGTCCTCGAATCCGAGCTCGGTGCGGTCTTTGAACCCCAGAAGTTTCAAGCCCGGACTCAGGCCCAGTGTGCGAAATGAGCGAACTTCTTCCTTGGTGTAGAATACCTGCAACATGATAGGCATGGATCAGCAATGAAGGTATCAAGAAACGAAAGCATGAGCTGTACCCGTTTTGTAGGTGGCACTTTCCTCGCACCAAAACCATGCGCTATTGCATCTTTGTCGTCAGCCGTCGCACCGAGCGTCATGCCGAATAACACCGTCGGCTTGTCGACTTCGCCTTCTCTCTCCTATTAACGTAGCCGCCTTAGTGATCCATTTCTCAGCCGTGAGATTGGTCTCACCTCGTCAACGTACGCAGTACGTGTGTCTACAACCTCCATTCTATCTCCTAGATCCGCGAAGTACTTATACGCGCCCTTCTTCTGTTCTGCCACAAGTCCGTAACCTTTGACGCCTATGACGAAACCTTCCCCAAGCTACCAGCTCCGTCAACCAGGTTGAAAACGCGCAAGATGGCGAAGGAGGAGTTACCTGAAAGTTGATCGAGAAGTGCGATCGTTTGGGTACTTCGTAGACGCGCATCTGATTCAGAAGCTCGTCGATGCGAGTGATACTGAGCGATGAAGGCAGTATGCCGACGTCTTCATCCTCTTCATCTTCTCCATCAACTCGAGTCGGAAGAAGGACGTCCTAGACTCTCATCAGTCCTCCGAGTGACATGCTGGAGAACGCGTGACGTACCGTCCAGAACAGCGTCTTGTCGAACCCCTTCTCTCCCGCAATGAAGAATGGCTCAACAGTTATGCCGCTCTGTACAAGATCCACAAGCGTCGTGCGCGCGGTTAGGATGAGCCTCTCACGTCCTTTACTTGAATGCGGGTTGTCGTCATCGGTGATAAGAAATATGCGTTTGGTCGCGGACTTGGGCGCTCCGTCGCGCATCACCCAGTTGCAGGATGTAAAAACGTCGCCCAGTGCGACTGGCGAGGATGTCGGTGGGTAGGCTTCTTGTAATTTAGATGGGTTTTCCTGCATCTCTATCGTAGGGTAAGTCACGAAGAACATAGAACACCACAAGGATGAGCGTACCCGAGATGAACGCAGATAGGTCCATGATGTGCTCCGCGCTGATGGATGAGATGGGTTGGTAGACATAGGTGCCATTCTTCAGTTGAGTCCCGCTCCCTTTCTCGTTACTAGCAGTCTGAGTGAGTAGGTATTCTATGAGTAGATGCTTTGCAAGGGTGTGAGTGAAACTAGGATGATGCGTACCGTATTGTAGAACAGTACCCCAACCGAGTCATTCGGTCCGACCAGCACCTTCTTCTTCTGGATTTGCATAGCAGCTTCGAGCGCCATCAGCACATTACTTGACTTGACATCGCCCTCGAAGCGCGCGTCGTCGTACAGCTTGTGCATGGACTCTGAGCAGTCGATTGCGAAGAGGATCACGTCGCGTCGCGTCTCGTATAACTGGTTCGCACTTTACGGTCAGAGCTGATCCAAGTAAAAAAGCAAATTTACGCACGGATTGGTCAAAGAGCTCCTCATCTTCGTCGTCGTCGGCTGTATTCCACTCGTCGTAGGGAGGCATGCGGGTGGTGGTTGGAGGGAAGACGCGCCGCGCCACAACGCGTCGCGACGCGTTTGATGACAACCCACGCGTCCGCGCAAGCCGGGCCGAATGCCCGCTGCGCGCAAGCTGCCCCGGAAGTGCGCGAGAGTCTGCGGGAGTCAGGATGAGCATGCAGCCATGCACGAGGAAGGTATCCCTTGTCGCGCCCGCGCGGCTTATGGATTCAATGCACTCTCAGTCTCAAGGGTGGACGAGAGAGGCGGCCCGTGAATACTGTAAGCTAATATGTACGACGAATGGAGCCTATCTTCAGTCAGTCCGACTTTGTGCTTTCAGACTCTTCAGGTCGTCTAGTATTGCTTCTACGCTGGCAAACTCGAGTTCCTCCATCGTCTCCTTCCACAACTGCTTCCTCGCCGCCTCTCCCTCCGGCGTATATAGGAAGGCCGCAAACCTATCAACCAATCGTCAGTTCTCCCTTCCTGTGTTTGAGAGGAGCCGAGAACACTCACGGCGAGATCTTCCAGTTCGACAAAAAACACCCATGGCTCTCCTTCCCCTTCACAGCAACCGCGTCGACATACGTCGACGCTCCAACTGGCACCGTCCTCCCAAAGATCGCCTTGAAGCTCGTGAAGAACGCGTCAATGAGGAATGGCGCTCCGCGCTGCAGATCCGTGTTCTTGACTAGACCCGGATCGACGAGGTTGACGACGACATCCTCCGCACGAACGTAGCGCAGCACAAGCTCGAGTAAGAACAGATGTCCGAGCAGCTTGCTCACCGCGTAACGCTCGACGGGATCGTAGGGCTTCGTCTGGTCGTCGAGAGAGGGCAAGATAGGCGTGCCCGGGGGTATGTTGAGGGAGGCTCCGCGCGCTGTGCCAGAGCTGACGATGCTGAGGCGCGGGTCCGAAGACTTGGCCTTGAGGAGCGGTAAGAGGAGTATGGCGAGGAGCGTAGTCGATAGGTAGTTGACTTGGATCAGCTTTTCGTGGCCCGTCGACGTAACAGGAACATGGTTCGCCATCTGTAGAGCAGCATTGAGGATGGCGATGTCGAGCCTCGGTAACTCGGCGTCCACGCGCCGCGCAAAGTCTTGTATCGATGCATAGGATTCCATCTCCAGAGGCCACACACGTACGTCCGCCTCAGGGAACTCGGTCCGGAAAGTGGTCGCAACGTCTTCGCCTTTTCCGGGCGAGCGGACGGCCATGATGAGGGTCGAAAGGCCGAAGGAGAGTAGTTGGCGAGATGCCTCAAGCCCAAGACCGCTGGAGGAGCCGGTCACGATTGCGACCTTGCCGGAGAGGTTGGTGTCGGCGGGCGGCCATTGGGGCGAAGTGAGGAACTGCGATTTGAGGAACAAGGAGCCGGCGCTTTGCTCTGGAGGACCGAGATCGAAGGAGGCGGAACCGGACATGATATGCGCGGTGTTGATACCTGAGCATCAAGGTAGTTCTGACGGACGTATAAGTACCAGTACGGTGCGCGGTGCTGGCGAGGTCAAGCCTGCCGCGAAGCCGCGCAAAGCGGATGTGCCGCGGACGCGAGTCCGTCGCGCGGCGCGGCGAAGTCGCCTCTAGTCGAGCCAGTTCACAGTCATCACAGTTGGCACTTCCTTTGGATGAAGCTCAGATATGTGCAGAGCTGTTACAATACGGCAATCGCTTAGTTGGGCTGGTGTACTGATTCTGATCCAATGCGAAATGGTCGGCGGGATCGGCTTCTTGCTCGATGACATTGCTCGAACGAGTTGGGCGAATCGGGCTGACATTGACATCGCATGAAGACCTATTAGTGCACGCAGCATAGACCCATGTATGCCACACGACAGTGTAGTAACATATCCATCATCATGCCGGACGAAGAGGATGGTCATACTGTGGCCCGCGTCGTGCCGAACATCGTGGAGGTGCATGTGAAAGTCGCGGCCGCCTCGCCGGTGCGCCCCGAGCGGCGCCGTCCGCCAATCACGCTTGCCTCATACCACCTCCTTCCCCTCACCTTCACCACAATGCAGACCGCTCGCGTTGGACTTGGATCTGCGCTCAGGAGCGCACAGCGCATGCGTACGTAGGTTATTCGTAGAAATATAGGAGATAATACTGATGCATCATGTTCGAATAGCGGCCAACCAGCTTGCCCTGCGCCGGGTCATGTTCAAGCGGTGCGTTCTGGCTTCAAGGATATATTGAGCAGAATACTGAATGGAAGAAATATACAGGACGGTCAAGACTGAGTCCTTGACACCGAAAGACGGCCTGGACATTCTTAACGCCCAACGCCTCCGCCGCCCCTCCTCCCCGCACTTCACCATCTACCAACCTCAACTGACTTGGCTTGGTTCGATCGCCAACCGTGTGACCGGTGTTGGCCTCTCGGTTCTCCTCTACGGCTTCGCACTCGCCTACCTTGTCGCACCCGAGACCTTCAGCTCCAAGAAGGTCGTCGAGCAGACCAAGAAGCTGCCCACTTCGGTCAAGGTTGCGGCCAAGACCATCCTGGCGGCGCCGTTCGCATTCCACTCCTTGAACGGCTTAAGGCATCTGGCATGGGACTTGAACAAGTGTACGTGTTGTTGGACTTTGAGCCCTGAGATGTACTGATGCGCCGGTAATCTAGTCATGACCGTCAAGGGGGCGTATCAATCTGGATATGCCGTTCTTGGTGCCACGGCTATTAGCACCGTCGCGCTTGTACTCATGTAAATTATCGATCTCGCGGGCTATTCATGCATCCTTGCCTTGGACGTGGTCCTCCTGAGCCGTCACTCGTTAGCAGCGTAAGAGTGTTGCATGGGCATGTATGCGCGCGCGCACTGAAGTTGCACTACCGCATGAGACGAACAGCAATGCCTGACTCCGTGACTTCTATCTCCGGTGATGCCGTCGCCGGGACGCCACCTTGGGAATATATGAATTCAATCCATGCTTCTATCGGGCAGTTATTTCCCTTGACCTTGGTTTTGTATTGGTCTTTTGATGATTGTATCTATCAAGATCAACTTCCAGAGCAGCCAGACTTGTCAAGTATAGCAACGGAGAGGGACCGTCCGCCTGCTAGCCTTCGCCTTTTCCCCCATCCTAAACGGTCCAAGTCTGGCCGTGAGTCGAAGATTCAAGACGCACCTATGCTCATCTTCGAGGGATGCCTTTTTATCGTGCAACTTCTGTTGTGCATCCGTCGAGTAGAGGGACAGAACTTAACTATACCTGAAACGTGGCAGGTGTGTCCTCCGGTCGTTTTCGAAGTTCTCATTGTTGACGAGTGCGCAGAGCCCTACGTCCAACTTGAGCCGCGGCTCGCGCGAAAGCCTTGCGCATGAGGCAGCACTGCCCCTTTCTACGATAGACACATCGGGAGACACTGGTGCGTCCACTCATGTTTGGCGTGCTCTTTGTCTGGCTGATAGTTCATACGCAAAATAGGTCTACCGAGGGAACCGCGAGATATTACCAGTCTCTATGCCGTTCTCGCGCTGCAGGACTACTACAGCGGGAACTCGTCATGGCGTACCGATGTGGTAGACAACATGCAGGCGTACATCGCGAGGAACAACTTCACGGGGGGCGATGGTATTCTTCCGCTCTACAGTGACGTCTTGTATTGGGGACTAGCCCTGTTCTACTCTTACCGGGTCTATCAGGACGCACAACTCATGGATTTGGCTGTGGCCGCGTAGAACGAAACTTACAACAACGCATTCATTACACCCGGAGACGCGGCGAGTGGTACTGGACTCGGCCGCGACGTGTCGTTCCTCCCTCCTTCCAACTGCACAGGTGGTGAGTAGCCAATTCATCCGTGGGGAGAAAAGGCTAATTGTGGATAGGTACATTTGCTGGTGGTGTCTTCTACGTAAGGTTTTCTTCCACCCGTTGTGACTGCACGAAGCTGATTGCGCCAACTCAGATGGACGGTTCGGACTACACATATGTCAACATGATTTCCCTCGGACCTTTCCTGTCGTACGTCCTGACGACCTGCATATGGCGTCATCTGACAATCCGGTGGCCAGGCTTTCCGCTTACTTATTCGAAGAGACGAACGAAGCTCGATATCAGCAGGCAGCACAACTATCCCTGAACTTCATCCTCAACCACCTTTGGAATGGAACGCTTGCGTACGACGGGTTATACCTAAGCTCCTGCCAGATCTTTCCGAAACCTTTGTCCGCCAATCAAGCATGGTTCATAGAGGGTGGGCCTCCCGGTTACTTAGTTGAGCCTCAGCTCCAACCATCGTACAGGTCTATCAGTATGGGCGAACGTGACGAAGAATGATACCTTGACGACACTGTGAGTATCGTCTGTCACAGTTAAGGTCACTTAGGACTAATACGTGCTAGACTCGAAGATGTTGTATCAAGCGTCACCAGGGTCCCATCTTGGACGTTCGTGGGAGGCGTTGTATATGGTACGTATCAAGCGCTATAATCAGTGCACCATCGTGGCAACAAGTTGCAGATAGCAACCCTGATGTGGACCCCAACGATCAAATCCTGAAGGGTATCTACATTCGCGGACTCGCAGAGGCCCGCAGGCGCAACCCCGGGACTGATCTTGCGCAGTATATTGAGGCTTATATCACTGTGCAGGTACTGGAACGGCCATCTTGCCACCTCAGTGCACTATTGACGACCTTCATTTGTAGCTCAACTACATCTTGGACGATGCTCGCACCGTTTTCCCGAATGGTACCACTTCCTACTCGATATCGTGGACCGGTCCGGCTGCGTCGTGCGTGCATTGCCTTCAGCTCTTTCATGACTGAAAGCTAAACCAGCACCCCCACAAGGTCATTTGTAGCCTGTGGAAACGTCGCTGCTCTGGATGTCCTGAACGCTGCGTTCAGTCTGGTTGAGTCTTCTTCGTCAGTAGTGGTTTCCTCAGCCCATTCATGACCGCACGCTCATTGCCATTCAGAACTTCGAGTAACTCTTCATCCAACGGGCCCGACTCACCCGCCAGCACACCCGCTCCTGACGCGTCGACTGCTACAACCTCGCATTCGAATGTTGGTGCCATTGCCGGAGGTGCGGTGGGCGGCGCGGTCGTTATCATCGGCGTAGCCGCGATCTTGGCCATTCTTCGTCGCCGAAGGCGTGCAAAAGCCGTTGGAGCCGTCCACGAAGACAGTTACGCTTTGGATACCCACGTCGTCGATCCTTTCATCTCTCCCAGAGCGCGCAATCCGCTCATCACATCCAAGATGGAACGGGAGATGAGCCAGCTCAACAGCTCGACTTCGCTGCAGACACCTCTGCCGGTTGCACCATCGGCGTCTGATACGAGCAGCAGTCAACCAATAGGCGGAGAGCAACCCGGAATGGCGGAAATACCAAGCCTTGTTCAGCGGTTATTAAATGAGTTCCTTCAAGGTCGCCAGGGTGAACTCCCGCCTCGGTACGATGAATAATGCCTCCATCTGAAGTCCCTTCCTACCATTCTCTCTCTCTACATCCAGATACTGTATGCGATGTCGTGGATCATGTAGTAATACCGTCTCCGGGATGTGCCTACGAGGCGAACTCGTAGGTAGGCTGTCATTGGTAATTGACCCGCACCGATGCCCGTAGTGAGCAAAGCCGGCGCCCCTTCTATACATATTTACCCCTCTCCACTTTCAGAAGCGAAGTATGGGTGTCTATCAAATGTCCGGTACGTGTAGTACCCGACGTGAGCTGCAAATCGTACCGCGGGTCAGACATATAGGCGTGTGAAGAAACACCGGTAGGACGGCCCGAGCGGCACGCGTGATGTTCCTCCTTCATGAAACGTTCGCCACTGCAACAAACTCTCATCGTCATTTGAAGTTCGATGCCAGATGTGCTACGATGACTCTATGCTGCCCATTTTGTGAAGCAGGACTGAACTACTCCGTACGGGTGTACGAAAGCCGCGTTTGGCCATCTGCTCGCCGCCGGTTCTCGAGCTCGAACACCACTTTAACATGACCATACCTGATGAGGGCACGAGCTGACGAACTGTCGCGCGAACTTGTCATTAAATGCATATGCACTCCTTGGGAAGGATTTGAGAACGTCGTCGGGATGTGGGAGTCCCGGTGTATTGCATCTCGAGTATTGCGCGGTGCGGTGCGTTGCATCTAGTCTTTTCTATTCGCTCAAGGCTGAGATGTTTTCGCCATACAGGTTGAAGAAGCCTACTGCACGAGACCCGCAGTATGGGCGGGGCCGTCGGGGCGCAAAGTTAATTGGCCGTGGCCTACTACATCCGGTTCCGAACGGGCCAGCATGAGGAAAACTCGCTCTCGTGGACGGTGCAAACACAACTTCCCTGCGCCCGCGACCCGTCTTGCACGCGGGATAACCAAGGCTTGGAGCCTGGGGATATCATCCGTACGCATAATTATGGGGCACTCTCCCTTTGTATGCCGAGCTCGCACCAGTCGACCAGCTACTAGGGGTTTCCAAGGGCGCCTACCAGTAGGCTCACCCTATACTAGGTGCAACGACCATCTGTGCTGTCGCGCTTGTGCTCGTATAAACTATGCGTCCCGCGTGCATTCCCTGTGCGCACTTCAGCGCTTCTCAACTTGTCGTTCATTATGCGAATCCTGGTTCCGTACTTCAGCACTCGAGACAACGACCACAACGAAAGGAGAACCATGTGTTTCTCCCAACCTGCGTGTAGACCCTTGTTATGGGTGACTCGCACGGAGACTCGTATCTTTCAGCCCTTCAGCGCCCAACCTTGTTCATCCCGATTCTTGATGGCATGCACAACGGCAACCGAAGAGCCCGTCATCAGTCTGGTGGGGAAGATCATCATCCCCTCTTTCATATGATTTGACATGGGAACCGGCTCAGATTCCGACACTACTTACATGACCAGGCGCTTACCCCTATCAAACTGCAGGAGATAGTGAACGAACCTTTGCGATAATGAGACGCCTCAGCAGAACAAACTATATGCCTTGCGTCTGGCTGAATACGCCATGCCCCCCTTGTGCTGTACTTCTCCTCTCAAGAGGGGACGGAGAGGATAGGGCGTGCAGTTGACCGTCGCATGGACGGCGCTTTGGCATCAGAACACCCACATCAGAGCCATAGACTTCGGTCTACAGGCTTTCATGTAGTGGTCCCCCGATTTCATTGAACCGAGAGTACGTGGAGACCGGACTATACACTTATTGGGTAGCTTTCTCACCCGGCTACCATCTAGTCCTCGCTGTGTTGCAGAGCTCGAAAATGTTTCATAGCGCACCTTGTGCTTTCGGCTCTGTTCGCACGCGTGTGATGCATCGTCTGTCGCCCTTGTGAACAATGTAGTAAGCCATTGGGCCTTCTCGAGCGCTCAAGTATCTTCCTGAGCTGATCTTCTCCTCTTTCAGCCCTCCGCTTTCCGGACATCATATGTCGCAGCGCTCTCGTTCCACGCTGCTCCTTCCTCCATGGTGGTGTACGAGGGCCTGACAATGCGCTTCTCAAACGAGCGTGCTCACTTATGGCTCACTTATTTGATCAATCATCATGACTTTCAACAAGGCGTGAAGTCGTCGTCAGCGTTCCCCGGGGTCATCATCTGTTTCGTCCCTTTCGGCATGGAAACCGGCGCAGCAGCTGACAGTATGTGATTGACGCGCTAGCGTTGTAGATCTAACCCATCTAAGAGTACGGCTAGCTCTGCCTTAGGTGAGCATGTGTAACTCCCTCGAATACGGCGACTTGACTGAAGTGCGATATGCAGGCCACCGTCATACTGGGATTAACGCAGTGACGGCGTTCTGGAATCAGAGTACGCATATCAGAGGCATACTTACCTGCCTACAACAGTACGTGTAGTGGTTCCCTCGATCAAATATGTCCGAGTACGTGCGACTGAGCCTCGACAGCCATTGGACCACCTTCCGCCGGGTCACCATTCAGTTCTGGTCGTGGTGTACTGTACTCTTGAGCGGGCGACTCCATAGGCCGCATCGTGATGCTGGCGCGCTTTGGGCGCGTATGATGGACTGTCTGTCGCCTGTGTGACAATCAAGAAGCAATTGACTCTGTTCAGCCCTCAAATATCCAGTTGCTCTTCCGAACCTCCAGATTTCGGTCTATTATCCCGTTCCTTTCGGTGTTTCCCGCCTCACCCTCGTTCAGGCGTTTACGATGCGCTGGGGTTTCTTCAAGGACTGGATCCTTGTTGTGTGCTTCATACTCTGGGTGGGCACTACAGTGGGCCAGGACCCAACCGTGCCCGGGACATGGCAGGTACGTCGTTAGCGAAGTCACATGAAGTCCCACTTGACGAGCGCGTCGTAGAACTCGACGTCGAGTCTCAGCCGCGAGGAGCGCGAGTCCCTTGCGTATTCGGCTGCCGTTCCGCTTTCCAAGATTGATACTTTGGGAAGCACTGGTATGCATCGTTTGGTTTGTACCCCATCTGTCTGCCGACTGAATGATGCTCGACAGGTCTGGCGCAACTTCAAGACGTGACTAGTCTCTTCGCTCTTCTGGCACTACAGGACTACTACAGTGGGAATGTGTCTTGGCGCACACAAGGGACCGACAACCTACAAGCTTACATCGACAAGTATGGCTTCTTTGCTCAAGGAAAACAGGCTCTGTACAGCGACGCGATCTACTGGGGCCTCGGGATCTTCTACTCGTATCGGACATATAAAGACCCTGCGCTCATGGCTCTTGCTGTCAGTGCTTGGGAAACGACCTACACCGGCGCCTTCATCACCCCCAGTGAAGCTGTTAGTGGCCAAGGTGCTGGCCGCAACGTGTCTTTTCTTTCCCCTACGAACTGCACGGGCGGTAAGCTGGTTATCTCGTTCTCCCTGACGTGAGACGGATGTTCATAGCCTTCTTAGGGACGTTCGCTGGTGGTGTATTTCGTGTGAGTTCCGTTCACATCGGATGCCAGAGATCTGATCCTGATTAAGCTTCTTCCAGAGCAAAGACGTACAGAGTTCAACTTACGCGGGTATGGAAGCCATCGGGCCATTCATGGCGTAGGATGTACATGATCTCCATGTCGACGCTTGGTGCTTACTCAGATGTCAGGCTGTCGGCATATCTTTTCGAGGAGACGAACAACGCCACCTACCAGGAAACTGCGCAGCTTTCGCTAGACTTCGTTTTGAACCATCTGTGGAACGGGAGCATCGTCTTTGACGGCTTGGAGTTGAGCACCTGCAACTACCTGATCAAGCCTTTCACGATCAACCAGGCTTGGTTCGTAGAAGGTGCTGTCTCAGACTCCTGCGGGACTGCAGTGCCCTCTGACGATGGTGTACTGAAATCGTGCGCTGCAGGCTTATCGGTATGGGCAAATGTGACTAAGAACGACACCATGACTACGCTGTGAGTGACATGGTATGCGTTCCCTGCCGATGATACGCTGACATGCGTAGTCTTCAAGACGTGGTATTCAGCGTCACCCAGTTCCCATCGTGGTCGTTACCAGATGGAGTTGTGTTTGGTGAGCATCGAAACTCGATCTAACGCAACCTATTCTGACAGCGCATGTTCGGTCGTTTGCAGATCACGATCCCCTGCTTAACAGCTTCGATCAGATTCTGAAAGGTGTATACATACGTGGACTGGCGGAAGCTCGGGCGCGCAATCCTGAAACAGCACTCGCGCGGTACATCGAGGCATACATTACGGTACAGGTGGGTCATTCCTTATGAGTACGATGCCATCTCTGCTCATCCTTAGCACAGTTCAATTCTATGCTGAGCGGCGCACGGGGTGCGTCGCCTAACGACAGTTTCTACTCAGTATCTTGGTACGGTCCAGCACCGACGTACGCAAAACGTACATGATCGATGCACGTGCGGGACTCATTCAGCCTTGCCTCCAGATCCTTCGATACCAGCGGAAATGTTGCCGCATTGGATGTATTGAATGCTGCGTTCAGTCTGGTCGCGCCATCATCGTCAGTCTTCCAAGACCCTGTGTCCTTTCACTGTCTGATCATACGTTGCACGGCGATACAGGTCCCCAGGAAACCCGTCGACTGGCTCGACTCCGACAAGTCAATCTGCGACTGCATCGGCGAAGTCATCAAAGGCAGGACCTATTGCCGGGGGCGTCGTAGGTGGCGTAGCGGCTGTTGCCGCAGTCCTCGCGATTTTCTTCTTCTACCGGCGAAGGAAAGCTCAAGAACATGCTGAGGCCGAACCGGAATTTGGCATCTTACCAGTCACTACAACCTTCGTGCAACCCTTCGTGACTGTCAGCTCGACTGTGAATGCTACGACCACATCGTCGAAGTCGCAGCGCAGCGCTCCTCTATTGTCAGTCTCTTCGCCCGTGTCGACATCACCGAGCGCACCACGCGATCAGGAGTACGAGCAGGGAGAATCTATTGACGTTTCTGAGCTCCCAAGCTTAGTGCAACGATTGAACAACTTCTTGCAAGGTCGCCAGAGTGAGGCTCCGCCACGATACATGGAGTAGCAGTAGTGTCACAGATGATCCGGACTCTCTTTCCACTCGTTTATTAGGTGTGACCCACAATGTATCATACACTACTCCTTCGTGAAGTCAGTGCTTTTCATGTACTCGAGTACTCCGATACGGAGTACTGTTCCGTGAGACCGGATGCCCGGAGTGCTGTATCGTGCCGCGTTCGCGCCTTCCATCCCGCTAGGGCAACTTGCCCGAGGATACATACTTCCCATGTCTTGAGCCACACTTGTGGCTACTCAATGCAATAATGCATATCCAGATATCGTACAAACAACTACAACCAGCGGTGAGAATCAACTGCAAAGAGTACTCGAGGGGGAGAAGTGGGTCGTGAGGTCATGAGAGGGTCATAAGCGTATCGTGTCGTCAATGGTATGCAATGCAAGACAGTCTTTTGAGGCGAACGGTATCTGAACACAAAACATTTTGCAAGAGTTCGACGAGAGGAAGCGAGATAAACGGAACGAAACGAAACGAGGAAAGAGCGTGAGGCGGGCTGGGCATGGCAAGAGCGCGGGAGGACTGAAGGTTTGGCATGGGCATAGCAACATGGGCGCAACAGGCTGAAAGAACACATCATGGTGGCGCTCAGGCGCGCCGACCGAGAGCAACGCGCTGCATGACGACGCGGAGGACGACGGCGCACACGCCTAGCCCAACAAGGACGACATAGCTCGGGATATCACCGAGCGCGTAAGGCTCGAGTGTCTTCGCCCTATCATCCTCACTGTCGTCGGCCCTCCTGCGAGCCTCAGACCGGCGGATGACTTGATCGACACCGGTGGAGGGTTGTGCAGCTGCTTCGACCTCGACGGGATGTGCCCCGATGATGTCGAGCTTTCGCTCGTCGGCTTCCATAGCCGCTACACGACCTTCGATGGCCTCGAGTCGCTCGCGGAGAGCGGCCAACATCGCGCGGGAGGAGGCAACTTCAGTCTCGAGCGCTTCGATGCGCGCATCTTCGAGTGCCTTGATCTTCGCGACCTCGTCTTCCTTCGCAGCGAGATCCTCCTTCAAGGGCTCCTCGACGACGACGTCCTGTGCCTCTTGCACATTCTCCGCAAGTGGCCCCTCCCCTTCAAGATCGGCAGGCATGAACACGGCCGTGACAATCCTCCTTGAATCCTTCTTCCCCCTCCCACTCCCTGTCCCACCGCGAATCCTCTTCGCGCTACCGGCAAACCCACCACTCCCACCCGAGCTCGATCCGGAGCCCTCGCGACGCGGGACAACCGTATTCCACACCTGCTCCTTCTCTCCAAGCTCGTTCTGCGGGGACGCGTACGGTGGGGGCGGAGGCAGCTCTTTTTCTCCATCGCTCGGCAGCCTCTTGACCGTATCCTGAACACCGCCCGAAATGTCAAATGCTTCCCACGCTCGAGCGCCCCACGATCCCTTCTTATCTTCGCCAGCGGCGAGAAGCTCTTCCATCGTCGGCTCCTCGCTTTCGCCCACTGCGCTCGACGGCCATGGCGCGGGATCGGTCTCAGCGCCCGTGAAAGCCGTGCGAGTGGCAGGCGCAGAGTGGGGGTGGAACGACGTGAAGGATGAGAGCGAGGCGGGCATCTCGGACTCGGATTCACTGCCTGCTTCGCTGCCGCTCTGGCTGGCTGTTTCCCAGCGGTTGACGAGGCCTTTGACGCGGCCGGCGTTGCGCCTGCGAAGCCTCGCTCCGGGGCTGGAGCCGGTGTCGTTAGTGTTCAGGGACTCGGTCGAGGAGGCGGAGTTGTATAGCTCGGAGGGGAAGTGAGAGTCGGAGGGCGGGGAAGATGAGCCCCAGATGCGACCGCGGATGACGTTCTGGCGGAGGTTGCGAGATGCAGTGAGAAGGGCGGTGCGCCAGAGGATGTTGGTACCGAGACTGTGATAGACGTCAAAAATATGACTCTGACATTGATATAGAGGGAAGACTTACACTTCGAGATCTTCCTCCGTCCACCTCAAGAACACTCGACCAGTGATAGACTGAGCCCGAACCCACGCTGCGATGTCCCTCGCGACGGGTCCCGCGACTACTGCTTCGCCGGTGGCAGCCCGTACACGAAGGGCGCGAACCAAATATGCGCTGAGTTGAGCAGGTGTCCAGAGCTTCGGGTTGCTGGGCAGGTCCTCGACGCTGGCCTGAGCCGTGACGCCAGCAGCGAATGCGGCGATATCAGCTGCGGTGGCGGTATTGACAGTTGGCAACGTCTCCGCACGTTTGGAGCGCCTGGGGCCGGGCGCAGGAAGTGGCGCCGGTGATTCAAGTCCAGAGTTCGAATCCTCGCTGAGTGACCGTTCGGAGCGCGTTGGTGACAGTTGAATGCGATCACTGCTACCAGAGATCGACGTAGAGTACCGATGTCCGCGGTACTCGGACCGGCTGCTGGGTCGCTCCGGGCTGCGAGGTGAAGGTGAGGGGACGTAGTGGTGCCGCACAGACGGGGCGGCGGATGACGAGTTTGAGCGGGCGAGTGCGCCAGTTGAGCTGGTCTTGATGGCGTATGGATGAGGGTTCGGTTTGAGGGCGGGCGAGTTGGTCTTTAGAGCAGACGGGGCAGCTTTTACAGTCGGGAAAGGAGTCGAGTCGTTGGGAGCTAACGAGGAGATGGGGATAGCGGCGGCCATCGTAGCGGATAAACAAAGGGACTGTGACTGTGTTCGAAGTTCAAGCTTCAAGGATCGACGTTCGCTCGAACAGAAAGAGATGTAGACCAAGAAACAGTTCTACCTCGGTCAAGGAGCTTGACCTCAAGCCGGCTAGGAGCCCAGCGGATACGAGATGGGACGATAAGCCTGATGAGCGCGAGAAGCAAGTAACTATACGACATGAGAACATCAACCACGTGCGGTTGCCTCGAGGCTCAAAGCCGGAGAACGGCCCGGATGCGTCTTGTTCAACCAGGTCAACCTCGCGTCTGCCCGTCGTGTCTGCATGAAGTCAATTAGTCTCGAATCAAGACCCCCAGGATGGCGAGGAGTCCGAGTCGAACCTATGAAGTCAATGCAATGCCCTCCCTTCTTTCGGCAATGGAATTTTTCTACTTATGCGGGGATGACCAGCCCAGGAGAGCGTCTGGACGAGAATGATGAGAAGGCCAAGGCTAAGAGCAGGGACCTGCCTGAGAGCAATAGGCATCTTCGCGGGTCGGGATACGATCAGACATTGCTCCTTCAATACGTTCGCGCGAAGCGCCGTCCGTCTCAGGAGATGGCGCTTGTTCCGGAGGAGATCAATGTCAAATGCGGGGACCTCCTCCGAGTAGCGGGCTGGAGAAGAATGGTTACATGTCGTACGGACATAGGTCGCGCGGTGGTCGCGAGTTAGTAAGTGGTATCACCCTGCAAGCTAGCTCCTATCTAATCGTTGTCTTGCAGTTTGCCGACAGCCTTGAACTAGTGCTGGACTACACCCTGAGGGCAAGCTATCCTGAACCTACACCTACCTGGGAACCCTACTTGGGCATCTGCTATGCAATAGCACTCTTAGTACTCGGACGTCGCGCATAGTGGTCAAGTCCACCGGCTGCGCAATAAGAGTCCTCTCGTCGGATAGGACTAACGGCGCTCGTCGTTTGAAGCTGGCTCGCGTTTTTGCAGATATGTTCTCGCAGACGTATGCCACGAAGTAGGCTTCGAATGGGTAGTCTCAGAATAGCATTGTACAATATCTGGCATGAGTCCATATTTCATGAGCGTATGATCGTGGCAGGAGACGCCAGACATGATTGGATCTGTCCCGGGCTAAGTATATCGTCATGCTGCGCGATCGTGGCAGTATTGATCGCGGTACTTGTCTGCTCGAACGCGTGTACCTTATTTCCTTCCTCTTCTACTTGGGTATCTCCCCTTGACTTGGAGAAATATTAAGTTTATATGGGGACGCATCGTGTGTGCAGCGTGTTTGGGTAATCGTACACCACATCGCCAGCCCGTATCGCGCGCGCGAACACTCTGAGCTAGCCGAGAAGACAATCAGTTGAGCCTTGCAAGGTCAGCGCTATCCGTGCTCTTGGCCGATGAATGCGCCGTCGCCGCTGTCAGCACAGTGCGCGTCCGATCCTCTGATTCGAAGCGTGCTCTTGAGTGAGTCTGCTGTGTAGAACTGGGCCCGGTCGTTGCAATACGAGAATTCCTAACGAATCACGAGGCGAACCGGCTCGTGCTTATGTAGAATATGATGATGATGGCAGGCCGTGAGAGAAGATAGATGGCCGGATGG